TTGACAAATTATCTGCGATTGAATTGGACAATAACGATTGGGACTTTTTAGTATCATTAAACCGTGTATTAAATCCGTTCGCTCTTGCGACGGTTATGATGTCTGGCAAGAATTATCCATCTATTGGCTTGACTTATCACGCAATACAAAAATTGAAACATTTTTGTGAAATTGACGATGGTGGAAATGAACACGTCAATGCATTTAAAAAGTTATTATTGTCCAAGATCTGCAAATACTTTTATCAAGATGTGGAACAAGTCGATCACTTTCAGGTAAATCATACTCGATTAAAACGACTGGTAGTATTGGAGCTCATCAGGAGAGTATGCAGTGAGGCGCATTAAGTTGTCAGATAAATGTGATGACAGTAGTTACATGTAGTGATCCTGTGTATTTAGTTACTTGTTTCTATGAGTCGTAGTTGCTTTTGGATATTAAACTGATCACGAAAGATATTCTGATCTGCTTAGTTCAGTATAGAACTTCTCAGAGCATGAAATATGCCAATGTCATACTCAACTTATTTTTGCTTTTAGAAACATGCATTTTTTGATCCAGTTGCACATCTTAGTTTGAATGACAATGAAAAAACTCAATGTGAGAAATATATCAAGAATTTGATACTAGGCGATATTTATCCTCAAAGAGCTTCTCAGTTGGATTCGACTCAAACTTCATTGCCAACTAACACGATTCCAACGTCATCAACAACACAATCTCAAGTGCATCAGTCAGTTCCACAATCTGCATTGCTGAAGCGATCAACTTATGATGACTTTATTGCGGCATGCGGTCAAGACCATTTTGAGCGTGAAACTATAAGAGAAAAAAGCAAACGCGTTGGTCTCATTGAAGAATTGAAGTATTTTCGGGCAGCTGTACAGGATTTCAACGCAAAAAGAAAACCTTCGACAACAGCCGCAGTTGAGTTTTGGAAATCTCATCATATACATTTACCACAATTATGACATTTAGCGAAAGTTCACCTCGTTACATGTGCAACAAGTGTTGCTAGTGAAAGTGCTTTCTCTTGCTACGCGTACGTGGCTCGCAAAGAACGAGCAAAGCTTTCAGCTGACAATTTAGCTTATACAGTCTTCTTAAAAGACAAATTCGATCGAGAATGAAGTTCATATCGTGGTCTTGTGACGTAATCTTTCTGCAAATTGTTATTTTGTTTTTCTTTTCTTTGGTTATATGCATGTGTTTACAAATCGGAAAAATCCCATCTATCATAGAAGAAAAGAGAATACGAAAAAACCAACATAATAAACTTTATTGGAAAAATCCTAGTGACGAATGCGGAGACTACCCATACATCGAAAATATCAATAAGTACATTTATCGAACGTAAAGTTGCATGAAAATTGATATATTCGAGTTCTTTCCTTCGAAAAACCGAATCACAGTGAAAGGCTTAAGCTTCTGGATCTTTTGATATAATGAGTACTGTGCTGATCAGAAGAACTTTTGCCTATACATGAAAAAACTTGTTCAATTCGGCTCACCATTTTTCCGACGTTAGGAAACATTGCCCATTGATTTGAAGATCCTGGTTACGCTACTACTCTCGCTATCATACATTGGTATCCAATTTAATGAGAGATAATAAAGTCACATATACAGCAGCGCAATTAAAAAAGCGTTATTTTATTCTTCTTTATTTCAAGACTGTATATAGGGTATTTTTATGGAAAAAACACTGATGTGTCTGTATTTGCCTTTAATTGACACGAAGACTAACATCGAATATATTGTCGCGATTTCTCATAAATTCGAAGAAAGTAAGCGATGGTTGTAATCTTTTCTCGTCGGAACTATTAAACGTTGCGATTACACCTCTATGCGCTTTTCTTCGATAAGTTTCGTAACTGTTATGATTTCCAGCGTGTAGCAGCACTCTTTCAGTATTGTTATCGTTCGCCGCAGCAGCGATCCTGCCCGCTCCACCAGGACCGAAAGCTAATCGGGCCATTGTGGTTCTGTTAGCCCTTGTAACTTCCCAGCCGGTCGGATCGTTATGATATTTTGTGAGAGCCTCAATGGCTCCTTCTGTACGTTGAATTACTTTCCATATTCTCTCATTGGAAAATGTCGGATCATTCGTGGATTCTGACGAGTTGTCAACTGATTTTGGATCTTCACATTCATCCGCACCACCTTCCAAAGCATCTAATAAATCTTCGTCATACCGAAAATAATGCCGCAAATCAACCAAAGCTAAATCAAAACTTTCCAATGCATAAATTGCAGCTTCGTCGTCTTCCATAGTCCATTCACTATCTGTGGACTTAACAGAAGTTGCTTTCGCGGTGTCGTCATCATCTTCATCAAAGTTTTGCAAAGCGCTACGTAAAAGAGTTATGATCGATGATATAGTAATACGTCTATCATTCAAGACAATGTCGTTTCGCTGTTGACTTAGCGCTTCAGCAACATCACGAAGATCTAGATCGAAGACATGTAATACCATACAACGCGCAAAGCTGTCGTCGCGAGAATCATCATTGTCTTTTGTAAGTCGAAATCCTAACGCGAATTTAATAATATATAAATTGTTGGCCATTGAGTTATCATCGCTTCCTAAAAAAGAGATGCCACTAAAGAATAATCCTAAAGATTCTTTCAATAATATACAACAGGCGTCAAAATTGATCAATCATCAAATATAAGACCATTTCTCCTCTCCGTATCCTAGAAAATAACGCATCCGGCAGAGTAAATTAGCCGCTCGGTATTTTGCACTAACTCTCTTAACGTACATCGAATCCATACGGTTCTTCCTTTGATCGATTTGTCCATCTATTCTCTACAAAAATCAGTATTTTGTGTTCGAAATAATAGATCACATTACATTCCAAATAATGAAGGACGAAGACGTACAAAACATCGAACTTTCAAAATATCAAAATGGTAATACTCCAACAAAAATCCGTCACAATTTCAACCGTGCATTCGGTCTAGTAAAAGTATAAAGGTAGTGTCTACGATCCGTCGATCAGGCGTTATTAGACTATCAACTGCATCCGGTCGTCGACGCACTCCGAAGACCAAGGACAATGTTCGAGAAATGAAGAACCTTGAGAGTGAAAGTGAGAGAACTGAGGAGGGTGAGGGTGTCCACGCTCTTTAATTACATTCACATTCTTAGCCTTACACCTCAAACCCTCACCCACACCCACACACCCTCAAGATTATATCCTGCTTCAGCTTTATGTATGATGCACTCTTTTGTGGGCAAAACATCCCTTAGGCATCGAAGAATATTTGATTTCATATAAAATAAGCTGCTAGAAATACAGTAAACGAATGGAGTTTTGGAGTACCGTCTGAAGTATCGGAGTAATTATTAGAATCCTGGAGTGACGTTCTCCCTTGTCTATGTATGTCTTCTTAAATTCTTTCATTTCGATTAAATAGCATTTTTCATTAAGAAGAGTTCGCAAAAAATCTGATAATTATTCAGTGGTCTTCGGTAGCACTGCGCTCATTTTTGATAAAGTTTCCAGTGACTGATTTCATTACGAAAGAAAATGAGAATATGAAAGTGAGAATACAAATGTAAATCTCAGAAGAAAAATTGATACTCAGAAAGTCACCACTATTTTCATTATATGCTCGCGTTTGCTTTTTTACTTCTAGTCTCTCATTTAAACTACCTGTTTCAATATTACCTTGTTCAATAGCACGGTGCAGAATATTTTCAGCTTGTTCCACATCCAAACTATGTACTGAAGATCTACTTGGGTTATCCGTGTGGTTAATCTCTGCATCCATTTTTCGTATGTCGTTTAACTGTTCTTTGTCTACAAATACTGCCGAGTGTTCACCCAATGGAAATTTGGTAGCAATAACTTCAATCGACTGATCAGTTGTAATAAATTTTTCGGATAAAATACGAAGAATAGCGCTCTTAACATAACAGTACAATAAGTTCAGTAATTACTCGAGATTTTTTGTGAATGATAAATACGATAGAAAAAATATTTTTACCTGAGTTGCTCCAGATTGGTCTGTTGCTTGCGTCGTTTTAGAAACGCAAGCACGACGATATTGGGCGTCAAGGACTACACACAAGGCGCCACCTATAACCACAAACCCGAACCAATGATGCCAAAGCAACTCTTCTTCAATATATCCGTTATAACGCGCCCATAATACCATCAGAGCACATGTTAATATTGTTTGTAATGTTTTAAGAGCTCGTTCGGACGCGTCTTTATCGGCCGATTTCAGCTCTTTGTATATGTTCCATTCTTGAATGAACAGAGGAGCTAGCACAGATTCAAAATTGATTACGTCATATCTTGATGAAATTTGCTCTTGAGTAGTCGTATTTTGAACTAAATTTAGTGCCTCTAATGATTTGCTTGCATGTTCAAACAAAAAATTGTCCACACATTGATTGTATGATCTACAAATTTTTTGTACGAGAGCGTCGCTGATTTGTTTCATTTTCAATAAAACCTCTCTATTTTGACCTTGGTTGATTAATACGCCCCTTTCAACTATAGATCTTCCCCTATCTTGCACCCATGGTAATAATCTTTCAATCATTTTTGTTGATCTTTGTCGACGATCAAGACGTCCATATTTTGTGGACTTCAAGCACAAAACAGATATAACCAGTTCAAATGACATATTCAATCCATAAGGTAATCTTGCGTTTTTGTCAGGATGATCATGTTCAAGAAACTTCAACAAAATATACCGAATACTATCATGCAACTGTTGCTTTGTTGGTAAACGGTTGTTCCTTTCAGGTTCTTCAAGTAAATCAATCGCTGTTCGGCGTAACAGAGCATTACCCAACAGACAGTTTAAGTTTGACTGAGGCTGGTCTTTCAATGATAAGCTCTATATAGCTGAATCTAGTACACTTTCACATTGCAATAAAAATTACTTTGAAACCACTAATCAATTCATTTGAAGCCATTATCTAAATGGAAGACGAATATTATTTGATGATACTACCTTAATGCAATAAATCCAATATTATGAAAAATATTTTTCGAGATGGACTTTTTGCATTCTGAGTAGATATCATTTTTGTCCTTCTATTTCCTTTAAATCTCTGAAAAACTAGCTCCCGTCATTCTTCGATTTGATGCGTTATAGCGTTTTCCCGGAAACTCAAATTTGCCTTTATATCTCGTGACAAGATAAATAACCGTCCAAGGAAATTTCCTCATGGTCCTATACAGGAATTTCCCACTTTCCGAGCATGGAAATTAGGTAAGGACTTCTTATACGGATGTCCGTATAGTCCGTATAGCAGAATTCCCAATTTCCCAGCTTGGAAATTAGGTGAGGACTTCTTATACGGATGTCCGTATAGTGCAATCTCCCAATTTCTAACCATGCAAATTGAACACGTGAAAAATGTATGGTGAAGAGAAATACGTGTATAAAAAAGAGTACATTAATACTGTGGTCTAAAACTATTTATATTTTGTTTAAGATTTGTATTGGTACTCACCATATGTTCGATTTCCTAAACAGATATGTTCTGATGTGAGTCGTTTGAACGAGTTTAATTCCTTTTTTTTCGATTGTAAATGGAAAGACGCAGTATTTTGTTTTCCTTTTTTAAACGTTGTATTTGAATAAAGTATAGGACCAGATGGAGTAGATTCGTATTCAAGAGAAATAATAAATTTTATGATCCATCAATCTATTCAGAATCGACTATTATGCGATCGAAACGACAAAGAATAATGATATTTTCGTCTATATAGCAGCCCAGTTGGCAATAGTGAAGAAACTTTTTGAAAAAACTTTCTCAAGAAATATGAATTATCAAAAAAATGTAATTTTCTCTTTCCGTTTCTCTTTCTTTTTATCGATAATAGCGTATAGACAACTTAATATTTTGAGGGTGTGAGAATGTCTGTAAAGTAACACGGAAAAAAGTTTGACGATAAAAGAAAAAAAAAATTTTCCGATTCTCTGGGTAATTTAAAATAACTTTTTCTTTTTTTTCTGCTGAAGAGAAATAATAGTTACTTTTAAAAAGCCCGGCACGCTATGCCGACAAAACTTTAATGTAAAAGAATTGAAACAAGTAGCGCTCGTCGTGCCGACTTACCCAGGTCGAACAATCCTATACTCGGATCCCACGTCGGATCCGAAACATGGATTTCCTGGATTTTCTAAGGGTCATCATAGAATATAGCTAGAAAGATCGCTCATAAAATTTGCAACAACCGGCGGGATTTTTCTAGTCGGATTCCAATGCAATTCCGTTTCCAGGAATCCGATCGGATTTTGTCGGATGGTCGGATCCGGTAAGATCCGATCGGATCCAGCATCGGATTTGTTGACCTGGGTACTTGACCCTCGACTGCGGACGACAGCTATTTTTTTCGTGTCTCAATTGTGACACAAATTGATCTAACAATTTTATACACGAAAGAAACAATTCAAATGTTTTGTGCAGATATATTTAGTAACTTTCGAAAACAAAATACTGAATTTTTTCTACTCTTTTTGGAGAGCCATATAAAAAACCTTAATTTTATACTACCAATGCAGAATGCAATAAGAAGAAAGAAACGATGATGCAATACAATAAGCACTAGGACTACTTCAATCGAACAACATCACAACCATACATAATATGTCAAATGCGCCAGGAAGCATACACAAGAGTCAAAAATAAAGAACGTCAAACGTCAATCTTAGTCTGCTCTAAGTCAGTGTCACTTTCCCGGCATCATCACCCTCATCTACATAATTAAGCCCATCAACTTCACTGCCACGAGACCAAACGCTATTCTATCCAGAAACAGGCAACTCCACGAGCAACCCATTCCAACTCCGATCTATGAATCCAAATGGAACAAACGTCCAACCACCAGAGAATAATCTTAACATTAATGTAAATTCACATGAAACACCAATAAATGCTCATCAATTACTTGCAGACGTTTTATTTCTTCGTCTTTCCACAAGTCTCATAGGTTCCATAGCTTTACCGCAAGAGATCCGGACTACATTTGACACACACCAATTTAACTGAGTTGTCTTTCGATATCTCAATTTTCCTCTTTCACTGCATTCAGCTGCGGTGATACACACGTTTCCTTGTAGCTCTATAAATACCATACATGTAAAAGTCGAAGAGATTATTCGAGTATTAAACTTTCAGCTCGAGTTGTCAAGTTTTAAACTTCTAAAATTTAGAATTCGAAGCTTCGAGTTTTAAACTTTTAACTAATTGGCTATTAAATATCCACTAATTAAACGATAATTATTAATTGGCTAACTGATTACGACGGGGGTGTGGGTGTGGGTGAGGGTGTTGGGTATCAGTGTAAAACTCGAAAACTCGAAGAAGATGTTTAATACTCGAATCGAGTTAACGATTTCTACACTACTCGAAAATCTCGAATGAGGAAAGTATGTGAATGCTGCATGTGAGTTATCAGGCGTTAATGATACGATCAAGTGCATTTTCAACTTGAAAGAGTTGATGAGAACGAATGAAAGAAAGATTTCCCATTATGAGGACAGTCTGATAACATCGTCTTCTACTGAAGGGGTTGTTTGGGCAATATTTGCAGAAAGATTTCATATTCCAGAAGAGCGTTTGTATGAACTGAGAAGAAATGTGATGAAAAAAAGTATATCGACTGATTCAACCAATTAATCAAAGAACTATCTTTAAAAATCATTAAACTTTTATCGCAAATGGTGTCTTTAGGCATTTCAGCAGTTTTTGGATTTTGATTATTTGTTACACTCATACTAAAATGCAGTGTGTTACCGTTTTCTATCTTTCCAATAAAACATTTATGTAAATCAACGAAAAATATCTGTGTATTGTATTTTAACGGAATTTTGAAGAAACGTTGGTTTTTAAGACACGATAGGATATTTTCTACTTGGAAGAGAACTGATTTGACTTAAGAAAACTGATGGCAGCTCAGCCTTTCTATATGATATCAAGGCAAAAAAGAAACACTTTCCGTGTAAACTGTTCTTCACAAGTGTCTCTGTCTCAGCGACAAAACTGTATGACCGTTCTCCTCAATGTTCTAATCAATAGGAGTTACCAGTCAAAATCATACGAGGACTGTCTGTACTTATATTACTTTCACTCTTAAGATAATATTCTTGAAAATCCATAAAATAGATCGTGAATTACTTAATTCATGCGCGTATTTAACCATTGGTTGTTGATTTACATGGAAAATCTTCAATTTTATGAGAAACGATACCCATAGATCTCTATTGTTAATATTCACGAAATTCAATGTATCTTTACTCTACTATTACAGTAAGATTGAAAAAAAAATTATCGCTTAGTGGATCGATTTTCTCGGAGGATGTTTTGTGTATTCTTCGAGCAATTATTTTCGGGTTATGTATTGAACATATAGATCATATTACACATTTCGAGTAATGATCATAGGAAAGAAGTTTGAGTATATTGTATAACGATGATCTTGACTAACACTAATTATGAAAAAAAATTCAGAATTGGGGAGTACAGCACTGTGTTACAGTATGGCTAACAATATCATTCATCACTCTAAAATAGTTCAAATTACTTTTTTGGTTACATTAAAGTGCAAATCTAAATCTAGTTGAATCCATATTCTATACCGATTAATCAATTAATGTAAGTGGAAAACTTCGGGATTCAAAAACTAGAAGAAAATTTGCGCCTAATTTGTAAGGGTTAACTCATAGGGAATGTAAGAATTTTAATGATTGATGAATTTATTTAGCACACGATCTTGGTAGTATAGCGAAATTCAATAGTCGTTACACCTGATATTTCTCCGCGAAGAACTTTAAGAAGTCTACCGGTAATTGTTTTTGCACTCTACTATATATTTTATTTAAAAGAAAGAACAGAAGTAGTATTCAATTTATACGTGAGAGTATCAACTATCCTTCCACCTTCAAATTATTGTAGTTTTACAATCGTCAATGACATGTAAATTAGTGGAAACGTTTGGAGGAAATTAAAATAATCGTACATTTGATGATGAAGTTGTCTCATGATTATGCATTCTTTTAGAAGATCTGTGTTGATCGAATGGTCATCCATCACTCAGACGAAAATTTATGGGTAAAAGCACTCTCTTCCATCTTAATGAATTACGCTAAAATTCTTTTTCAAATCAACAATCCAAAATGATTGGAACCATGTTGGTACAAAATAATATTCTATTATTCCCTCTTTAAGGAACTCGTAATTGAAGTTGATTATAACAGAAATATATACATTTGCAACGTTGATGATTTTAAATTTAAACATCAAAGTGTTATGTGAAGTAATAAAAACATTTGTTTTGCTCGTCGATCATCGTCTCTCTGAATATAATCGAGCACGTGATAGAAAGGAAAGGAAAAAAGTTCCAAAATAACGTCTACATACCATTTTGTTGTTTTGCACGTAATAAAAAGACATCGAAAAACAATCAAATGGCTTCTAAAGAAGCAAAAATTCTCCAAAGGCGGGAATACATCGAAAATGTCGTTGTCGTTTGGCTCAATAATGGAATTAACACAAAAGAACCAATCGAACAATTGCGAGCGATTAGTAATGATATTGAGGTATTCGATAATGTTGATGACTGTATTGATTATATAACCAATTTGAGAAATGTACGTATTATATTCATTATTTCTAACATGACGAATCCTTTTATATTTACACTTGCCCAAGATCTTTCAGCGATTTTTGCTGTTTATATTCTATGCTTATCAAATGAAGAAATAGAGAAAGATTGGTCACAATCTATCCGAAAGATCAAAGGAATCTATACGGATACTGACCAATTGATCAGTCGAATTAAGTTTGATCTGCGTCGGATCGAAGATGAACTTTTCGGATTCGAAGTCTTGGAAACGATGAACATTACGTACCCAACATCAAGAAGCTGCAACAAACAAGAATGTACATTCATGCATTCACAATTGTTGAAGGAAGTGTTTTTAAGATTCGAAGATGATAGCACAGCAGAATTGATTTCGTATTGCCGAACAATTTATGCTGATAATTCTTCTTATTTGGCAATTATTGATGAATTTGAACGTCAATACGACAAAAGTAGAGCGATTTGGTGGTACACAAAAGAATGTTTTCTCTACAAACTACTAAACAAAGCTCTTCGTACACAACAAGTTGAAATACTATATCATATGCGTACATTTATTCGTCATCTTCATGAACAACTCGTTCAACTTTCTCCAAAAGATAATCATGTTCACTTGACGCCAACACTCAAGTTATATCGTGGTCAAAGAATGTCGATTCGAGAATTTGACTTGAAATTGAAGAATAACGAAGGTGGACTACTTTCAGTTTCGAACTTCTTCTCTACAAGTACCAATCCGGGAATGGCGCTCATTTATGCTGGAGAATCCGATCGTGAAGAAGCAGCTATCGTTTTCAACATTGCTATTGATTTGAATCATGCTAAGAACAATTCATTTGCTTGTATAGAACGATTCAGTCATTTCGGAGACGCCGAAGGCGAATGGCTGTTTTCAATGGGAACTGTCTTTCGAATTGGAGCTATTGAGTTGACTGATAAGACATGGTATGTGTGTTTGAAGTTAACTGACGACCGAGATGAAACTTTGGGAAGATTAACTATTCATATGAGCAAAATTATTCAGCTACAACGTCCTAACCCATTAGTGCCTCTCTGCCGTTTGTTTGCACGAATGGACGAGTGTGAGAAGGCAATGGAATTATGTAAAAAACATATTAGATCAGAAAATGACTGGGAAATGCGAGCAACCTTACATGACACTCTTGCTTGGACTAATGCCGAAGACGAGGACAATGTTTCAGCATTGGAAAATCATCAACGTGCACTAAATACTATTGCGGAACACGTTGATGCAAACGATCCATTGCTCGCTTATTATCACAGTAATGTAGCAATTAGCTGTACTGCAGTCAATCAGTATCAACAAGCAATTGAACATTATAAAAGAGCCATTCAACTTGAAATGAATACTTCACAGCCAGATTATACAAATATAGCTTATTGTTACGAAAGTACGGGAAATATTCTTCAATATTCGTTTAGCGAATATAATGAAGCATTAATTTACTACGAGCGTGCTCTAGAATTAATGCTTATACATCTACCATTAGCTCATCCGGACACGATGTCAGTGTATAATGAGATAGCTAACGTTTACGAAAAGCTGAATGAGTTTGATAAAGCTTCAAGTGTCTTACAATTATGTATCGAACAGCTGGAAAAGAATTCGGAATGTGATCCTCATGATCTCGCTCACACATGTGAACACATTGCTGAAATCTACAAAAAGCAGAAGAAGTTCGACGAAGCAGCTGTAATGTTAAACAAATGTCACACAATAAGAGCTGTTCACCCATCATCGAGAAGTTTGGACCTGGAGAATATTGATGTCGATGATTTATTTCGAAAGCTGTTTGTATACGATAATAAATCATGATTTTATTTTGTTCTACATGGGTTTGCTACTCAATCGGAACAATAACATCACTCTCATAGCTTAGTTCGACCTATTTTTCTGTTGTGAAATCCTCAGAGTTGATATGTATTTATTCAATACATTGACGTTCAAAGAGTGAAGTCTTTGTTACAATGTCGTTTCAACGCGCCATCGTCTCTTTCTGTCTTTGATGTTATATACACATGTAAACAGTACAGAAGATACAATCGGCACCATTCTCACTTTCAACCTTAGCCTTTTATTTATTGAGATTATAAACACAGTCAAATACAAATCTGTTGACGAGATATTTTTCCTGTTCTTCGTCTAGTATCAGGTATGTCACCGACTGTAACTACATTCGTTCGACGTATCCAAATAAAACGCATGATTTTGTTAACTAAATTTGGTATTGCGCATAAACATGTTATTGGCAAAAGTAATGGCATGTAATAAAGAGTATATTCTAACTTTGTATATTGATCGGCCATGAATGAAGGCATTCCAGTCATTTGAATGAGACTCACGATGACAAGCGGTGACCATAGTGCAACATGAAGCGAAGATATAGCCCAAAACTGCAAGATCATTTTCCGATGTTTCCGCCAATTAATTCTTGGACGAAAAGATAGTTTCTCTTTGATTACTCGAATGATTAACAATAAATTCACTAGAATATTGATGAAAAGTGGTGCACATACATTGAAAACAAAGTCATAGATGCCTAAGAAACCCGTATAAGTGTAACATGGTGGTCCGCAAAGAAGTGTTCCATAGTCCCACGTATTCTCACATGTCGAAATGATAACAATTAGAGCAAGATATACAATTGGTGCCCACATGAGACAAATGATTAAAGGTAAGACATCAAACATCCATTTCTTCCATCCTCTTTTGGATATAAGTTTTGGATAAAAGATAAGCAGATGTCTTTCAATAGATATCCATACCATTAGAAATAATGCTGTTGTGTCACAAGANAGATAACCGTTGAAACCAGAATATAGCCGCCACCAAAAATATCTTTGGTGTATGAGAATTTGTGCAGTTGTACCAGATGGAGTAGCGTTTAATGGACGCCTAGAAATAAAGATATACTAAGAAATATATACGGTAATTAAGGATATTCACCATGAAATAATACCACCTCGAAAATGTGTTCCATCAATCATATTATGGAATAGAAACAAAACCGTAAAGAAAATATTGAAAGTTCGCTTTGTTGTCATCTTTTCCATGGTGTAACGAAGTCCAAAAGAAGAAAACGAGTGACTAAATGTATATGAAATGCCTATATTTATAGCTGCGCGTCGGCAACTCAAAATCAAGAGCAAAAAATGCTTTTGTCACGGAAAGCCGTGCCCTAAAGCAATCAAAACAACGCACTTTTAATAGAGCACGACACAATGTTTATGAAAGAAGAGCAAAGCATCTGTATGCCCACATTGAATGATTATTTTACTTCAACTTTTAACTATTGTTTTATGCACGATTGAATCAACATATTTTACCTTGAGCACTTCAAAGAGGGTAATTTTCGCGAATAATCGCTGTCTGTTTTTCGTTTCTAACAAACAAAACATTATTGTCAAACGCATTCAGCGAATGTGTCCAAAAAAAACCTGTTAAATACATAAATCGAAAGTTGACTTCGAAGCACTCAGTGAAAGTTTCCTTTTCGTCGACTTTTTCATCATTCAGCGAGGACTCAGTTCCACTCACATCAAATGCAAATGTAATCAAAGTTTACTTTCATCCACCGCACTTTCGTCTTACATTACGCTGCTGCTGACACTTGCGAAAATACTGACAAATAATAAAAGCATGAAAATGAATTCATTTCAGATCCAATTTGAACTTTCTTTTATGGAATAAGATTTAATCTGACCACATATATCAACCGATGCTAAATTTATCTTGTCAAATATTCGGTTAGAATTCTAGTTCGAGATTTGATTTATACTGTGGGATAAAGCCGAGAAGTAAAATGTGTTCATGATCAAGGTGAAGAGAACTTGTGAAAGGTAAAATCAAATGTTTAAAAGCACTATTATAGTAAGTAGTAGTGATGTTGTGAATAAAAACGCACGTTTTTGGTTTGAACAATGAAATAAGCGAATTCGATGTGTTCGATTTGGCATTGCGTATCTCGAATACAAATGTTAGCCATTTATATTTTTTGTTTAAGTAGAGCGTCTTGATTGTTTTGTTCTGTTTGAATATTACAGTGGTCATGCAGATGAACGACTGGTAACTTTGAATGGACATGTCAGAAATGAGTGGTCTTTCCTCATTGCATTCGTATGAGAACTGGTAATAATTAATCAAGTGTGAAAAGCGATTTCTTTTTGTTGAAAAAACTATTCTACTACAACAGCGTCATTCCATTCTTCAATATCTAATTTTCTTTTTCGTTTCGTTAGTTTCATGGAACTGCCCACTGATGCGAATGTCTGAAAACATGTACGAGGTATGATTAAGATCGTTTACAAATGAGTGATACTGAGGATTTTCGACTTAATGTTTCAAAATAATGCTGTAGATGCTTTTCTTCAGAGTCGAAATGAATCAATGCAATTCACTTTAATGATCATCGATGTCTACAATTCCACTATTGATTTGTTTCGAATCGATTCATATAAATTGTTATTTTTGTGAGACATTTCGTTCCTCAGGTTCAAATAGAATGACGGAAATTGACACATGAAACTTTTCGTCAAGAAGAAAAGAAATGTCTGATTGTCATCAGTATTTTTCTCCTCACTTTCTCGCCGCAGGCATTATATTCAAGTGTATCAGACGAAATCATTTCCAAATGCTTATCCACTATTTCTGGTGACTAACAATGGTCATCAAGTTCCCGCTTCTTTAGCTAAATGCACTGATGGGCAAACTGACAAAGGCTTATGGTTTACAGGTGGCGGACTCGCAGGAATATTTTATTTCGTTGATTTTCATCTACATTGGGGACGTACCGATCGACACAGAGAGATTTTCCGTTATGATGACAGTCTGATAACACCGCCTTGTACTGAAGGAGTTATTTGGACAATATTTGCAGAGAAACTTCATATTCCAGAAGAGTGTTTGTATGAACTGAGAAGAAATGTGATGAAAAACATTATATCGACTGATTCAACCAATTAATCGAGGAACGATCTTAAACCATGAAGTTTTTATCGCAAATAGTGTCTATAGGCATTTAAGCAGCTTTTGGATTTTGATTATTTGTGATACTCATACTAAAATGCAGTGTATTGCTGTTTTCTGTCTTTCCAATAAAGAATTTATGTAGATCAACGAAAAATATCTGTGTATTGTATTTTAACAAAATTTTGAAGAAGCGTTGGTTTTTAAGCGACGATAGGATAGTTTCTACTTGGACAAGAAATGATTTGACTTAAGAAAACTGATGGTAGCTCAGTGTTTCTGATATCAAGACAAAAAAGAACACTTTTTATGTAGATTGCTCTTCACAAGTGTCTCTGTCTCAGCGGCAAAACTGTCTGACCGTTCTCCAATGCCCTAATCAAGAGGAGTTACAAGTCAAAAGTATACACGACTGCCTGTACTTATATTACTTTTACTCTCAAAATAATATTCTTGAAAACCCATAAAATAGATCGTGAATTACTTGAGGGTGTGGATAGGTCTGGGCAGTAGGATACTACATGAAAATTTGTACTGAAATACTCCTACGAAAGCCTATGCACTTTTCCAAATCTGCAAGATTGTCCAAATTCCTATTGTCGATTTTCCACTAAACCTACAGTGCAAGTTTGAATCTAGTTGAATCCATCTTCTATACGCTAAAATTCTTTTTCAAATCAACGGTCCAATATAGCATCGTATTATTCGCTCTCTAACGGACTCGTAATTGAAGTTCATTATGAAAGAAATATATACATATGCAACGTTGATGATTTTAAATTTAAAAATCAAGTGTTATGTGAAGTAATAGAAACATTTGTTTTGCTCGTCGATCACTTCTCTCTTATAATCGAGCACGTGATAGAAAAGAAAGGAAAAAAGTTCCAAAATAACGCTTACGTACCATTTCGTTGTTTTGCACGTAATAAAAAGACATCGAAAAACAGTCAAATGGCTTCTAAAGAAGCAAAAATTCTCCAAAGACGGGAATACATCGAAAATGTCGCTGTCGTTTGGCTCAATAATGGAATTAACATGAAAGAACCAATCGAACAATTACGAGCGATCAGTAATGATATTGAGGTATTCGATGATGCTGATGACTGTATTGATTACATAACCAATTTGAGAACTGTACGTATTATACTCATTATCTCTAACATGACGAATCCTTGTATATTTACACTTGCCCAAGATCTTTCAGCGATTTTTGCTGTTTATATTCTATGCTTATCCAATGAAGAAATAGAGAAAGACTGGTCACAATCTATCCGAAAGATCAAAGGAATCTATACGGATACTGACCAATTGGTCAGTCGAATTAAGTTTGATCTGCGTCGGATCGAAGATGAACATTTCGGATTCGAAGTCTTGGAAACGATGAACATTACGTACCCATCATCAAGAGGCTACAACAAACAAGAATGTACATTCATGCATTCACAATTGTTGAAGGAAGTGTTTTTAAGATTCGAAGATGATAGCACAGCAGAATTGATTTCGTATTGCCGAACAATTTATGCTAATAATTCTTCTTATTTGGCAATTATCAATGAATTTGAACGTCAATATGACAAAAGTAGAGCGATTTGGTGGTACACAAAAGAATGTTTCCTCTACAAACTACTAAACAAAGCTCTTCGCACACAACAAGTTGAAATACTATATTATATGCGTACATTTATTCGTCATCTTCATGAACAACTCGTTCAACTTTCTCCAGAAGATAATCATGTTCACTTGGCGCCAACATTCAAGTTATATCGTGGCCAAAGAATGTCGATTCGAGAATTTGACTTGAAATTGAAGAATAACGAAGGTGGACTACTTTCAGTTTCGAACTTCTTCTCTACAAGTACGAATCCGGGAATGGCGCTCATTTATGCTGGAGAATCCGATCGTGAAGAAGCAGCTATCATTTTCAACATTGCTATTGATTTGAATCATGCTAAGAACAATCCATTTGCTTGTATAGAACGATTCAGTTATTTCGGAGACGTCGAAGGCGAATGGCTGTTTTCAATGGGAACTGTCTTTCGAATTGGAGCTATTGAGTTGACTGATAAGACATGGTATGTGTGTTTGAAGCTGACTGACGACCGAGATGAAACTTTGGGAAGATTGACTATTCATATGAGCAAAATTATCCAGCTACAACGTCCTAACCCATTAGTGCCTCTCTGCCGTTTGTTTGCACGAATGGACGAGTGTGGGAAAGCAATTGAATTATGTAAAAAACATATTAAATCAGAAAATGATTGGGAAATGCGAGCAACCTTATATGACACTCTTGCTTGGACTAATGCCGAAGACGAGGACGATGTTTCAGCATTGGAAAATCATCAACGTGCACTAAATACTATTGCGGAACATGTTGATGCAAACGATCCATTGCTCGCTTATTATCACAGTAATGTAGCAATTAGCTGTACTGCAGTCAATCAGTATCAACAAGCAATTGAACATTATAAAAGAGCCATTCAAATTGAGATGAATACTTCACAGCCAGATTATACAAATATAGCTTATTGTTACGAAAGTACGGGAAATATTCTTCAATATTCGTTTAGCGACTATAATGAAGCATTAATTTACTACGAGCGTGCTCTAGAATTAATGCTTATACATCTACCATTAGCTCATCCGGATACGACGTCAGTGTATAATGAGATAGCTAACGTTTACGAAAAGCTGAATGAATTTGATAAAGCTTCAAGTGTCTTACAATCATGTATCGAACAGATGGAAAAGAATTCGGAATGTGATCCTCATGATTTCGCTCACACATGTGAACACATTGCTGAAATCTACAAAAAGCAGAAGAAGTTCGACGAAGCAGCTGTAATGTTAAACAAATGTCACACAATAAGAGCTGTTTACCCATCATCGAAAGGTTTGGATCTGGAGAATACTGATGTCAATTATTTATTTCGAAAGCTGTTTGCTACTTAATCGGACCAATAACGTCACTCTCGTAACTTAGTTCGACCCTTTTAACAGTTGTGAAATCCTCAGCGTTGATATGTATTTACTCGATCCGTTGACGTTCAAAGAGTGAAGTGTTTGTTAAAATGTCTTTTCAAAGCGACATCGTCTCTTTCTCTCTTTGATGTTATATACACATGTAAATAGTGCAGAAGACGCAATCGGCACCATTCTCACTTTCAACCTTAGCCTTTAATTTATTGAGACTACGAAAACAGTCAAATACAAATCTGTTGACGAGATATTTTTCCTGTTCTTCGTCTAGAATCAGGTATGTCACCGACTGTAACTACATTCGTTCGACGTTTCCAACCAAGATTCATAATTTTGTTAACTAAATTTGGTATTGCACATAAACATGTTATTGGCAAAAGTAATGGCATGTAATAAAGAGTATATTCTAATTTTGTATATTGATCGGCCATGAATGAAGGCATTCCAGTCATTTGAATGAGACTCACGATGACAAGCGGTGACCAAAGTGCAACATGAAGCGAAGATATAGCCCAATACTGCAAGATCATTTTCCGGTGTTTTCGCCAATTAATTATTGGACGAAAAGATAGTTTCTCTTTGATTACTCGAATGATTAACAATAAATTCACTAGAATATTGATGAAAAGTGGTGCACACACATTGAAAACAAAATCATAGATGCCTAAGAAACCCGTATAAGTGTAACATGGTGGTCCGCAAAGAAGTGTTGTATAGTCCCACGTATTCTCACATGTCGAAACGATAACAATTAGAGCAAAATATACAACTGGTGCCCACATAAGACAAACGATTAAAGGTAAGACATCAAACATCCATTTCTTCCATCCTCTTTTGGATATAAGTTTTGGATAAAAGATAAGCAGATGTCTTTCAATAGATATCCATACCATTAGAAATAATGCTGTTGTGTCACAAGAGAAACTCAACCAGTTCCACCAAACGCACAGTGCATATGATTCCGGCCAAAGCCTTTCTCGGTAATAAAATGACAGTGCTATCGGTAAATCAAAGATCAATTGAAAGAAGTTGAGAATTAACAAAACAAGCCAACTATGATGTCGTCGTTTCAAACGAGTAGCAGGATCTTGAGCGAAGTACACAAAGATAATTATTGAAACAGAAATGGCTTGAATTTCAAAGATGACTGCCAAAGAAAATTCAATTGTATACACCATTCTTGATCAATAATACACCTGATGTAATAAATCGTTTATTTGATTACGTATGAAGCAAGCGAGGAAGCGCAGGACGCTGATGAAAGTCTAAATACAGCCATGCGAAAAGTAGCTTTATTCTAGAAAGATTCTTGAATTGACTGTTAATTGTGAGGCATGATTTTCTATGTATCTTCGTGTTCAAGATCATAATTTTACTCATTGACAGATGATCTAGGCAGAAAAGTCGGAACAAAAAAGAAATGTTGTCAACATACTTGAACTCGAAGAACGTTATTATCCGATAATAAGATAGCTCAAATAGATCCTTTACTTGAAAATAATTAAAATCGCAGTAAAGAAAATGAGATTGAGTCTCTGTGTCAATTACATAAGCCGTTCCTATTTTGACCGTATGCAACGACGAGAAAAATGATGAGTGATGTAAAATACACACCCATCTCCTTAACGCACAGCAAAATGTTAATATTCGACAACAGTAGAAGTTGTTTTTTAAAATAAATATGTGCTTTTTAATGGGACTCGGTAACGCAATGTTCAACCCAATGGTGGCATATTCAACAGGTGCTGGATCTCAACCTTCTACGTAGCAGTACTCCATAAAAATATAGGAATGTATAGGATTTTTCGCACAAACTTTTATAGTACACGCATGTAATCATATTTTAACCAAGACAAATCGATATTTCGACTTTGTTTTTTTCGAAGAATGTTTGGTTCTCAAGGTTTCCAGAAAATCAAAACTGGTCACCAAAAAAAGACATGTGCCCCCTACTGGAGATTTTTTCTAATATATAGAAAATATAGGACGACTACGAAGCCTGAGAAGAATGCATATACAGTTGTTGATTTGGTTCTAGAGCAGACAATACCAATAGATCAGTTAAAACATGTAGCTCATAGTATGTTTTCGATGTATTGTACTTGTCTCTCGTTATAATAAATTTTCATGCTTAACTTGATCAGAGAATGTTAAGATGTGTCAAGGTGTTCACCATTAACAACATTATATTAAAACTCGCATCTTGATTTTGTGTTTCACAGTCGTGTCCTTTGTATAAATGGAAGAAAAAACTTTTTCGATGTGAATGTGTTTTTTTCTCTCGCGAGAATAGACCATAAGAAAGAATTCTCTTCAATACTTGAATTTATTGAGAAGAAGAATTCATAAGAAAATTCATTGCATTGGACGAAATGAAAATACTTCAATCGTGTCGCTGAATACCTCCAAGTGTTTGTGTTGATTATATAAAAGTACGTTCATATGACCTATGCCTTATTGACTGTACGTTAATCGGACATCTATTTTTGAAAAAAGTACATAGCTTATCTTCAGAAAAATAAGAAAAGTCAATATGAATGTCACTTAAATAAACATTAATGTATCTAGAAGTATTGATCTGTATTTTTGTGCATAAAGAGAGTAACTTAGAAGTGCTCGAAATATGAACAAATATTAATAAGCGCATTAATTGTAAACAAAATGTCTTTATTTTTGTTTTGAGTCCGTTGAAAAAATTACAATATAAATTCTCTCGTCACAAATGACATGAATTACATTTTCAAAAAATTGTTAAGACGGAATGAAGCTTGTCATCATTCCGTTGCTTCTACTGATCTCAACGATCAGATCGAATAGTATGTATTTAAATTGAATTCATTGATAGCTCACTTCAAGTCTTTCATTCTTTGAAAAGATGGTCAAACATGTTCGAACATGTGGGATCCAGTATTCGAATCCAATTCAAACAATCCGCCAACAATGTGTACAGGTTAGTGAAAGATAACATCAGTTGATGTTTTTCCATATAGTCAATCTTGTCTTTAGTTAGTACAACAAGTGGATCATCTTGTGTCTTTCCATTCGTATACAATGGAGTTAGTTTATCTCGAAAAAGATACAATTGTTTTTTGAAGTAGCTTCTTTAAGATAACGTATTCGAACTGTACGATCCAAGGTCCAAACAATACTGCTTATCAACCTCAATGTGCAACATCGGTTGATTCATCTAATGTTGCTGTAACTTGGTCATTTTGCATCGGTATGTTTATTGATGACATATCAATCGAATGAGATTTCGTATTTCTAGTTCCAACGGATGCGGTTGTCTTCTATGCAACCGTTCGTAAGAATGGTCCATGGACACAAAACTCGGGTAGTACACAAGGTGGAACTATGTTATGGATCTATGGAAATCGATTCGCTCAGAATGCATTCAGTACAGTTCCATCGACATCGACATCGAATTCTGTTCAATTAGTGGACGGTTATTCAGTTTATAACTGTCAAATTCATCCCGATAAAGTCACGAATACGCAACTGACATGTTACACGCCGGTGATACCCGAAGGTCTTTATCAAATCCGAGTTTATAGTAACGGAAATTTGATTCCACTTTATCAATATTACAACAAAGACCAAGCGACATTCGCAGCTGTTCCAAGCAACACACCGATTATCGATAATATCAGTCCACAAAGCGGAACGCCACAAACATTAATATTCTTATCGGGAACATTCGAAACCGAATGTTTTTCACGTGATATCGTCGGATGTTCAGATGATAATAATCCGCTTATATCTCGGTATGAGATTGCTTTTGTTAGTAATATCAAACTTCTTTCTTTTTTTCAGAGTTTATGTCGGTGGACATCTTTGTAATCTAATCAATCCAGTAACAGGGACAAAGTATGTCGAAACAATCTTCTTCTGTAATCAGTTTAATTAATTTTCAAATTAGTTACTCGATTGTGACTGATACTGATCTTCAATGCTTTTTCGAAGGCACAGAAGTTGGTAAGTCTTGTTAATAATTTTCGTAACCCCAACTGAAACAAAATTCTACATGTTTAGGATTATTTAACATTTCTATGCTTATCACGAATCAATATGGACGCTCATCTGTTAATTCAAACCTGTATCGTGTATCATCCAACGAAGCTTTATACAATTTCCAGAGTTACGCAGGTACAGATGTCTTCAGCTTTTCTGACTCTCTTCGATTTCGTAATTCTTTTCAGTTATTACCAATGTATCTCCAAACAATGGCAGTATTCAAGGAGGTACGATCTTAACAATCAGCGGAAACTACTTCAGTGATAATGTCGCCTATCCCTTAATGGTGAACGTCGGCGGACAAACCTGCGAAGTTTTATCTACAGCTTTAACAACCGTTCAGTGTCAAATTCCGTCTTCAGTAACAATCCCAAATCAAAACCAATATCAAGGTAAGCAAATTTTCTCTTATTTCATTTGATCGCACTCGAGTTTAGGTGGTCGCGGTCTGCAACTGTTTCGCGATACAATCGCTTACTCTCAATCGACATTGTCAAGTAATTCTCCCCCAGTACCAAGCTCAAGTGCGATACAAATGTGGATTGATGATGCGTCTTACACATCGACAAACTCCTCAGATGAAACTGTTTGGATCGAAGGTTTCATTCGTCCGAGCAAAACCGCAACATTCACATTTTCGTTATCAACCAATGGCAATGCCGTTCTATTTTTGAGCACTGATGCTAGTCCATCAAATAAAGTCTTGATTGTGAACTTACCATCAACGAATCAATCTAGTGATATTATTTTACAAAATAATACGAAGTAAAATTTGAACAGAAATAATCAAATCCGTTCGAAGTATAATCATTTTTAGTTATTATTTGTATTGTATCGCATCTCGAGTCGGTGGTTCGTTGAATTTGGTCATTCAAGGACGAATGCATGAAACAACATTGACAGCAACAACATCAAGTATGGTTATCAACGAAATTCAACGTATTGATATCAATGCAAATATCCAGTCTGAACATCAGGTAGAAATTTCTCTTCTATATTTTAACATGACCAGATTGATCTTTAGAAACTTGTTTATTCGACAAACTCAACCGGAAATGGAACATCAGAAGTTCAATCACTTCAAGTTGACAGTTCCACATTTCAAATCGGATTCCGTGGAGTTTACACAGGTAACGAAATAATCTCAACTTGACCTATTCACACAAACGTTTTCTAGCACTATTAAACGGTCGACCAATGGCAGCGGACGTTCAAGCAGCGGTGAATGACTTACCGACAATCTATCCACTATCTGTTAGTGTAACAGCTACAAGTACACTATACATCATCACATTTCCAGTAGAAATGGGCAATGTACCGTTGGTAACTTGTATATCAACAGCAACTAATTCTCCCAACGTCACTGAAACAACCCAAGGTGTGGCATCAGGTTCTCAAATCGCTTTTGAAGTCGATGGTCAACTGACAAATTATATCGACTTTCAAAATAACGCTCCAAGTTCATCGAATCTTCAATCAATATTCAATCAAGTATTCAGTATTCAATGCCCAGTATCGTTGAACAATCCTCAAGCAGCACCATCAATTGTTTATTTACAAGATTTCGAAACGAATTGCTACTACGATGAAACAAAGATCGAATCCATTGCATTTTGTGGACAATGTTCTCAAATAACAAATACAGTTGTCAATGGAAATACTCAACCTGGAAATTATCTATGTTTCGCATATAAATTATCCCATAATTATGTTATTGAACTCGACCTTGCTATACAGCTTAACGGTGATACAATCGATATCTATTATCCATCAATCTCATTGAGTTTAAATTCCGATCAAAACTGGCATTACATTTGTTTAGACGTCTCCACTCTCCTCTCAGCTCAATCGAGTATCTATTCATCTTCATCACTCGTTATCACATATGCTTGGCTCAATAGAAATATTCTCAATAGTATTCGAATTGACACAGTTACTATCCGAACATCNACGTATTCTCACATGTCGAAATGATAACAATTAGAGCAAGATATACAATTGGTGCCCACATGAGACAAATGATTAAAGGTAAGACATCAAACATCCATTTCTTCCATCCTCTTTTGGATATAAGTTTTGGATAAAAGATAAGCAGATGTCTTTCAATAGATATCCATACCATTAGAAATAATGCTGTTGTGTCACAAGAAAAACTCAACCAGTTCCACCAAACGCACAGTGCATATGATTCCGGCCAAAGTTTTTCTCGGTAATAAAATGACAGTGCTATCGGTAAATCAAAGATCAATTGAAAGAAGTTGAGAATTAACAAGACAAGCCAACTATGATGTCGTCGTTTCAAACGAGCAGCAGAATCTTGAGCAAAGTACACAAAGATAATTATTGAAACAGAAATGGCTTGAATTTCAAAGATGAATGCCAAAGAAAATTCAATTATATACACCATCTTCGATCAATAGTACACCTGATGTAATAAATCGTTTATTTGATTACTATGAAGCAAGCGAGAAAGCACAGGGCACTGATGAAAGTCCAAATACAGCCATGCGAAAAGTAGCTTTATTCTAGAAAGATTCTTGAATTGACTGATAATTGTGAGGCATGATTTTCTACGTATCTTCGTGTTCAAGATCATAATTTTACTCATTGACAGATGACCTAGGTAGAAAAGTCGGAACAAAAAAGAAATGTTGTCAACATACTTGAACTCGAAGACAGTTATTATTCTGATAATAAATAGCTCAAATACATCGTTTACTTGAAAATAATTAAAATCGCAATAAAGAATACTGTCTGAAGAGGAGTAAAGACAATGAGATTGAGTCCCTACGTCAATTACATAAGCCATTCCCATTTTGATCGTATGCAACGACGAGAAAAATAATGAGTGATGTAAAATTCACATCCATCTCCTTAACGCACAGCAAAATGTTAATATTCGACAACAGTAGAAGTTGTTTTTTAAAATGAATATGTGTTTTTTTTAATGGGACTCGGTAACGCAATGTTCAATTCACTGGTGGCATATTCAACAGGTGCTGGATCTCAACCTTCCACAACAGGCTTCGTAGCAGTACTCCATAAAAATATAGGAATGTATAGGATTTTTCGCACAAACTTTTATAGTACACGCATGTAATCATATTTTAACCAAGGCAAATCGATATTTCGACTTTGTTTTTTCGAAGAATGTTTGGTTCTTAAGGTTTCCAGAAAATCAAAACTGCTCATAAAAAAAAACATGTACCCCCTACTGGAGATTTTTTCTAATATATAGAAACTATACGATGACTACGAACCCTAAAAAGAATGCATACAGTTGTTGCTTTGGTTCTAGAGCAGAAAATATCAATACATCAGTTAAAACATGTAGTTGATGGTATGTTTTCGATGTATTGTATTTTTCTCTCGTTATAAAAAATTTTCATGGTTAACTTGAACAGAGAATGTTAATATGTGTCAAGATGTTCACCATTAACAACATCATATTAAAACCCGCATCTTGATTTTGTGTTTCACATTCTTTTCTTTTGTTTAAATGTGAGAAAATACTTTTTTCGATGTGAATGTGTTTTTTCGCGAGAATAAACCATAAGAAAGAAATCTCTTCAATAATTGAATCTATTGAGAAGAAGAATTCATAAGAAATTTCATTGCACTGGACGAAATGAAAATACTTCAATCGTGTCGCTGAATACTTCCAAGTGTTTGTGTTGATTATATAAAAGTACGTTCATATGACCTATGCCTTATTGACTGTACGTTAATCGGACATCTATTTTTGAAAAAAAGTGCATAGCTTATCTTAAGAAAAATAAGAAAAGTCAATATGAATGTCACTTAAATAAACATTATTGTATCCAGGAGTATTGATTTGTATTTTTGTGCATAAAGAGAGTAACTTAGAAGTGTTCGAAATGTGAATAAATATTAATAAGCGCATTAATTGTAAACAAAATGTATTTATTTTTGTTTTGAGTCCGTGGAAAAAAAGTACAATATAAATGCTTCCATCGCAAATGACGTGAAATACATTTTCAAAGAATTGTTAAGACGGAATGAAGTTTGTCATCATTCCGTTGCTTCTACTGATCTCAACGATCAGATCGAATAGTATGTATTTGAATTGAATTCATTGATAGCTTACTTCAAGTCTTTCATTCTTTGAAAAGATGGTCAAACATGTTCAAACATGTGGGATCCAGTATTTGAATCGAATTCAAACAATCCGCCAACAATGTGTACAGGTTAGTGAAAGCTATCATCAGTTGATGTTTTTCCATATATTCAATCTTGTCTTTAGTTAGTACAACAAGTGGATCATCTTGTGTTTTTCCATTCGTTTACAATGGAGTTAGTTTTTCTCTAAAAAGATACAATTGTTTTTTAAAGTAGTTTCTTTAAGATAACGTATTCGAATTGTACTATCCAAGGTCCAAACAATGCTGCTTATCAACCTCAATGTGCAACGTCGGTTGATTCGTCTAATGTTGCTGTAACTTGGTCATTTTGCATCGGTATGTTTATTGATGACATATCAATCGAATGAGATTTCGTGTTTCTAGTTCCAACGGATGCGGTTGTCTTCTATGCAACTGTTCGTAAGAATGGCCCATGGACACAAAACACGGGTAGTACACATGGTGGAACTATGTTATGGATCTATGGAAATCGATTCGCTCAGAATGCATTCAGTACAGTTCCATCGACATCAACATCGAATTCTGTTCAATTAGTGGACGGTTATTCAGTTTATAACTGTCAAATTCATCCCGATAAAGTCACGAATACGCAACTAACATGTTACACGCCGATGATACCTGAAGGTCTTTATCAAATCCGGGTTTATAGTAATGGAAATTTGGTTCCACTTTATCAATATTACAACAAAGACCAAGCGACATTCGCAGCTGTTCCAAGCAATACACCGATTATCGATAATATCAATCCACAAAGCGGAACGCCACAAACATTAATATCCTTATCGGGAACATTCGAAACCGAATGTTTTTCGCGTGATATCGTTGGATGCTCAGATGATAATAATCCGCTTATATCTCGGTATGAGATTTTTTTTTTGTTAGTAATATCAAACTTCTTTCCTTTCTTCAGAGTTTATGTCGGTGGACATCTTTGTAATCTAATCAATCCGGTAACAGGGACAAAGTATGTCGAAACAATCTTCTTTTGTAATCAATTCAATTAATTTTCAAATTAGTTACTCGATTGTGACTGATACTGATCTTCAATGTTTTTTCGAAGGCACAGAAGTTGGTAAGTCTCGTTAATAATTTTCGTAATTCCAACCGAAATAAAATTCTACATGTTTAGGATTATTTAACGTTTCTATGCTTATCACGAATCAATATGGACGCTCATCTGTTAATTCAAACCTATATCGTGTATCATCCAACGAAGCTTTGTATAATTTCCAGAGTTATGCAGGTACAGATGTCTTCAACTTTTCTGCCTCTCTTCGATTTCGTCATTCTTTTCAGTTATTACCAATGTATCTCCAAACAATGGCAGTATTCAAGGAGGTACGATCTTAACAATCAGCGGAAACTATTTTAGTGATAATGTCGCCTATCCGTTAACGGTGAACGTCGGCGGACAAACCTGCGAAGTTTTATCTACAGCTTTAACAACCGTTCAGTGTCAAATTCCGTCTTCAGTAACAATTCCAAATCAAAACCAATATCAAGGTAAGCAAATGTTCTCTTATTTCATTTGATCGCACTCGACTTCAGGTGGCCGCGGCCTACAACTGTTTCGCGATACAATCGCTTACTCTCAATCGACATTGTCAAGTAATTCTCCTCCAGTACCAAGCTCAAGTGCGATACAAATGTGGATTGATGACGCGTCTTACACATCGACAAATTCCTCAGATGAAACTGTTTGGATCGAAGGTTTCATTCGTCCGAGCAAAACCGCAACATTTACATTTTCATTATCAACCAATGGTAATGCTGTTCTATTTTTGAGCACTGATGCTAGTCCATCAAATAAAATCTTGATTGTGAACTTACCCTCAACGAATCAATCTAGTGATATTATTTTACAAAATAATACGAAGTAAAATTTGAACAGAAATAATCAAATTCGTTCGACCTATAATCATTTTTAGTTATTATTTGTATTGCATCGCATCTCGAGTCGGTGGTTCGTTGTATTTGGTCATTCAAGGACGAATGCATCAAACAACATTGACAGCAACAACATCAAGTATGGTTATCAACGAAATTCAACGTATTGATATCAATGCAAATATTCAGTCTGAACATCAGGTAGAAACTTCTCTTCTATATTTTAACATGACCAGATTGATCTTTAGAAACTTATTTATTCGACAAACTCGATTGGAAATGGAACATCAGAAATTCAATCACTTCAAGTTGACAATTCCACATTTCAAATTGGATTCCGTGGAGTTTACACAGGTAACGAAATATCTCAACTCAGCCTATTCACATAAACTTTTTCTAGCACTATTAAACGGTCGACCAATTGCAGCGGACGTTCAAGCAGCGTTGAATGACTTACCAACGATCTATCCACTATCTGTTAGTGTAACAGCTACGAGTACACTCTACATCATTACATTTCCAGCAGAAATGGGCAATGTACCGTTGGTAACCTGTATATCAACAGCAACAAATTCTCCCAACGTCACTGAAACAACCCAAGGTGTGGCATCAGGTTCTCAAATCGCTTTTGAAGTCGATGGTCAATTGACAAATTATATCGACTTTCAAAATAACGCTCCAAGTTCATCGAATCTTCAATCAATATTCAATCAAGTATTTAGTATTCAATGTCCAGTATCGTTGAACAATCGTCAAGCAGCACCATCAATTGTTTATTTACAAGATTTCGAAACGAATTGCTACTACGATGAAACAACGATCGAATCCATTGCATTCTGTGGACAATGTTCTCAAATAACAAATACAGTTGTCGATGGAAATACTCAACCTGGAAATTATCTATGTTTTGCATATAAATTATCCCATAATTATGTTATTGAACTCGACCTTGCTATACAACTCAACGGTGATACAATCGATATCTATTATCCATCAATCTCATTGAGTTTAAATTCCGATCAAAACTGGCATTACATTTGTTTAGACATCTCCACTCTCCTCTCAGCTCAATCGAGTATCTATTCATCTTCATCACTCGTTATCACATATGCTTGGCTCAATAGAAATATTCTCAATAGTATTCGAATTGACACAGTTACTATCCGAACATCATTACCTACTGGTTATGAAGATACAAGTTTATATCCAATCGATCAAACATCATCATCTGCATGTGTTTTTCCATTTTACTATAATGGAAACAAGTATTCAACTTGTATTTTGAATCCAACTACAAATATACCGTTTTGTGCAGATGCATCGAATCGAACTTATTTATGTCAAAGCTCATCCATCGAAGGTGTTCGACGACTTTACCCAAAGCATCAATTGGTTTACAATACATTGAATGTAACATTAACATCAAACACAAAGACAATCGATGTTTCATATCGCTACAGCGATTGTTCAACTCCGGCATTAATCGTTTCATATCCGAACTCGGTAAAGTATTTCATTTTCTTTTAGTTATTCACATTTCCATCGATATTTTAGAGTGCAACAGTAACTCGTGTAAAGCAATCGTCAACGAGTGCGAATGGTACATTTGATATTACGTTTAATTCTCAAACATATTCATCAATTCCGGTGAATATTCAAGCATCAGATTTAGCGAATCGATTGCAAACATCAACCGACTTCGGATATTTAAATGTCATGCGATTAGGCTATTGCACAGGTTATTCGTATACGATCGAATGGATTGCAAACGGTGGACAAAAGTCCTCGATTTCGACTTCGAATTTCGCAAACGTTCTCCCAAGTGGTACAACAGTGACAACATCGATTGTTCAACATGGTGGAGTCCTGTTCAGTCCACTACCCGGTGACTTGACTCGTACCTATTACACTGTACCGCAAGTTGAAGTTTTTGTTGGCGGATATCCATCTTCGTGTTCAAAAGATACATGTAATTTTCAGTGGTTAGCTAGCCAAACTCCATCGATTACATCTGTCACACAAAATGGGATGTCGTTATTAATTAGTGGAACAGGATTTAGTTCATTAGTTAGTTCGAATGTTGTTTCGATCGGAGCATCCGGTTTGTGTACAGTTACATCATGTACAACAACGTCGATTCAATGTACAATTGTCAATGCACCAGCTGGTCAATATGCTGTTGAAGTAAATGTTTTGGGAAAAGGTTTTGCATCATCAAGCTCAAGTTTGATAGTAAATATTCCTTTGCAAATCACGGCAATTTCACCTGCTTCGGGTGGCGCCGGTGGAGGATATTCATTAACAGTAACGGGTACAGGATTTTCAGCGAATACTGTAGTTACTGTCGATAATAATCTTTGTTTAAATCCTCGAATAACAAATAATTCGATAATAGTTTGCAGTGTTCCATCGACAAATGCGATGAGTAACACTCAAGTAAATGTGTCAGTCAGCGACGGCTCATTAACATCGAATGCACCATCGTTGTTTACTTATAATATAAACAATACTCCAACAATCACATCGATTAGTCCGAATGTTGCATTCGTTAGCGGTGGTACTCAGGTAACGATAAATGGAGCATTATTTGGTAGTGGATCCATATCTGTTTTAATTGGCAATACCTCGGCAACAATCGTATCAGCAACATCAACGCAAATCATTGCCACTTTGCCATCGTTGACAGCTGGAATCTATTCAGTTTATGTCTCGACAGCGAATGGCTATGCTCGTCCATCTGTATCGCTTGAATATCGTTTTTATGTTCAGTCAGTTAGTCCACAAGTTGGCTCTTTGTACGGTGGAACGAATGTTTATATTCAAGGACAAGGTTTTGATAACTCTACAACAGTTAACTTCACCAGTAGTACTAACAGTATTCCATGCACCATTGTATCTGTCCAATCCACACAAATTCATTGTCAAACAACTGCAGCTGCACCACAGATAACTATCACATCGAATGGAGTTGATCCAACATATGGAACTGGTTTTGCTTGGTCACCTCAGTATGCAACCGTTCAACAAGGTGCGATTGTTACTTGGCAATGGGGATCATCAGCACTGCTTTCATCGATCAATTATAAAGTTCAACAAACAGCCAATGGATATGACACAACTGCACTAGCAGGCGGATTCGATTCAGGAAATGCAACAACATCCGGATCATTTTCTTATCAATTTCTGGCTTTGGGTACTTATTATTATTGGTCAACACCAGTAGATTCATCTGGTTTAATCAGTCTTCGTGGCGTGATTAATGTCGTGTCCGCTCAATCTCAATTGCTTACCGTTCAAGTTTCATCAGGATCACTTCTTGGTAAGAAAATAACCGAAATCGGATTTAGTTTGTATCGTTTCTTTTAATCGATCTAGCTCAATCCTGTGCATTTCCATTTACATACAGTGGAATGAATTATACATCATGTACAACAGTTAACGATACACAATCATGGTGCTCACCATCGTTTGCTTACACAGGTCAACGATTGTACTGTTCACCAACGAGTAATTCAGCATTTATTCATTATCTTTTCGAATCTGTTTCATTTGTAATTAGATTCCATCCCAGCTTCATCGTGTGGTTCAAGTTCATTACTTAATCCATCCTCGTGTTCTCAAACAGTTCCCTCGAGCAATGCACTGGAGTTTTTAGCTACGCCGTGTACAATTGGATCAGTGACATCGATCTCTCCAGTAGTTGGAAGCGCAGGAACAGCAATTACTATTACTGGAACAGGTTTCAGTTCAACACCATGTGAAAATATAGTTCAGATTGGCTCGAACTACAGTTGCCCAATCATAAGTTCAACCTCCACACAAATCATCTGTCGAATTGGTAATGGTTCCTCACTTAATGGCAAAACGGAACAGAGTATTCAAGTCTCTCGAGATCGACAAGGTTATCTAATCAATAATGGGCTGTTACAGTTTCAATTCAAAGCAATTATTAATCAAATCTCACCAACACAAGGTAGATTCATATCAATTCATTATCATTCAACTCTCGGGATTTTTTTTTCGTTCATTAAGGTTCAATCAATGGCGGTACTGTCGTAACAATATCTGGAGATGGATTTGTTCCAAGTGATACCCGCGTTATATTTGGCAGTATTGAATACACAAGCATATCTACAATAACATATTCTCAAATAACATTAACAATCCCTTCGTTGCCAGTTTCTGCATATCTCGATCAGAATATTCCAATAACGATCTTAATCGGTACAAATTCAGTTATTTGTTCACCAGCATCATGTACGTATCGATGGTCATCGAGTGCTACACCTTCGGTTCTATCTGTTAGTCCAACATCGATTAGTGGTCCGACAACATTGACATTAACTGGTCAAAACTTACAACCGATAAATTCGATTTCTGTTTCCAATGTTCATGTGACCATCAACAATCGCTCGTGCAATGTAACATCGATGACAAACTCAACCATTCTCTGTAACATCGATCATATCGAAGTTGGAACTTATCCAATTGTTGCATCAATCGATGGTAATCCATTTTCATTAAAAAGAGGAAACGAATCGTCCAAATTCCTTTCGTCTTCTTCTAGGTATTGGAAATGTTGTGTCGTCAGTCTCTCTAACATCGACAGCAAGTTTAACCAGCGAATCTCCCGCAAGTATTGGAACAAATGGTGGCGCACTAGTAACCATATACGGAAATGGATTTTCACCTAATAGTATAGTCAAAATCGGTTCAAATCCATGTACAGTTGTTTCGATCGATGCATCTCACATTGAATGCATATCACCTGCGCAAAACAGCAATCCATCTACATCAATAATCAATATTGTATCCAATAATATCACCTATCCATCAACACTATCAATCCAATATAGTTCATCAATAACGCCGACTATTTTATCAATTAGCCCAACAAGCGGAAGTGCATCTCAATCATTGACAATCAGCGGATCAAATTTTATTACAGGACAAACCAATGTTTCTATCGGAGGAGTATCCGCAACAATTGTCAGTGTAACATCGTCATCAATCACTTGTACAATTCCATCGATACCAGCTGGAAATCATCCAGTCATTGTTCAAGTCTCATCCGTTGGTACCTCAAATTCTAACATTCAATTTACATATTCTCTTCAACTAACTAATGTTACACCGAATCAAGGTAGTTACGGCGGTGGACAAATAATATCCATAATTGGCGATGGACTGGGTCAGTCAAATGTAGCCGTTACAATATGTAATCAGGTATGTACGATACAGTCAATTGTGTCGAATAAGCAAATCACTTGCTTGACACCATCTCAAACACTCTCATCATCGGATACAACATGTATATTGAATGTGACTGTCAATGGTCTCGTACAAACAAGTTCGTTTATCTATCGAAATAGTTTAACATCGACAGTATCATCGGTTAGTCCAATTCGCGGCGGAACTGGTGGCGGAACAACACTGACCATCACGGGAACAAATTTTCCGTAAGTTTCTTTTTTCACATTGATTCCTTATTGAAAAAATAAATGTTCCGTTCCATAGAAACTCAATCAATGATGTTACAGTCAGCATTGCCGGCGTTGTTTGTTCGGTTCAAAGTATAAGTTCCACAAGTATCACTTGTCTAACAGGAAGCTATTCACAAACGACAGTTCAAGCATTAGTTATTGTCAATATTGCAAATAGCGGAAATGCCATTGGATCATCGCAGTATCAATATATCGATCTTTGGTCAAGTCCTTGGACATGGGGTGGAGAATCGCCACCTGAAGCAGGCACAATTGTGTCCATCGATAGTGGTAAAACAGTGTATTTCGATACAACAAGTCCGATAATCAAAGCGATCATCATTGATAACGCTTCGTTGATTTTTGATGATAATCAAGATGTTTACCTAAATGTGGAATATATTTTAATTGTTAATGGTGGTCGACTACAAGTTGGAACAGAAGCCAATCCATTTCAACATAAAGCGGTGATAACCATGTATGGACAATTGAGATCAATAGAATTACCTATTTGTTCGTATCTTATTTGCTTTTGATTGAATTTTAATCGACAGTTTGTTCCTTCTAGTCGGAGCGAAAGTGTTGGGATTACGCGATGGTACTCTTGATATGCATGGTAAAAACGTCGGTCAGACATGGGCACGTTTAGCATCAACAACAGCAGCCGGATCATCACAGATTACTTTACAAACACCAGTCAGCTGGTCAGTTGGTGATGAAATTATCATTGCGACAACAGGTGATTACGAAAGTCAAGGAGAAAGTGAAGTTCGAACAATTGCAAGTATATCGTCGAATGGCTTGAGTTTAACATTAAATTCACCATTGAATTATACACATCTGGGTGTGACACAGAGTGTTGGATCGAAAACGATTGAGATTCGAGCGGAAGTGGGTCTTCTTACACATAATGTAGTTTTTCAAGGTTCTACTACACCGACATGGGATCAAACAATTCCTGCGTGTCCGGATGGATTCGACCCAGGTTAGAAAGAATTTTCTTGTTTCGTAAGACTCATTAGAGTTGCATTTTAGGTGAATTTGCTACTCAAACATGTTTTCTCGGCCGATATGGAGAGGAAATTGGTTCCGATCAGTTCGGTGCGACAATCATGGCTAGTGCTAGTCAAGATAGTCTCGATGGAACTCAACCAGCGATCGTTCGTTTATCAAATATCGAAGTAAATCTCATTTCTCGTGATTTTCTATTTGTATTTCTATGTAATACTCAAAGGTATTCAATGGTGGTCAAGCATTTCGTCTTGGCCGATATCCAATACACTTTCATATGAACGGAAATATGAGTTTATCGTACGTGAAATCCTCGTCAATTCATCAGACATTCAATCGTGCAATTAACATTCATGCATCGAATTATTTAACTATTCAGAACAATGTTATTTATGATATCATGTAGGAATATCTTCGTCTTCTTGTTTTTCAAATCGACGTATTCGATTTTGTGTAGGGGTGGTGCAATGTTTCTTGAAGATGGAGTGGAAATTGGAAATACCTTTGATGGAAATCTAGCGGTCTTTGTTCGAACAAGTTCCAGTCTGTTAAATGAAGATGTCACACCTGCTGCTATTTGGGTAAGCTCTTCGTCACTAATACCACTATGAATAATTAAGCAATTGACTGAGATTTTAGGTCACAAATCCAAATAATACAGTGATAAATAATGCTGTCGCTGGTGGAACACATTTTGGTTATTGGTATCGAATGCTTGAAACTCCAGATGGACCATCGTTTGCCATGTATCCCGGCTTTTGTCCGTATCGACAACCGTTCGGTCGATTTTACAACAACAGTGTTCATAGTGTTGGTCGAATCGGTGTTTGGATATTTCCGGAATATAGTCCAACAGTTGGTGGTAGCTGTACAGGTGATGCACCTTATCAAGCGGTTTTTGAAGGATTAACAACGTGGAAAAATGCTCGCGGTTTCGAATGGGTCATGTCGAGTACAATACAAATCAAAGGTGCTACCGTTTTCGATAACAATGAAGCCGGTCTGTCATGTGTCACAGCGATAAACGATCAGGCAACCAATTTACCAAATCTTCGCTCGACATTCTATGATATCAATACAGGTTCATCGGTTATTAATTCGTTAATTGTTGGAGATTCCGGAACGTCATCGAGTTCTGTTGTACCTTCGGATGGTGGTCTTATTGTGATGTGGGATCGTGGTCTTCGTGTCAAAAACGTGTCATTTATCAATTTTCAAAGCTCGAATACTCAAGCTATCCGTGGTCCAATCATCGCTGGTCGTTGTCTCGTCAATTGTGGGGGATGGTTAACAAAATTTTCTCAATTATCATTCACAAATGTCGTAAATCGCGGACAATTTCGCTGGTCGTATGATGGCTTGTATCTCGATGAAGATGGAACGTTAGGAGGTGTTTCTGGAGCAACGATCATGGCACCCGATGGTCTCTGGAATACGTCAACTGCTTGTCAACCAACCCCACATTTCGTTAATGCTATCACATGTCCATCATCATTAGGCAACTGGTTACGATTTGCATTCAATCAAGCGAATCTCGATCAAAATGGTGAAACCTTATTTGTATCTGATTCATCAAATCATGTCACTGATGTTCCATCTCTTCACAAGCGATTAACTCATCCAAACGGTTATATGATGGCATTACGTTCACAACAGACGTATACTTTTCAATTCGAAAACGAAAATGTAATCTCAACTTTTATTTCTTCCTCTCTCTGTCTCTCTCACTTATCAGCTTTTCTTTCGTTCATTCAATAGAGCACAACGAATTTATCCTACACAGGCATCGTTTACAGTTTATCTCCTGGAGATTACTTGATCATTCAGCAAAGAATGGATTACATCCCGGACCAAGTATACACAACTTCATCCTCATTGGCAACACAATCATCAAAACCATTATCAGGCTTGACAAATAACAATGGCGATTGGTATTATGACAATGCAACGGCATTATTCTCGTATATTGGTACGTTTGTTTTCTCTCAAAATAAGCTTCTTTCGTTTATAAAAAGTTTTTAGTTAAAAATCCATCATCAAATGTTGGTACAATCGACGTACCAGTGTCCTTGAGTGCGGTCAAATGTCGTTATCCAAACTGTCAGTATCCAGTCTCACCCGGCTTACAACTTCCAGCAACAGCACGTCCAGCAAATGCTCTATATTGGTCCAACGACTCTGATTGGTCATTTGCGACACAAGGCTATGGAGGATACGGTATTCAAGTCTATTGAATCGTTCTTCTAATTGATTTTGTCTGTTTTAAATTAAATAGGAAGTGTTAAACCCGGAAATAACATGGATATTTACATCCCACAAGGCATCTGGCTTGTTGTTGATTATCCATTACCATATATTCTTTCATTACGTATTGATGGTGTTTTGGAGTTCGAACAAGTAAATTTGACTTTGTTAGTTTTCATTCAAAATGTATTTTTTTAGGGTATGAATAACACATTGAACGTGAATAGTATTCTTATCAACGGTGGTCAGTTGATCGTTGGTAAGAAACAAATTTTTTTGCATCGGAATGAAAGTATTCTTGAATAATTAGGGTGGCCTAATAATCCATTAACATCTAATGTTGATATCATCATTCGTGGTAGTTCATCTATAAACGTTCTTCTACCAAACGATGCTGGATCAGTTGGACCAACGGTCATTGGCGTACTGGGCGGTCTTGACCTTCATGGTATACCACGAAACGTCTCTTGGACACGCCTTGCTACAACAGCCGCATCGAATCAGAAAAATCTCGTTTTAAGCGAACCAGTTGATTGGAACGTCGGAGACGAAATCATTGTGACAACAACAGATAATAGTCTTTCACATACTGAACGACACCAAATCGCGAGTGTTAGTTCTAACCGAATGACCATAACGACAGTCAACTCGCTCAGTTATACACATATTGTTATAAAAGAAGTTTATGCAAATGGACAAACAGTTCATATTGCTGCTGCTGTTGGCCTGTTAACCAGAAATATTCGAGTCATCAATCAGAATCCTTCAACAAGTTTATTTGGTTTTCGAATTTATATTAGCGACTATGCAACGAATGTTTGGGATTCAGTTGCAAATGAATCTCTCTATACATATTATAAAGGTTTCGCCCGACTTTCCGATACACAATTTATCGGCTATGGACAATTCGTTGATGCAGCGGATGAAGACAAACGCGAAGGCATTCATATGTACAATCTCGGCGATTGGAATGCTTCTCGGCCAACTTATGTTGATTCATGTTCATTCGATGGTGGATCTTATTCAGCGTAAGACTTATTCAAACGAAATAGNCACCTCAGTATGCAACCGTTCAACAAGGTGCGATTGTTACTTGGCAATGGGGATCATCAGCACTGCTTTCATCGATCAATTATAAAGTTCAACAAACAGCCAATGGATATGACACAACTGCACTAGCAGGCGGATTTGATTCAGGAAGTGCAACGACATCCGGATCATTTTCTTATCAATTTCTGTCTTTGGGTACTTATTATTATTGGTCAACACCAGTAGATTCGTCTGGTTTAATCAGTCTTCGTGGGGTGATTAATGTCCTGTCTGCTCAATCTCAATTACTTACCGTTCAAGTTTCATCCGGATCACTTCTTGGTAAGAAAATAACCGAAATCTGATTTAGTTTGTATCGTTTCTTTCAATCCATCTAGCTCAATCCTGTGCATTTCCATTTACATACAATGGAATGAATTATACATCATGTACAACAGTTAACGATACACAATCATGGTGCTCGCCATCATTTGCTTACACAGGTCAACGATTGTACTGTTCATCAACGAGTAATTCAACATTTATTCATTATCTTTTCGAATCTGTTTCATTTGTAATTAGATTCCATCCCTACTTCATCGTGTGGTTCAAGTTCATTACTTAATCCATCCTCGTGTTCTCAAACAGTTCCCTCAAGCAATGCACTGGAATTTTTAGCTACTCCATGTACAATAGGATCAGTGACATCTATTTCTCCGGTAGCTGGAAGCGCAGGAACAGCAATTACCATTACTGGAACAGGTTTTAGTTCAACACCATGTGAAAATATAGTTCAGATTGGGTCGAAATACGATTCCCCAATCATAAGTTCAACCTCCACACAAATCATCTGTCGAATTGGTAATAGTTCGTCACTTAATGGCAAAACGGAACAGAGTGTTCAAGTCTCTCGAGATCGACAAGGTTATCTAATCAATAATGGACTGTTACAGTTTCAATTCAAAGCAATTATTAATCAAATCTCACCAACACAAGGTAGATTCCTATCGATTCATTATCATTCATCTTTCGGGATTGTTTTTTTTTCGTTCATTAAGGTTCAATCAATGGTGGTACTGTCGTAACAATATCCGGAGATGGATTTGTTCCAAGTGATACCCGTGTTATATTCGGCAGTATTGAATACACAAGCATATCTACAATAACATATTCTCAAATAACATTAACAATCCCTTCGTTGCCAGTTTCTGCATATCTCGATCAGAATATTCCAATAACGATCTTAATAGGTACAAATTCAGTTATTTGTTCACCAGCATCCTGCACGTATCGGTGGTCATCAAGTGCTACACCTTCGATTCTATCTGTTAATCCAGTATCGATTAGCGGTCCGACAACATTGACATTAACTGGTCAAAACTTACAATCGGTGAATTCGATTTCTGTTTCCAATGTTCATGTGACCATCAACAATCACTCGTGCAATGTAACATCGATGACAAACTCAACCATTCTCTGTAACATCGATCATGTCGAAGTCGGAACTTATCCAATCATTGCATCAATCGATGGTAATCCATTTTCAATAAAAAAGAAGAAACAAATCTTCCAAAATCCTCTCGTCTTCTTTTAGGTATTGGAAATGTTGTATCGTCAGTCTCTCTAACATCGACAGCAAGTTTAACCAGCGAATTTCCCGCAAGTATTGGAACAAATGGTGGCGCACTAGTAACCATATACGGAAATGGATTTTCATCCAATAGTATAGTCAAAATTGGTTCAAATCCATGTACAGTTGTTTCAATCGATGCATCTCACATTGAATGCATATCACCTGCGCAAAACAGCAATCCATCTACATCAATAATCAATATTGTATCCAATAATATCACATATCCATCAACACTATCAATCCAATATAGTTCATCAATAACGCCGACTATTTTATCAATTAGTCCAACAAGCGGAAGTGCCTCTCAATCATTGACAATCAGCGGATCAAATTTTATTACAGGACAAAGCAATGTTTCTATCGGAGGAGTATCTGCAACAATTGTCAGTGTAACATCGTCATCAATCACTTGTACAATTCCATCAATACCAGCTGGAAATCATCCAGTCATTGTTCAAGTCTCATCCATTGGTATCTCAAATTCTAACATTCAATTTACATATTCTCTTCAACTAACTAATGTTACACCGAATCAAGGTAGTTACGGAGGTGGACAAATAATAACCATAATTGGCGATGGACTGAGTCAGTCAACTGTGGCCGTTACAATATGCAATCAGGTATGTGCGATTCAGTCAATTGTATCGAATAATCAAATCACCTGTTTGACACCATCTCAAACACTCTCATCATCGGATACAACATGTACATTGAGTGTGACTGTCAATGGTCTCACACAGACAAGTTCATTTATCTATCGAAATAGTTTAACATCGACAGTATCATCGGTTAGTCCAATTCGCGGTGGAACTGGTGGCGGAACAACACTGACCATCACAGGAACAAATTTTCCGTAAGTTTCTTTTTTCAGGNAATTTCGCTGGTCGTATGATGGCTTGTATCTCGATGAAGATGGAACGTTAGGAGGTGTTTCTGGAGCAACGATCATGGCACCCGATGGTCTCTGGAATACGTCAACTGCTTGTCAACCAACTCCACATTTCGTTAATGCTATCACATGTCCATCATCATTAGGCAACTGGTTACGATTTGCATTCAATCAAGCGAATCTCGATCAAAATGGTGAAACCTTGTTTGTATCTGATTCAGCAAATCATGTCACTGATGTTCCATCTCTTCACAAGCGATTAACTCATCCAAACGGTTATATGATGACATTACGTTCACAGCAGACGTATACTTTTCAATTCGAAAACGAAAATGTAATCTCAACTCTTATCCCTTCCTCTTTCTCCCTTATAAGCTTTTCTTTCGTTTATTCAATAGAGCACAACGAATCTATCCTACACAGGCGTCGTTTACAGTTTATCGCCTGGAGATTACTTGATCATTCAGCAAAGAATGGATTACATCCCAGACCAAGTATATACAACTTCATCCTCATTGGCGACACAATCATCCAAACCATTATCAGGCTTGACAAATAACAATGGCGATTGGTATTATGACAATGCAACAGCATTATTCTCGTATATTGGTACGCTTGTTTTCTCTCAAAATAAGCTTCTTTCGTTAAAAAAAAAGATTTTTAGTTAAAAATCCATCATCAAATGTTGGTACGATCGATGTATCATTGTCATTGAGTGCGGTCAAATGTCGTTATCCAAACTGTCAGTATCCAGTCTCACCCGGCTTACAACTTCCTGCAACAGCACGTCCAGCAAATGCTCTGTATTGGTCCAACGACTCTGATTGGTCATTTGCGACACAAGGCTATGGGGGATACGGTATTCAAGTCTATTGAATCGTTCTTCTAATTAATTTTGTCTGCTTTAAATTAAATAGGAAGTGTTAAACCCGGAAATAACATGGATATTTACATTCCACAAGGTATCTGGCTTGTTGTTGATTATCCATTGCCATCTATTCTTTCATTACGTATTGATGGTGTTTTGGAATTCGAACAAGTAACTTTGAATTTGTTGATTTTCATTCAAAATGCATTTCTTTAGGGTATGAATAACACATTGAACGTGAATAGTATTCTTATCAATGGTGGTCAGTTGATCGTTGGTAAGAAACTGATTTTTTGCATCGGAATGAACGTATTCTTGAGTAATTAGGTTGGCCTAATAATCCATTAACATCAAATGTTGATATCATCATTCGTGGTAGTTCATCTGTAAACGTTCTTCTGCCAAACAATGCTGGATCAGTTGGACCAACAGTCATTGGCGTGCTGGGTGGCCTTGACCTTCATGGTATACCACGAAACGTCTCTTGGACACGTCTTGCTACAACAGCCGCATCGAATCAGAAAAATCTCGTTTTAAGCGAACCAGTTGACTGGAACGTCGGAGACGAAATCATTGTGACAACAACGGATAATAGTCTTTCACATACCGAAAGACACCAAATCGCGAGTATTAGTTCTAATCGAATGACCATAACGACAGTCAACTCGCTCAGTTATACACATATTGTTATAAAAGAAGTTTATGCAAATGGACAAACAGTTCATATTGCTGCTGCTGTTGGTCTGTTAACCAGAAATATTCGAGTCATCAATCAGAATCCTTCAACAAGTTTATTTGGTTTCCGAATTTATATTAGTGACTATGCAACAAATGTTTGGGATTCAGTTGCAAATGAATCTCTGTATACATATTATAAAGGTTTCGCCCGACTTTCCGATACACAATTTATCGGCTATGGACAATTCGTTGATGCAGCGGATGAAGACAAACGCGAAGGCATTCATATGTACAATCTCGGCGATTGGAATGCTTCTCGGCCAACTTATGTTGATTCATGTTCATTCGATGGTGGATCTTATTCAGCGTAAGACTTATTCAAACGAAATAGAGTTAGCAATATGAAACAAACTTTTCTTCAATGTAGAATCGGTTTGTGGGATACAAATGGTGTACCGATCACCAATAATGTCGTTTATAACACCTATCAATCTGGCATTGTAACAACCGGACAGAATAATATTATTGATCACAATCTTGTCTCGACTGTTTATTGGTCTGGTACAGCCCAACCTGCTTATGCAGCATTTGATATTAATTACGATGGTGCTATCATGTCTCGAGATGCCACTAGTGTTGTTATGACGGTATAAAATATTAATCTCTTCGATGAAAAAACACTGACTTTCTTTTTAGAATAATTTGGTTGCCGGTGTTGAACGTATAGCGTATCGCATTCAAGGTGATGCATGTCCAGGCACGGCGGTGCCATCAAACATAACAAATCTCTATGCAAACAACGAAGCACACTCAGCCATGGCTGGTGTCGCGATTTGGCCTGTGGATCCGGGATTCAGTTATGACACAGGTTTGCTTATCAATACAGTGAACACTTATTTCAAATTGCGTTCTATTTTTAGATTGCGTTCTCTTCAATGGATTTACGTAAGTTGATATATCTATTTCATGGCAAATTAAATCTTTTCTTTTGATAGAACATACAAAGCATGGTATTATGGTCTCTATATTAATACACGTCGAAATATTATTGTCGATTCATGTACAGTTGTTGATGGAAGTGTTGGAATTTTAACATTTGTTATCGGACCTTCGGGTAAGGAGTTATTTACTTTCAATTAGAAAATCTCAACTAATTCTCAAAATTTCAATTAGCATTAACACACGTACCTGCCAATAACTCCATCATCGTGCAAAATTCGTTAGTCATTGGTAGCATCACACCCAATGATTGTAATGATCTTCTCGACACTACTTCAAATAATTTGGTGTATGCTGGAACAGCCATTCCATCAGTCTCGGCAACGTCAAGCGACGGTTATGCCGGTGGCAGATCAGGTGTTGTTTTTCCATTCATATCCGGCGGTGACAATATGATGCCAAGACATCCATGGACGAATATTGATGCTTATCCATGCAGTGCGTATATTTAAGCATAAAACAAAAATACTTATTCTATTCGATTGATTTCTAGTTGACGGTGTGATGAAAATTAACAATGTCACATTCGCGTATTTTAACGATATCTGTTCACGTCGAGACATCGCTATCCAAGTTGCACAACATGACGATGACGGACAATTTCCAGTGTTAACCAGTTTGAACTCGTTGTATAATGTTTCACAAGGTAATCTTATATTCAATGGCCGACCAAATCTTGATGTTGTTGACCCAAGTGATTGTGTTGGTAAGTTTTAGATTCTTAAAATGAATTTTTCTGATTTCGTTCACTTTCAATTTAAGATATGGACTGTGATGGTTTGAAAAAGAATTTACTTATTGATACAGATGGTACGCTCGTTGGTCAACCATCGAGTATTATCTCGCAAGCGGATTACGACTGGGGTAAAGAAAGCAAATATCTCGAGAATTATTTCGAATTCTCTGTTTGTGTAGGTGATCAAACACATGGTGTCGGAGATTATCGCATCCCATCAGTAGCATTAAGTGGGTCAAACGGGCAAATGATCAATATTAATCAAACATATCCACATCGTGGCATCAGTCTCGATACAACATGCAGTTACCAACCATTATGGCAAATGTATCTATGTCGAAATCGTACACAATATCGCATGTTAATCATTGAAAGTATGGATTCTGATACGGAAACACGACGACTGTCTCCCATTGCTGTCATGTCTGATAATGGATACATTGATCTAATCAATGGTCCACAAGATCATGGTTGGTGCAATGGATACACCTGTCAGAAACGAATCTCCACATTTATGGCGTTGATCGAAAGTCATCACCATTATGACATTTACTTATCGAGTACACCGCCAAACCAAATACGATTTCGCATACTGAATAGTGACGCACGAATCATCAGCTCCTTAGCTCTTTATTACAATTCTTTGCAACAAATTGATGTTTATGCTAATGGAATCTATGTCGCACCAACAAACCGTGATCCAGCTTTTACAAATACGCTGATGTTAACTGATCAAGCTAGTACATTGTCTTATTCATCGTCAGTTGGCTCGAATTATTTCAATCGGTATTGTAGTAGACGATTTTTTGTCTCAAGATTCTATTTGAAACTTTTAGAACAACTCAGATGGCGTCGTTTATCATCGATGGCGTAACAGTGATTGATTTGAAGATCTCAGAATTGCTTGTTCTCAGTTTTAATCTTCCGGCAGTATCNTCTTGTCTCGACTGTTTATTGGTCTGGTACAGCCCAACCTGCTTATGCAGCATTTGATATTAATTACGATGGTGCTATCATGTCTCGAGATGCCACTAGTGTTGTTATGACGGTATAAAATGCCGATTTGGTCGATAGAGAAACATCGACTTTCTTTTTAGAATAATTTGGTTGCCGGTGTTGAACGTATAGCGTATCGCATTCAAGGTGATGCATGTCCAGGCACGGTGGTGTCATCAAACATAACAAATCTCTATGCAAACAACGAAGCACACTCAGCCATGGCTGGTGCTGCGATTTGGCCTGTGGATCCGGGATTCAGTTATGACACAGGTTTGCTTTTCAATACAATGAACATTTATTTCAAATTGTATTCTATTTTTAGATTGCGTTCTCTTCAGTGGATTTACGTAAGTTGATATATCTATTTCGCGTCAAATTAAATCTTTTCTTCTGATAGAACATACAAAGCATGGTACTATGGTCTCTATATCAACACACGGCGAAATATTATTGTCGATTCATGTACAGTTGTTGACGGAAGTGTTGGAATTTTAGCATTTGTTATCGGACCTTCGGGTAAAGACTTATTTATATACTTTCAATTAGAAAATCTCAACTAATTCTCAAATTTCAATTAGCATTAACACACGTACCTGCAAATAACTCTATCATCGTGCAAAATTCATTAGTCATTGGTAGTATCACACCCAATGATTGTAATGATCTTCTCGACACTACTTCGAATAATTTGGTATACGCTCAAACAGCCATTCCATCAGTTTCGGCAACATCAAATAACGGTGATGCCGGTGGCAGATCAGGCATTGTTTTTCCATTCATATCCGGTGGTGACAATATGATGCCAAGACATCCATGGACGAATATTGATGCTTATCCATGCAGTGCGTATATTTAGGCATAAAACAAAAAGACTTATTCTATTCGATTGATTTCTAGTTGACGGTGTGATGAAAATTAACAATGTCACATTCGCGTATTTTAACGATATCTGTTCACGTCGAGACATCGCCATCCAAGTTGCACAACATGACGATGACGGGCAATTTCCGGTGCTAACCAGTTTGATCTCGCTGTATAATGTTTCACAAGATAATCTTATATTCAATGGCCGACCAAATCTTGATGTTGTTGACCCAAGTGATTGTGTTGGTAAGTTTTTGATTGTTTAAATTAATTTTTGTGATTTCGTTCACTTTTAATTTAAGATATGGACTGTGATGGTTTGAAAAAGAATTTACTTATCGATACAGATGGTACGCTCGTTGGTCAACCATCGAGTATTATCTCGCAAGCAGATTACGATTGGGGTAAAGAAAGCTAATATCTCGAGAATTATTTCGAATTCTCTGTCTGTGTAGGTGATCAAACACATGGTGTCGGAGATTATCGCATTCCATCAGTAGTATTAAGTGGTTCAAACGGGCAAATGATCAATATTAATCAAACATATCCACACCGCGGCATCAGTCTCGATACAACATGCAGTTACCAACCATTATGGCAAATGTATCTATGTCGAAATCGTACACAATATCGAATGTTAATCATTGAAAGTATGGATTCCGATACGGAAACACGACGACTCTCTCCCATTGCTGTCATGTCTGATAATGGATACATTGATCTAATCAACGGTCCACAAGATCATGGTTGGTGCAATGGATACACCTGTCAAAAACGAATCTCCACATTTATGGCGTTGATCGAAAGTCAGCACCATTATGACATTTACTTATCGAGTACACCGCCAAATCAAATACGATTTCGCATACTGAATAGTGACGCACGAATCATCAGTTCCTTAGCTCTGTATTACAGTTCTTTGCAACAAATTGATGTCTATGCTAACGGAATCTATGTCGCACCAACAAACCGTGATCCAGCTTTTACAAATACGCTGATGTTAACTGATCAAGCTAGTACATTGTCTTATTCATCGTCAGTTGGTTCGAATTATTTCAATCGGTATTGTAATAGACGATTTGTTGTCTTAAGATTCTATTTGAAACTTTTAGAACAACTCAGATGGCGTCGTTTATCATCGATGGCGTAACAGTGATTGATTTGAAGATCTCAGAATTGCTTGTTCTCAGTTTTAATCTTCCGGCAGTATCAATTTCGTCATTCTATTCGTCAAATCTCGTTTCGAATCTGGCTGCTCTTCTTGGCGTCAGTTCAGATATGATTCGACGTGTGAATATAATTTCAGCTAACAATAACAGGTTTGTCAATGAATTACTCACCTTTTCATGCCAAGATAATTGCATCTTTTATTTAGTCGAGTCTATCGTCGACAAGTTTCGACATTTACACTAAGAATCGAACTGCGTTTTGATCCAGCAACTAATCTGACAGCTAACACATCGAATCAAACGGCAATTTTATCGAACATTACATCCTCGATTATCAATCGCTACCAGTGTGGAGATTTACAATCATCTTGGTCAGCAAATCCATCATTAGGAGGCGTAGCTCCACTAAGTTTCAGTGTTCAAGAACCTTTGAATGAAACTTCTGTTCCATTGAGTATAATCGATCACATCAAAATCCTTCAATTGCCATCATCATGTCGCGAGCAGAGTCCATGTCAAATCCAGCCAATCATTGTTGCATACGATTCATCCGGAAATGTCATTAAGAAACTAGGTTCCATCGACCAACCATGGCAAATCCAAGCGACGATCATTGGATCGTCAGGTGTATCGCTTCTTGGCGCAGTTGCTAATTATGCCGATGGACAAGCTCAATTTTCATCGCTCGCATTTCCATCGATGGGAAACTTTCAAGTGCAATTTTCCTTTATCTTACCCAATGGCGTTAGCAGGTAGAGCTTTATAATTACTCAGTGGCAATAAATTCGATTACTTTTCGTTTTAGTTCATTCGTTGCTTCCGCTAATTTAATTGTGTCTGGGTCATCGTTAACGGTAACGCGCGCGACACTATCAGGAAAAGTAGTGAGCCAACAATCCGTCGTGTCAGTCAACGAAACATTTAATTATTCTGCTGTGATTACGGATAGTGTGTCGTTATATCCAATCCAAAACATCAGTTGGAGAAATCTTCAATGGTCAGCAACTATTTCCTTATATAAACTACCAGAATACAATCCTCAAGGTTCATTGCTTACAAACGCGTCATCAACGATCAGTATCGATCCAAATACCGGAATTATCACAGTTACGAATCTCGCTATTACTCACATTGGAATGTATATTCTGAACATAACAGTCAAATCATCGAACGGAGAGTACTCATTTACCATTCCATCGAATGGAATCTTGGTGAAATCGATCGACACTACACTAATTACCGATGTTGGTGAACCAGTGTCGTATATACATTTTAATGGTGATTATGATGCGTTGAACACAAGTCGATTGCTGGAAATCAAGCGAGCAGTTATTTACAATTACTTAATCAGTATTCGATTACCGATTATCAGCGATATAACAATTTACAAAGGTAAGAATTCTAACTTTTGGTTAATTGTTTTCAAGATCATTTGTTACAGGAAGTGTCAAGTCGTCGTTTGTGGTCGATTCGGTACCGGAAAATACGTCCTATGCGGTGCAAGCTGTTCAATCCAATAATGATGCAGTCTCCGATCTGACAACAACTGAAATTGTCATCAATGGTCGTTCGTACGACGTTCCAACCAAAGAAGTCTCCCAAACAAATACACCATTGATCATCGGACTTGCAGTCGGTTTACCTCTTGCGATAGCGCTCGTCGGTGCAACAGTTTTTGCTTATTTCAAATACAAGAAAGGTATTCAACATCGTCGCTTATTCAATGATCCAGAAATGAACAAATGTTCAACGGCTTCAGCAAATGAAACCTGTGCAGAAAACAATCAAGTGACTTCGGCATCTGAAACAACATCGATCACTCGCCTTAATTCGCCGTTACCGACAGAAACACCACGAGCTGGGTCGGCCGCTCTTAGTGTGGTCACATTGAATGTCATGAATACAAATCAATCAATGCCTCTCGTTGAACTTGCTTGAACGAACTCATAAACTTATTCAGCGTTTCCCTAGTTAGCGTCCGATCACTTTTCCCCCTCCAACTCAGCTAATTCCGAGCCACCATGACTAGTTATAAAAGTATAAAAATAAAGTTTACTTTCGTATATCATTTTCATGAAATTGGATACTTCGGTGCTTCTGACAATTTCAAAGCAGAAAAATCACGATAATTAATAATCTACTTGAGCATTCCTCCCTCTCAAAATGCATAATATTCAGCTTTCAAATGATTTTTATTAATTAGAAAAAGCAGTTTCAAAATTCTTTCATAAAACTTGTTCATTCACGTCTTATTTCTCGTGGTTCATTCGAGACCGTATTGGTTTGTATGCCCATGACAAAATTGATTTCATATCGTTCCGGTCGACCAGGAAATTGAACACACCATTTACTCGAACCAGCACCTTTTACATAGGCTTGATAGGCATCCTCAATGTCTTGTTGTACCATAGTTTCGTAAGGTGTCCATAGTTTGTGTTCATTTTGGTAGAACCATCGTACTTTGACATTAATTTTCGAGTCTTCCAGACGGTTTCGTTGAATACTACGCGGAAAATGAGTTTTCGTATTAGTTTGTCGATTTGCTGCGAAGTCAATTTGATACGTTTGCGGAATATCATCGATATAACGAATAAGTGGTGGTGTGACGAAGAATGACGGGCCTTTATGAAGTTTCCATTTTTCGTAAGACTCTTCCAGTATCTGATTGATCTTGTCATTGTACGGCTCGAATGTCAAATCGTCTTTGCGCCAAGCCCAGCGGAAAGGTGATGTCCATGTCTTCAAACGGCTGGTTTCTGGAAGTTGACTTGTACAAGTTGAACTGAGAGTAAACGAAAAGTTCAACTTATTTTCCGCCTTTTTTCCGTATGTAATTACAGCTACCGGTAGATTAAACGCAGTCTTCCAATCAGTTGGATTATTCACTACATAGCAAAAATCTTTATGAGTTTTGACTCGATCGCATTTCATAACATAAGCGACAAGCATCATATAACTTTCAGACAATGGATTATCTTTGATGGAATAGCCATGTGAAATAGTTGCTTTAACACCGAAGTATTCTCCACTTCCATAGACTTGACCTGAACGTCGACTAGGGTCGAAACCAAAATAGCAAATCGATTCCACAGCTTTCGCTGATGTACCATGGAAACCAAAGAAACCTTGGTTTATATCAGGTGGTGGTTGACATCCCAGTTCACGAACGCCTTCATAAAAGCATGTCAACGACGGAGTATTTGGTTGTTTGAGATATGGATTGCAAATAATATCGACAATACGTGGCAATTCTGGTGGCCAATTGTCCTTAACAAATTCTTCGACATTTTTGAAAAGTTGTGGAAAAAATTCTGTGTTCTCTTTTCTCAATTGTTCACGTTCGACGCACGTACGATTTTCGTGCAATTCATCGTCGATTAGTTTGCAATTCGCGCATACACCACGTCCACAAGTAAGACATGTTTGATAATCTTTGTTACGAAAGATTAATCCCTCACACGACTCATTCGGGCAAAATAAAAGATCTTTGTCTGTCGCATTGGTAGGACAATTAAGATAGTTTTGAATAGCAACTTTGCATAATTCAACTAAATCGCCACGATTACTGCAGAACATCTCGTTGATATCTTGAATATGAATATTCCGTCTACATCTTGGACAACTCAACGGCAATTTCTTCAATGTGCTCACCGCACATCGGCAGTAGGCGTGACCACATATACGAAATGTTCGAGTGGCAATTCTTTTCTGTTTACAAAACGAACATTCACGCGTATTATCTTGTTGATAAGTTATATCAGACATTTCTGAACCATCATCGTCATTTATGTTAACGAACATCTTCAGTAATTGTTCGATGTCGGTCTTACAAGTAGTAACTGCTTCTATTGTTGCGTTTGGCTGCGCATAAAAAATGATGGAACTTGTTCGACGATCAAGAACGACACTGCAACCTTTAGATTGATACTTTTTATCGATTTCTTGTAATTTCACATCGGCAGCTTTTTGACGGCCGAAATAACCGACAGTTGTAGCATTCAAATCGTAAACAATGAACCGCTGATCAAATTCGTCTGCGTAGTCACCAATACGACGCATTAATTGACCTTGTTCGATTTGCGGTCCACAGATTTCTACAATAGCGCCATATTTATCTTTTTCTTCGCACGATAATTTCAGTTCTTTCGCCCACGTTTGTATTATATTTTGATCGAAAAGTTCTTTGAACAGATATTTTTGCCGATTATCAATTAATTTAATGGCAATCGGTGATGTTATTTGATAGAGCATGGCTGCAGCAAGAGCAGTTGCAGACGGGAAAGCGTCCGAAAAATAATAACGCGCAGCTTGATAATCACCGCGCTGCGGCAGAGGATGATGTTCTTCACGAACGTGAAACTTGTTACATATATACGAGATTGACTTGTCCAGATCTGGATAGAGTTCTAAATGTGTGACAGTAACACATGCTGAGGTACGTACTGTCCAAAAAGGCCATACTCTCGAATAAATATCATGTGCATCCTTTCGACTCCTTGCCGTTATCAGAAATTCGGAAGGTTCTACTTGTAATCTTTNGATAGCGCTCGTCGGTGCAACAGTTTTTGCTTATTTCAAATACAAGAAAGGTATTCAACATCGTCGCTTATTCAATGATCCAGAAATGAACAAATGTTCAACGGCTTCAGCAAATGAAACCAGTGCTGAAAACAATCAAGTGACTTCGGCATCGGAAACAACATCGATCACTCGCCTTAATTCGCCATTACCAACAGAAACACCACGAGCTGGATCGGCCGCTCTTAGTGTGGTCAAATTGAGTGTCATGGATATAAATCAATCAATGCCTCTCGTTGAACTTGCTTGAATGAACTCATAAACTTATTCCGCGTTTCCCTAGTTAGCGTCCGATCACTTTTCCCCCTCCAACTCGGCTAATTCCGAGCTACCATGACTAGTTATAAAAGTATAAAAATAAAGTTTACTTTCAAAATCATTTTCATGAAATTGGATACTTCGGTGCTTCTGACAATTTCAAAGCAGAAAAATCACCATGATTAACAATCTACTTGAGCATTTTTCCCTCTCAAAATGCATAATATTCAGCTTTCAAATGATTTTTATTAATTAAAAAAAGTAGTTTCAAAATTCTTTCATAAAACTTGTTCATTCACGTTTTATCTGTCGTGGTTCATTCGAGACCGTATTGGTTTGTATGCCCATGACAAAATTGATTTCATATAGTTCCGGTCGACCAGGAAATTGAACACGGAATTTACTCGAACCATCGCCTTTTACATAGGCTTGATAGGCGTTCTCAATGTTTTGTTGTACCATAGTTTCGTAAGGTGTCCATAGTTTGTGTTCATTTTGGTAGAACCATCGTACTTTGACATTAAGTTTCGAGTCTTCCAGACGGCTTCGTTCGATATTACGTGGAAAATGAGTTTTCATATTAGTTTGTTGATTTGCTGCGAAGTCAATTTGATACGTTTGCGGAAGATCATCGATATAACGAATAAGTGGTGGTGTGACGAAGGATGATGGGCCTTTGTGAAGTTTCCATTTTTCGTAAGACTCTTCCAGTATCTGATTGATCTTGTCATTGTACGGCTCGAATGTCCGATCGTCTTTGCGCCAAGCCCAGCGGAAAGGTGATGTCCATGTCTTCAAACAGCTGGTTTCTGGAAGTTGACTTGTACACGTTGAACTGAGAGTAAACGAAAATTTCAACTTATTTTCCGCCTTTTTTCCATATGTAATTACAGCTACCGGTAGATTAAACGCAGTCTTCCAATCAGTTGGATTATTCACTACATAGCAAAAATCTTTCTGGGTTTTGACTCGATCACATTTCAGAACATAAGCGACAATCATCATATAACTTTCAGACGATGGATTATCCTTGATGGAATAGCCATGTGAAATAGTTGCTTTAACACCGAAGTATTCTCCACTTCCATAGACTTGACCTGAACGTCGACTAGGGTCGAAACCAGAATAACAAATCGATTCCACGGCTTTCGCTGATGTACCATGAAAACCAAAGAAACCTTGGCTTATATCAGGTGGTGGTTGACATCCCAGTTCACGAACGCCTTCATAAAAACATCTCAACGATGGACTTTTTGATGGTTGTTCGAGATACGGATTGCAAATAATACCGACAATACGTGGCAATGCGGGTGGCCAATTGTCCTCAACAAATTCTTTGACATCTTTGAAAAGTTGTGGAAAAAATTCTGTTTTCTCTTTTCTCAATTGTTCACGTTCGACGCACGTACGATTTTCGTGCAATTCATCGTCGATTAGTTTGCATTTCGCGCAGACACCACGTCCACAAGTAAGACATGTTTGATAATCTTTGCTACGAATGATTAATCCTTCACACGACTCATTCGGGCAAAATAAAAGATCTTTGTCTGTCGCATTGGTAGGACAATTAATATAGTTTTGAATAGCAACTTTGCATAATTCAACTAAGTCGCCACGATTACTACAGAACATCTCGTTGATATCTTGAATATGAATATTCCGTTCACATCTTGGACAACTCAACGGCAATTTCTTCAATTTGCTCACCGCACATCGACAATAGGCGTGACCACATATACGAAATGTTCGAGTGGCAATTCTTTTCTGTTCACAAAACGAACATTCACGTGTACAATCTTGTTGATAAGTTATATCAGACATTTCTGAACCATTGTCGTCATTTATGTTAACGAACATCTTCAGTAATTGTTCGATGTCGGTCTTACAAGTGGTAACTGCTTCTATTGTTGCGTTTGGCTGCGCATAAAATATGATGGAACTTGTTCGACGATCAAGAACGACACTGCAACTTTTAGATTGATACTTTTTATCGATTTCTTGTAATTTCACATCGGCAGCTTTCTGACGACCGAAATAACCGACAGTTGTAGCATTCAAATCGTAAACAATGAACCGCTGATCAAATTCGTCTGCGTAGTCGCCAATACGACGCATTAATTGACCTTGTTCGATTTGCGGTCCACAAATTTCTACAATAGCGCCATATTTATCTTTTTCTTCGCACGATAATTTCAGTTCTTTCGTCCACGCTTGTATTCTATTTTGATCGAAAAGTTCTTTGAACAGATATCTTTGCCGATTATCAATTAATTTAATGGCAATCGGCGATGTTATTTGATAGAGCATGGCTGCAGCAAGAGCAGTTGCAGACGGGACAGCGTCCGAAAAATAATAACGCGCAGCTTGATAATCACCGCGCTGCGGCAGAGGATGATGTTCTTCACGAACGTGAAACTTGTTACATATATACGAGATTGACTTGTCGAGATCTGGATAGAGTTCTAAATGTGTGACAGTAACACATGCTGAGGTACGTACTGTCCAAAAAGGCCATACTCTCGAATAAATATCATGTGCATCCTTTCGACTCCTTGCCGTTATCAGAAATTCGGAAGGTTCTACTTGTAATCTTTCACAGGTGGGATTAACAGAGATCTTCGTATACCTTTGGTGTTTCTGCGAAAAGATCGTGATCAAGTGTGTTTCCTTGCATAATTCATTTGCGAGTAATTGACACGCTCGATTGCATTGCTGCCGATCATCGAAAGTGATACGGACGGTAGTGCTGCCTATTTTATAATTATTAGGATCAGAACGCAAAATAGTAATGTGTTGAGGATCATAATCGGGTCCGAGAAGTTTTCTGACTTGTTGCTCTTCGATGTCAGCTGGTAAATTCGTCAGATGTAAGACAGATAAGCCTTTTTTGCCTTGCCGCTTACAATCTACAATGGAACTGCCTAGGATTGTTTTGACTTGTTCTTCATTTATTGATTTATCTGCTTGAACTTTCAGTATTAACTGACGACCCCATGTAGTCTTTTCAGGCATATGAACGCAATCAAATACACCAGTTTGATGAGGATTAATATAGTATTTTGGTAAATCTTTCATAACTCGAGTGAAAGCATCGGCAGATCCGAGCATAACGAAGCAAGGTGGCGCTTCGTAACCATTGCTCGCTGCTTTAGGTTCAATGCATGAACGAAAACTATGCTCTCGAATAGTCTGACGAGGACAACCAGCGTTTGACTCAAACCATTCATAGAATTGTTCCAATGTCTTGCATGGGACATGTTGCAAGTCAACTCGATTTTTCGAAAGTGTCGTATGATATACGGTGTCGATACGTATACAAGTTAAACCGCTGTTAAATGACGCTCGAATCGGTCCACAATCAAGGCAACGATTACGATCCAATAAATCTAGGCGTGTGGATTTTGCAACAACTTTCAAGCTANAACCAGCGTATGACCCAAACCATTCATAGAATTGTTCCAATGTCTTGCACGGGACATGGTGCAAGTCAATTCGATTTTTCGAAAGTGTCGTATGATATATGGTGTCGATACGTATACAAGTTAAACCGCTGTTAAATGACGCTCGAATCGGTCCACAATCAAGGCAACGATTACGATCCAATAAATCTAGGCGTGTGGATTTTGCAACAACTTTCAAGCTACCACAAATTTCATCACTGTCTGTACGTTTACCCCATACGGTGAATTTGCACTGATACTGATCGTATTCGTAGGCAAGCCATTTCGACCACGGTTTTTTATCATAGTTTTTCATTTTCTTTCGTATTTCGATATTCCATTCCCAGCCGACGTTCTTTAATTTTTTCAGTGGCGATAAAGTTTGAAGTAGTTTATCGTTTGATGGGTGAATAGGGTGTAAACGTTCAATCACATAGTCATTACTAGGCAATTGAGTTATTGACATAGCGATAAAATGAGTTTTGTTTATTCGACGTTGGACAAAAACACTTGTTCTAGTGACTCGTGCTCGAATCTGATTCTTTTGTAGATAAACGCCTTCGTTCGGTAGGTGTGCTATGAGAAGACATCCATAATTTTCAGGAAAATATTTTAGCAAATATCTGCCTATAATGTCATTCTCGATCGCTTGTGTTAAGAAACCAGGACTGAGTTTCCAACATGTGTTTTTGATTATTTTAATAAAAAAATCCGATGAATTCTCCACATTGTACAGAACTTTGCTGTTTAAATTATTCTCTAAGCTGTACGCAACGCGGCATGGGCGACATGCTTGCTCTCGTTTGCTAGTTACTTTCTGACATTTTAAACAGATACGAGACGTAAGATCTACCTCACCTATTTTCTTCCATTGATTGTAAACCGTAGTGAAATAAATCAGGTCACTTTCGTATTGCTGCGCTCCTAATGAAACGCGACCAAGAGCTGCTTGCTTGAGTTCTTTGGTTGCGCCGCCCATAATAAATATTGATCCAGGTGCCGTTAAAATGGCAACGATAGTGGCAGTTAGGTCAATGATAGGACCGTGTTCCAGATAAGTGTCGACTAGAAATGCACACAGACGCGGATCGAGACCAAGTTCGCTGAAAAGCTCACCGCGTCGGGTGAGGCTTCTGTTGTTTTCTTCCAAACATGATAGTTCAGTTAATAGTGTAAATGACGCACGCAAATCTGTATCCTTTGGACGATCCAGAAAATGAAATGACGCTNTGGCAACGATAGTGGCAGTTAGGTCAATGATAGGACCGTGTTCCAGATAAGTGTCGACTAGAAATGCACACAGACGCGGATCGAGACCAAGTTCGCTGAAAAGCTCACCGCGTCGGGTGAGGCTTCTGTTGTTTTCTTCCAAACATGATAGTTCAGTTAATAGTGTAAATGACGCACGCAAATCTGTATCCTTTGGACGATCCAGAAAATGAAATGACGCTGGATCGAGTTTCAAACGAAGAAGTTGTAGAGTGACCAAATCAAGAGACGAACGTTGAATTTCTGGTTCGATATTATCACGTTGCAAATCATCTTCTTTGTACAAACGGATGCAATGTCCGGCTGCTGTTCGACCTGCTCGACCGGTTCGTTGGTTTGCAGACGATTTTGATATACGAACCGTCTCGATAATAGTAAGTCGACGTTGAGGATCGAATCGAGCCTCTTTGGCCAAACCAGAATCGATTACCAAACAAGTATTTTTAATTGTTAGCGATGTTTCAGCAATATTAGTGCAGAAAATTACCAGTCGTCGATGTTCAGATGGATTCTCATCGAACTGGAGAACTTGAGACTGTTCTTCGGGCGAAAGCGATCCGTGTAATGGTAATGCAATACAATTCTCGGGTATGCTTGCGGTAAAAAGATTAATAGCCTGCTCAATTTCTTGTTGACCTGGAAGAAATACCAGAGTATGTCCTTCGTGGTGACTGTGAACTTTCAATAAAGTAGACACCACGTGGTCTTCTTCAGAGTCATCTGGTTTCGGAATATATTCAGTTTGAACAGGATATAATCGACCGGCGACGCAAAGTGCTTGACTATCATGTTTAGTAAAAAATCGAAGAAATTTTTCAGGTGCGATTGTAGCCGAAGCGATAACTACGTAAAACTCAGATGGTCGCTCGAGCAATAATAGTTTTGCTATGCCCAAAACAATGTCAGTATTAAGTGATCGTTCATGAGCTTCATCGATAATCAAAACTTTCACGTCATTCAATTGACGGTCTAGCTGACTCTTTTGTATCAAAGCAGCATCAGTCATGAAAACGATACTTGTGCCAGGTACTTGGTTAGTAGTGCTCTGAATGCCTCTACGACCTACCTCGTAACCGACCGATTCGCCCACAGATATTCCATCGTACTCATTGGCAACACGACGTGCGAGTGCGATGGCTGCAAGTGCTCTAGGTTGAGTGCAGACAACGAGCCCACGGAAATATTCAGCTGCATATTGAGGCAACTGGGTACTTTTTCCACTCCCCGTTTCAGCTGTAACGACTAAAACACGTTCTTTGCTTAATCGTTGACAAANTGGCAACGATAGTGGCAGTTAGGTCAATGATAGGACCGTGTTCCAGATAAGTGTCGACTAGAAATGCACACAGACGCGGATCGAGACCAAGTTCGCTGAAAAGCTCACCGCGTCGGGTGAGTCTTCTATTGTTTTCTTTCAAACATGATAGTTCGGTTAATAGTGTAAATGACGCACGTAAATCTGTATCCTTTGGGCGATCCAGAAAATGAAATGACGCTGGATCGAGTTTCAAACGAAGAAGTTGTAGGGTGACCGAATCAAGAGACGAACGTTGAATCTCTGGCTCGATATTATCACGTTGCAAATCATCTTCTTTGTACAAACGGATGCAATGTCCGGTTGCTGTTCGACCTGCTCGACCGGTTCGTTGGTTTGCTGATGATTTCGATATACGAACCGTCTCGATAATAGTAAGTCGACGTTGAGGATCGAATCGAGCCTCTTTGGCCAATCCAGAATCGATTACCAAACGAGTATTTTTAATAGTTAGCGATGTTTCAGCAATATTAGTGCAGAAAATTACCAGTCGTCGATGTTCAGATGGATTCTCATCGAACTGGAGAACTTGAGATTGTTCTTCGGGCGAAAGCGATCCGTGCAATGGTAATGCAACACAATTCTCGGGTATGCTTGCGGTAAAAAGATTAATAGCCTGCTCAATTTCTTGTTGACCTGGAAGAAATACCAAAGTATGTCCTTCGTGGTGACTATGAACTTTCAATAAAGTAGACACTACATGGTCTTCTTCAGAATCATCTGGTTTCGGGATATATTCAGTTTGAACAGGATATACTCGACCAGCGACGCAAAGTGCTTGACTATCATGTTTAGCAAAAAATCGAAGAAATTTTTCAGGTGCGATTGTAGCCGAAGCGATAACTACGTAAAACTCAGATGGTCGCTCGAACAATAATAGTTTTGCTATGCCCAAAACAATGTCAGTATTAAGTGATCGTTCATGAGCTTCATCGATAATTAAAACTTTCACGTCATTCAATTGACGGTCTAGCTGACTCTTTTGTATCAAAGCAGCATCAGTCATGAAAACGATACTTGTGCCAGGTACTTGGTTAGTAGTGCTCTGAATGCCTCTACGTCCTACTTCGTAACCGACCGATTCGCCCACAGATATTCCATCGTACTCATTGGCAACACGACGTGCGAGTGCGACGGCTGCAAGTGCTCTAGGTTGAGTGCAGATAACGAGCCCACGGAAATATTCAGCTGCATATTGAGGCAACTGGGTACTTTTTCCACTCCCCGTTTCAGCTGTAACGACTAAAACACGTTCTTTGCTTAATCGCTGACAAAACTCGTTTTGGCAAGCCAATATAGGTAGGTTTGCTTTCTTCCTTTCTTCTTGACGTTGTTCCAATGTCTTTAACGTTTTCGATGATTCAAAAGGACCTTTCTCGTTGGTATACCTTAAAGCACCAAACAAGACTCGATCGGATGGATGCGATGTATGCGGACAAGCAGGATTCGCGCATTTTCTGCCATCTTGGCATGGATCCCAATTGGTAGGATGAAGATTGTGACAGTAATAGTAACCACAATTGACACCTTTATCGCATTCCATCGATCGTCCCGGTGGATGATTCTCCGAGCAATCGAGATCTTTGCAGCCAACGCCAAAAAAGCATACTTTTCGGTTTGATGGATGTAGACAAGTACATGCACTATTGTAACAGTGTAGACCGTATATACAATCTTTTAATCGATTATCCGAATGTAATGCATCACACTGCCACGCTTGACCATTGTCAAATTCAGTGCGAACAGGTGGACGGGTTGAAGGATGTAAACATCGGCATCCCGCATCTGTGCAATTCGCTGCGTTTTTACATGGCTTTGTTCTACCAATCGGATGGTCAGCTTTGCAATCAAAATTTTCGCAGTGAGTACCGTCATTGCATGTTCCAGTTTCGTCAGTTTTTCTTGAAAAAGCATAACTCGGTAAGCACACAGAAGGTCTCGAATGTATAGCAGGCGTGTTGGTACTACGTATTTCTCGGATGACAGGTCTTTGATCGAATTGAAAATTACGATCACTTTGACGCGATTGACGTGAAGTTGCTGAATCTGCGGTTGTGATGCGGTAATTATTGCTATGTTTATCATCGTCACTACTTTCTTGGTCTCGAAATATCGATGCACGGTGTGCTTCAAATGTAGGAAAAAATTCGGAGTTAAACTATGTGCTACACGACCAAATTCAATGCAGAATGACTTACTCGATGTAAACATTGCCGGCTTTTGTGCAGAGACGAGACGAGGCTTCACATGAGATTGAGTTTCAGACATCTGTGGTCGAGAAGTTGGTGGACATAACGATCTACTTCTACCTTTTTCGTTGGTCTTCACCGCTTTACATTTTATTTCATAGGTGCAAACCCTTTTCCCATCCCACCGTTGTGCAAACCTATTAGCGGCACTTTCACTTTCGAAGCTGTTTATCCATGCAAAAAAATTCGGACCGGATTGACTTCTCGGTACGGCAACTCTACTTTCTTCGATGCTAAGTTCCTTGGCTAACTCGCCAGTCTCGACGAGACGTCGTAGACACGTCACTTTCGCGCACCATATTGTTACCATGTATCGACGATTTCTACAGAAATTGAGTTATGCACGATGAAAAGTAAAATTTCGTACACGAGAAACTACTTGAATGTTTGCTCTCAACGACAACATCTTCTTTACGTTGGGGAATTTTTTTCTCTTTCCTAACAAATTTTACTTATTTTTCTCGCACCGACAAATTAAAAAAAAAACAGTCAACTTCAATTACACACTCCTATGCGATCGAAACAGTGAGGTATTCTTATTAGTTGGAACTCGATTTTGCCATTAAGGGGGGATACCCCCCCTGCAACCTGCCCTCAAATTTTGTCAGTTTGTAGAGTTGATCCCCAAGGGTCTAGGGTTAAAATATTTCGCGGGTCCGATGCTCTTTGGCCGAGTTATAAAGATTTCAAAATTTGAAAAAACCGGTTTTTAATGCATTTTCGGCTCAGTGCCAAAAGTAATTCTTGCCAAGTCCCGTATTTGAACAAATCGTTTCAAAAACCAATTTTTTTGGGAATATGTTTGTTATGTTCATGTCCACCGGATAACATATTTTCTCCCCGAAAAAAAATCTCTTCGCAAAAATTGCCTACGTGAAACTGAATTTGGGTGGTGTGAAAACATAAAAATTTCGAGAAAACCAGTACGGATTCGTTTCTTCGTTTCCAACTAACATTCCAACACTTGTTCCACAAACAGCTCAAGCAGCTCTACTGATTCCAATGAGAAAAGAAGTTTCACCCAGTCTCACCCAACCTCACCCACACCCACACCCTCATAGAACAATTTGTTGCGCTTGTTATTAAATGTGGGCGAAGTCATATACATTTATAATCATATGATGATGATGAACTGTTAGGATAATATGAACAATCTTTCCTTTCGTCATTTCCATCCAAACAATCAATATTGTACTTACTTAGACTCTCCAATGCAAATTCTAATGGAATACATTGACTGTTATGACACCGATATTCGTTTTCATTACATTCATTCAATTCCAGTTCTTCACAATATCGTTCGCCTTCGCGATTAAGACAATCAATTCTTCTGTTACAGATTTCACGCCAATCAAGACAACATAGCCATGATTTTCCCTAGCAATTTTCGACGGATCGATAACATATGCCTGCGCTCTCTGGCTGTGTTGATCGTCGAATGAAAGTTTCCCTGAATGTTATCAATGGATCATAAGAAAATTCATATTCACACTTTGTACTAAACCATGGTGATGAACAATTGTAAAAGGCAGTTCTGTTACCTATTTCATATTTTTCAGCAATATTCATCGGTAAAAACCAACCTAATAAATCTTCGTCACTGATACCATAATGTTTTTACATCAAGTTCTGTAATCATATTTTCATCAATCGTATATTTTGACTGTTCTTCATCAAATTTTGGTCGGCGACAATATGGAATTAAATAATAATTACGAATATAGGGTGCAGGAGTAATCAAATATTTATCCATATCCCAAGCAGCATAGAGATAACCAAATGCAGATGAAGAATTATTCTCATCATTTGTATTGTATAATATATAATGAGCATAAATTGTATGATAGAAAGTAAGAACAACAACATCAACTAAGAGATGTAGATGAACCATAGTTTCACTGGTTTTTTTAGTAATGATTTGCATTATGTATGCATATATAATCATAAAATATGCTTTAGCTCCATTCTTCTTACAGATAGAAAACAAAGCACAATACACTTTTCATTTTTGTTGTATAAATTCGGAAAACATTGATATTTTTTTATGTTTTAGAGAGAATCTGTCGTTCTAATTTATCGATGTTCGACAAAGTGTAAATTGTGTTAGTGTCGTTCTTCAGTGACATCATGCCTTTCTCTCTTAGCTGTTATGCGCGTATATCAAGGACGAAGAAGAAGCTACGATCCGCTTCCTTCTCGCTTTTAACCTTAGCCTATACATCATTTGCAGATATGTTTTTAATTTATTGAGAATATGCGTATATAGTCAATTACAGAGTCTGTCGAACAGATACAACTGCAGTTCGTCGTCTTGTTTCATGTATATCATCCATTGGAGCTACATTTCTTCGACGTTTCCAACCAAAATTCATAATTTTGTTAACTAAATCTGGTATTGCAGACAGACATGTTGCTGGTAGTAATAATGGCATGTAGTAAAGAATGTATTCCAAGGTTGTATATTGATCGGCCATGAATGAGGGCATTGCGGTCATTTGAATGAGACTCACGATGACAAGTGGTGACCAAAGTGCAATATGCAGCGTAGAGATAGCCCAAAACTGCAAGATCATTTTCCTATGTCGTCGCCAATTGATTGCTGGTTGATGAGACATTTTTTCCCTGACGACTCGAATGATCAATAATGCATTGACAAGAATATTAATACCAAGCGAGACACATACATTGAAAACAAAGTCATAGATGCCTAAGAAACCCGTATAAGTGTAACATGGAGGTCCGCAAAGAAGTGTTTCATAGTTCCATGCATTAGTACATTGTGAATTGGAAACGATCAGAATCAGATATACAATCGGTGCCCATATGAGACAAATGATCAAAGGTAAGACATGAAGGATCCATTTTTTCCATCCAACTTGAGTCATATTTTGTGAATGGAAAACAAGTATGTTTCTTTCGATGGATATCCATGCCATAAGAAACAACGCTGTTGTGTCACAAGAGAAACTTAACCAAACCCACCAGGCACAGAAAGCATCTGATTCCGGCCAAAGTCTTCCACGATAGTAAAACGACAGTGCTACTGGCAAATCGAAAATCAATTGAACGAAATTGAGAATCAGCAAAACGAGCCAACTATGATGTTGTTGTTTTAAGCGAGTCGCCGGTTTTTGCGCAAAGTATATGAAGATAATCAATGAAATACAAATAGCTTGAATTTCAAAGATAAGTGCCAAAGAAAATTCAATTCGATAGAACATGACTTCCAACTAGTAAAGCAAATCTAACAAGAATAAATGCACGACAACTTTAGTTAGGAAAAAAAAAGAAGGATATGACTGTGACGCGTAATCAAAAGCAGAAAACCACTACGCTAATGAAGTCTGGAATAGAATTAAGAAAAAATACCCTATTTATGTACCCATCTGATTCATCGAAGTTTTTTCACTGCTGCAGAAGAGATGTTTACAAAATTTTGAAAATTTGACACTAATACATTGACATGAGGAATCGACAAAGTAGTTTAATTGATTTTTTTCTTAGAAATGCGATTAAAATCTATAAAAAACAAAATAAGACTAGAAAGCACTCTCCATGGCGTCGCAGAAAATATCCAACAGACAAGTATTTTTTGTTCCAATACTGTCGAAAGTAAATAGAAATAAAGAGGGAATCGATTTGAGCAGACTTGTTTCTTTGTTTATGCGCAACATAGAAGCACAAGAACATTCGTCACGAAAAACAAAACTTTTAGAATTAGAAGGATAAGACTGATGACCTGAAACGCACTCTGAATACATTTCGGAGCAAAAGACGAAGTAACTCTTACGAAGCTCAATAGAGAATTTGCAAGACTTTCTACGGATTTCTCGATCTCATTACTACGTAATTTACAAAGGCCACAAATACTCTTTATAAAATACTATTCACACGTTGATAATTGATCAATTAAAATTTAAATGGCATAGTTTCCTCAAATAGATTTCACAGTGTTTTGAGAGGAAATGATTATCAGAACGTTTAGCAAACTAATTTGTACGTCAATTTAACAAAATAAATCTATTCCTTTGAGATTTGTGAAACTCTTTTGATAATCTTTTCTTAGTCGATGAAAAAGTGTTTAGAGTCTTTGAAGGAAAGAAATTTCTATTCTTGTCCGTGACGCACAGCTTCAATGTTTGAATAACAATGAAATATCCTATTCTACGCTTCACGGACAAATGCTGACGCACAAAAATCTTTTATTTTTGTTCAATAATGAACTAAAACACGTTTGACTGACTTAAATGTTTTACATTTCCGCCGCATTTTTAATTCAAAGAATTTGATCTGGGAAACGATGCGTCACACATCTAACAAACCGTTTCGTTCATTTCATCAATGAGCATGCCCGAGAAATATTTATATCCTTTGATCTGAAAGTACAAATTCTTCATCCCCAAGTGACTTTTAAACACTTTCGCCATCAGTACTGAAATACCTTGTTATGTTTTGCGCCTCTTAACTCACTGCACTTTGATGCTATGATCAATATCCACTTTGTGATGTATAAGAAAGAAGCTCTTTTAATTCTGTTATCAAAGCGCGAGAGATAGAATGGATTTTACAATAATTTGATATTTTCAGCAGCCTTTATCAAAAAGAATGTCAAACATTTAAAAGTAAAAACAGAGCGAAGATCAATATTTTCAACGGGCTGATCGAGTTGGTTCCACAATAACTAAAGTAAATCTCATAGAAATATTCACATACGAATGTTGACCTTACCCGACTACTGATGTCGACCATTTACAAGCATCGAAAGGCGATGTTACACATGCTTGACTACACGCTACTGTTGTACATGCATAGGAATGCATCAGGCCAACATAATATGGACAATAACAGGTACATTTGTACGCAATTGTGTTACTAATGAATAGTAACATCAAAATCAGAGAGGTTTTTCGAAGCATTGGTGCAAATTCATAATTCAATCGACTTTTTTCAAAGTATTTAACTATTGTGCAAAAGAAAACATTATCTTAATAGATAAATAATTGCACTTGATAATAATTTGTTTTCAAATTAAATATTTAATCGAGAGAATAGGTGACAGTTGTAGTAAATCGTACGCACATACTCCTTTGACCTATATTCAAGCGGCATCTTTTTTCGTGCAACATATTTGAGCAAAACTACGTTCGACTATTTATGTAGGAGAAAAATGGCATCTTTTTTACGTCAATAAAAACATCGGCGATTGTGTTTATCGAGAAACCATTTCAGAGGTAATTTCATCTGAAATTTCTTTCTTGTGAAAGGCATACAAAATCAAGGCTATATATACAAATATTCTATGAGATTTGAGAAAGCTGAATTCCTTCGTAAGGAAAGGAACTCATTCTAGTCTCGAATAGAATACGATTCACATTCAGAGGAGTAGTGCATGATGACACTGCTGATTTTCTATTCTGTGAAAGTTTCGATAAATGATAGATAAAATCACATACACACACTGTCTCTTGCGTTCTGTTTGTCTTCAATTATACGGTGACAGAATGGAAGAGATGAATCATCAGCAACTGATGAGATGTTTTCTTATTTTTTGACCTCACAAGTATTCATCAATGTACTAAACTACTATTGCTTTATTTTCAGACTTGTACGTACGTCAAGATGTCGTTCTTTGATCTTGCGAATAATCCAACAACTGCAATTAAATCGAAATCGAGTGAAAGGAGCCAAGCAATCGATATTTCCAACTTTCGTCCGAAGAATAAAAAACCCATCGGGGTGGATTGGGATGTCAATCCGGGAGATATACTATCATGGAGTGATTACAGGGCGACCAATGTTTATTTGTGAGTAGAAAAATTGCAAAACGATCTTGACTGATAGATTTTTTTAGTGTTACTGATAAGAGACTTCTTCGCAAAAATCGAGACACGTCTGGTTCTGGCTTTTTGACAATTCCACTTTCGATTACACGACTCTTCCCATCTGCGCTGCAACATTATGCCTCAGTATTGGAGAGTGAATCTGACCTGATTTCGGCAATCGAACTTGCTCCGACGGATGGGATTTTTGCTGAAAAATTCGGATCGCCATTGCCCGACACGATTCGTCAAAGAACGGATATTTCATTCGTATACAANCAGCTGTAACGACCAAAACACGTTCTTTGCTTAATCGTTGACAAAACTCGTTTTGACAAGCGAATATAGGTAGGTTTGCTTTCTTCCTTTCTTCTTGACGTTGTTCCAATGTCTTTAACGTTTTCGATGATTCAAAAGGTCCTTTCTCGTTGGTATACCTTAAAGCACCAAACAAGACTCGATCGGATGGATGCGTTGTATGCGGACAAGCAGGATTCGCGCATTTTCTGCCATCTTGGCATGGATCCCAATTGGTAGGATGAAGATTGTGACAGTAATAGTTACCACAATTGACACCTTCATCGCATAACATCGATCGTCCCGGCGGATGATTCTCCGAACAATCGAGATCTTTGCAATCAACGCCAAAAAAGCATACTTTTCGGTTTGATGGATGTAGACAAGTACATGCACTATTGTAACAGTGTAGACCGTATATACAATCTTTTAATCGATTATCCGAATGTAATGCATCACACTGCCACGCTTGACCATTGTCAAATTCGGTGCGAACAGGTGGACGGGTTGAAGGATGTAAACATTGGCATTCTGTATCTGTGCAATTCGCTGCTTTTTTACATGGCTTTGTTCTACCAATCGGATGGTCAGCTTTGCAATCAAAATTTTCGCAGTGAGTACCGTCATTGCATGTTCCAGTTTCGTCAGTTTTTCTTGAAAAAGCATCACTTGGTAAGCACACAGAGGGTCTCGAATGTATAGCAGGCGTGTTGGTACTACGTATTTCTCGGATGACAGGTCTTTGATCGAATTGAAAATTACGATCACTTTGACGCGATTGACGTGAAGTTGCTGAATCTGCTGTTGTGATGCGGTAATTATTGCTATTTTTATCATCGTCACTACTTTCTTGATCTCGAGATATCAATGTACGATGTTCTTCAAATGTAAGAAAAAATTCAGAGTTAAACTATGTGCTACACGACCATATTCAATGAAGAGTGACTTACTCGGTGTAAACATTGCCGGCTTTTGTGCAGAGACGAGACGAGGCTTCATATGAGATTGAGTTTCAGACATCTGTGGTCGAGAAGTTGGTGGACATAACGATCTACTTCTACCTTTTTCATTGGTCTTCACCGCTTTACATTTTATTTCATAGGTACAAACCTTTTCCCCATCCCACCGTTGTGCAAACCTATTAGCAGCACTTTCATTTTCGAAGTTGTTTATCCATGCAAAAAAATTCGGTCCGGATTGATTTCTCGGTACGGTAACTCTACTTTCTTCGATACTAAGTTCCCTGGCTAAGTCGCCAGTCTCAACGAGACGTCGTAGACACGTCACTTTCACGCACCATATTGTTATCATATATCGACGATTTCTACAGAAATTGAGTTGTGCACGATGAAAAGTAAAATTTCGTACGCGAGAAACTACTTGAATGTTTGCTCTCAACAACAATATCTTCTTTACGTTGGGGAATTTTTTTCTCTTTTCTGACAAATTTTACTTATTTTTCTCGCACCGACAGATTAAAAAAAACAGTCAACTTTAGTTACACACTCTTATGGGAGCGAAACAGTGAGGTTTTCTTATTAGTTGGAACTCGATTTTGCCATTAATCGTAAACCAAACAATGAAAGGCACTCTCTGTTTACACAAAAATACGCACATACACTTACGAATCACACAAAAAGAGGTAGATGTATAATTTTGCGGTTTACTTTCTAATAACTTACAAAAAATATTTTTTTACAGTCGTCATCGCTAATGAACTGCCTATAGTTATATCTCTGAAAAGAAAAAAACCGATGTCACGAAAATCGGCTAAAAATTGCCGATTTATCGTGTTTTTTTTTCTATCGATTTATGCGATATATCCTCTGTATGCTAGGTATGATTGAACCTGTTTAGTTTCATTCATGCATATATATTTAGTCATTCATATTCATTATGAAATTCAAATATGTATACATGATTCCACACGATCAGAAATTAAGAAACAATTAAAGTTTTAAAACAACAAAAAAGAGAAATATTTAACAAAGACTTATACAGTTAGTACAGTAATAATCTGAAATAAAAAAAAGCAATCATATGTAATCTAAGTCGAGGAAGATGGAATCAAATAATATTCTACTAAAATAAACATATTACCTTCGATGGAAAACCTTTTTTTCAATCTGAAAATGAAACGACAAAGACATAAATGAACGAAACGTTTGTTAAGTTCGATCATTATATAAGTCGTCCAATGTTAAATAAGGCACACTAGCGACTCTGTTAAGAAAAGAAGTTCAGCTATATGGATTGCAGCAAAAGCAATATGCTAAAAAAATGTATGAGAAGGACAGATAATACTAAATCTACCAAAATATAATTTTTTTCTCAATTAATTAATGAATTGAATGTTAATTACAAAAATCGGCGATTAACGACGATAAATCGCTCTGATATATCAACGATTTTTATAGTATATATTATCCGTTCTATGAACGCTGGAAAATCCTGATTAATCGGTGATTTTTTTCCTATATCTGATTATTTACGATTTTACGTTAACTTTTTCGAAAATCGACAAAATCGCGCCGATTTTCATGACATGGGAAGCGATACAAACTGGAATGTTATTTTTATCGTGAACGTTAGGTGATCAGCGAAATTGAACCGATGGGCAGATGACGCTATAGTATACCAAGATATTATGACTAAGTAGATTGCTTTTGCGTAGAAAGTGAATGGTAAACAGAATGTATGAAGAAAGTTATCATAGGACAATTTGTTGCGCTTGTTATTAAATGTGGGCGAAGTCAGATACATTTATAATCATATGATGATGGTGAACTGTTAGGATATAATATGAACAATCTTTCCTTTCGTCATTTTCCATCCAAACAATCAATATTCTACTTACTTACGCACTCCAATGCAAATTTTTAGGAAATACATTGACTATTATGACACCGATATTTGTTTTCATTACATTCATTCAATTTGAGTTCTTCACAATATCGTTCGTCTTCACTATTAAGACAATCAATTCTTCTGTTACATATTTCACGCCAATCAAGACAGAATAGCCATGATTTTCCCTGGCAATTTTCGATGAATCGATAACATGTACCTGCGTTCTCTGATTGTGTTGATCGTCGAATGAAAATTTCGCTGAATGTTATCGATGGATCATAAGAAAATTGAAATTCACATTTTGTACCAAACCATGGTGATGAACAATTGTAAAAGAAAGTTCTGTTACTTATTTCATATTTTTCAGAAATATTCATCGGTAAAAACCAACCTAATAAATCTTCGCCAATGATACCATGATGTTTTAATGTTTTTACATCAAGTTTTGTTATCAGATTTTCATCCATCGTATATTTTGACTATATTCTTCATCAAATTTTGATCGGCGACAATATGTAATTAAATAATAATTACGAATATAGGTTGCATGAGTAATTAAATATTTATCCATATCCCAAGCAGCATAGAGACAAACAAATGCAGATGAAGAACTACTCTCATCATTTGTATGGTATAATATATAATGAGCATGAATTATATGATAGAAAGTAAGAACAACAACTAAGAGATGTAGGTGAACCATTCTTTCACTCTATTTCTTTAGTAACCATTTGCATTATGTATGCATATGTAATCATAAAATATGCTTTTACTCCATTCTTCTTACAGATAAAGAACAAAGCACAAGTTTACTTTTCATTTTTTGTTGTATAAGCTCACGAAACATTGGTATTTACTTCTGTTTTAAAGAGAATCTGTCGTTTTAATTTATTAATGTTCGACAAATGTAATTTTTTGTTAGTGTCATTCTTCAGTGACATCATGCCTTTCTCTCTTAGTTGTTATGCATGCATATAAACGATGAAAAAGAAGCCACAATCCGCTTCCTCCTCGCTTTTAACCTTAACCTATACATCATTTGCAGATATGTTTATAATTTATTGAGAATATGCGTATATAGTCAATTACAGAGTTTGTCGAACGGATACAACTGCAGTTCGTCGTCTTGTTTCATGCATGTCATCCACTGCAACTACATTTCTTCGACGTTTCCAACCAAGATTCGTAATTTTGCTAACTAAATCTGGTATTGCAGACAAACATGTTATTGGTAGTAATAACGGCATGTAGTAAAGAATGTATTCCAAGGTTGTATATTGATCCGCCATGAATGAAGGCATTGCAGTCATTTGAATGAGGCTCACGATGACAAGTGGTGACCAAAGTGAAATATGCAGTGTAGAGATAGCCCAAAACTGCAAGATCATTTTTCTATGTCGTCGCCAATTGATTGCTGGTTGATGAGACATTTTTTCCTTGACAACTCGAATGATCAATAATGCATTGACAAGAATATTAATGCCAAGCGAGATGCATACATTGAAAACAAAGTCATAGATGCCTAAGAAACCCGTATAAGTGTAACATGGTGGTCCGCAAAGAAGTGTTCCATAGTCCCATACATTAGTACATTGTGAATTGGAAACGATCAGAATCAAATACACAATCGGTGCCCATATGAGACAAATGATCAAAGGTAAGACGTGAAGGATCCATTTTTTCCATCCAACTTGAGTCATATTTTGTGAATGGAAAACAAGTATGTTTCTTTCGATGGATATCCATGCCATAAGAAACAACGCTGTTGTGTCACAAGAGAAACTTAACCAAACCCACCAGGCACAGAAAGTATCTGATTCCGGCCAAAGTCTTCCACGATAATAAAATGACAGTGCTACTGGCAAATCGAAAATCAATTGAAAAAAATTGAGAATCAGCAAAACGAGCCAACTATGATGTTGTTGTTTTAAGCGAGTATTCGGTTTTTGCGCAAAGTATATGAAAATAACCAATGAAATACAAACAGCTTGAATTTCAAAGATAAGTGCCAAAGAAAATTCAATTCGATAGAACATGACTTCCAACTGGTAAAGCAAATCTAATAAGAATAAACGCACGACAACTTTAGTTAGAAAAAAAGAAAGAAGGATATGGTCGTGACGCGTAATCAAAAGCCGAAAACCACTACGCTAATGAAGTCTAGAATAGAATTAAGAAAAAAATATCCTATTTATGTACTCATTTGATTCACCGAGACTTTTTCACTACTGCAGAATTGAAAATTTGATACTAATATATTGACATGAGGAATCGACAAAGTAGTTTAATTGATTTTTTTCTTCGAAATGCAATAAAATCTATAAAAAAATGTATTCTCTTAGGATAATTGCAGCAAAATAAGATTAGAGATCATTCTCCATGGCATCGCAGAAAATATCCAACAGACAAATATTTTTGTTCCAATGCTGTCGAAAGTAGATAGAAATAAAGAGGAACTCGATTTAAGCAGACTTGTTCCTTTGTTTATACGCAACATAGAAGTACAAGAACATTCGTCACGAAAAATCAAAATTTCAGAATTAGGCTGATGACATGAAACGCACTCTGAGTAAGTTTCGGAGAAAAGGACGAAGTGATTCTTATGAAGCTCAATAGATAATTTACCAGATTTTCTACGGATTTCTAGACCTCATTACTATGTCATTTACAAAAGTCGCAAATGCTCGTTATAAAATACTATTCTCACATTGATAATTGATCAATTAAAAATTAAATGCCAGTTTCCTCAAATAGATTTCATGGTTATTTGAGCGGAAATGGTTACCAGAACGTATAGAAAACTAATTTCTATTTCAATTCAACATAATGAAAATATTACTTTTGGGATTTTTCAAAATCTTTTGATAATCTCTTCTTAGTCGATGAAAAAGTGCTTAGGATCTTTGAAGGAAGCAAGTTTCTATCCTTGTCCGCGACGCACAATTTCAATGTCTGAATGTAAATGAAATATTCTACTCTATGCTTCACGGAAAAGTGCTGACACACAAAAATCTTTTGTTTTTCTTCATAAAAAACTAAAACACGCTTGAGTAACTTAAATGTTTTACATTTCCACCGCATTTCTAGTTCAAAGAATTTGATCTGGAAATTAGCAATGCATCACACATCTAACGAAGCGTTTCGTTCATTCCATTAATGAATATATCCCAGAAATATGTATATCCTCTGATCTGAAAGTACGATTTCTCCGTTCTCAAGTGACTTTCAAACTCTTTTTCGCTGAGTTTGACAAAATGTGAATCGAAGAATTTATTTCGAATTCCATCAACACTGAGATATCTTGCCATACTTTGTGCCTCTGAATTCATTACACTTTAATTCTATAATCAATGTCCACATTATAATGAATAAAAAAGAAATTCTTTTGATTCCATTGACAAAGCACGAGAAACAGAATGAATTTTACAGTAATTTGATATTTTCAGTAGTCTTTATCGAACAGAATGTCAAACATTAATAAGTAAAAACAGAGCGAAGATCAATATTTTCAATGGATTGATCGAGTTGGTTCCACAATAACTAAAGTAAATCTCATAGAAATATTCACATACTAATGTTGACCTTACCCGACTACTGATGTCGACCATTTACAAGCATCGAAAGGTGATGTTACACATGCTTGACTACACGCTACCGTTGTACACGCATATGAATGCATCAGACCAATATAATATGGACAGTAACAGGCACATTTGTACGCAATTGTGTTACTAACGAATAGTAACATCAAGATCAGTGATGTTTTTTGAAACATGGGTGTAAATTCATAACTTAATCGACTTTTTTCAAAGTATTTAACTATTTTGCAAAAGACAACATTATCTTAATAGATAAATAATTGCACTTGATAATAATATATTTTCAAATTAAATATTTAATCGAGAGAATAGGTAACAGTTGTAGCATATCGTACACACATACTCTTTCGGCCTATATTCAAGAGGCATCTTTTTTCGTGTAACATATTTCAGCAAAAGGAAACTACGTTCGACTGTTTATATAGGAGAAAAATGACATCTTTTTTATGTCAATAAAAACATCGGCGATTGTGTTTACTGAGAAACCATTTTCAAGAGGTAATTTCAACGGAAATTTCTTTCTTGTGAAAGGCATACAAAATCAAGCTTATATATACAAATAATCTATGAGATTTAAGAAAGTTGAGTTCCTTCGTAATAAAAAGAACTGATTTTAGTCTCGAATAGAATATGATTCACATTCATAGTAGTGCATGATTACACTGCTGATTTTCTGTTTTGTGAAAGTTTCGATAGATGATAGATAAAATCACACACACTCTTGCGTTCTGTTTGTCTTCAGTTATACGGTGACAGAATGGAAAAGATGAATCATCATCTATTGATGAGATGTTTTCTTATTTTTTTGACCTCACAAGTATTCATCAATGTACTAAACTATTATTGCTTTATTTTCAGACTTGTACGTACGGCAAGATGTCGTTCTTTGATCTTGCGAATAATCCAACAACTGCAATTAAATCGAAATCAAGTGAAGGGAGTCAAGCAATCGATATTTCCAACTTTCGTCCAAAGAATAAAAAACCCATCGGGGTGGATTGGGATGTCAATCCGGGAGATATACTATCATGGAGTGATTACAGGGCAACCAATGTTTATTTGTGAGTAGAAAAATTGCGAAACGATCTTGACTGATAGATGGTTTTTAAGTGTTACTGATAAGAGACTTCTTCGAAAAAATCGAGACACGTCTGGTTCTGGCTTTTTGACAATTCCACTTTCGATTACACGACTCTTCCCATCTGCGCTGCAACATTATGCCTCAGTATTGGAGAGTGAATCTGACCTGATTTCGGCAATCGAACTTGCTCCGACGGATGGGATTTTTGCTGAAAAATTCGGATCGCCATTGCCCGACACGATTCGTCAAAGAACGGATATTTCATTCGTATACAATCCAATGGATGAATCACTCTATATAACAGTTAATGGAGAAGAAAGTGATGGATATTCCAGTACTGAAATCAAAACAGAAGATATTGTAGATTATATTAATTCTGCAAACGATAAGAAAGTAGCATTTATTGTCAACTATGATATCAAAGTAGGATTTTTCTCGTAGAGAAATTCTTTTAGGATTTGTTTTCTGTAGGGTAAAGAATCATGCGAAAAATGGCCAACACTTTTACCAAAAGATTTACCGATAGGCTGGCGTTGTAATCAGCATGGTGGAACGTCGTATGGAGAAGATTGTATCCAAGGTGCGTGGAGATTTGAAGGACCAGAAAAGGCAAAAGAGAAAGCTCACGCAGTCGCAGAGCGCTTCTACGATGGATTTAACGTTAGTATAACTTGGGAAACGGAGTCGAGTTGAGACTATATTTGATTGGCTTTTGTTTGACAATAAACATGACCTGACATATATTGCACAACTTTGCCAAAGGGCATGTCATTTTCGAAGTTATTCTCCGTTCTTTTTGTAAAAGTAAACAGGTTGGTGATAGAGAGTTATGAGAAACCGGATAAGACTCCGATGCATGCTCAACAATACAAAACTTTATTTTAATTAGTAAACCGTTTGACAAACAAACAGCAATGTCAACACATTGTATCGTCGATCCCAATATTTGTTGTTATTTATTCTTGATTCAGCGAACCTTCCATTGCCTGTAGTAGTATTACGGATTCTCTTGGTAACGACTGGCGTCGATGTCGCTCAGTTGCATTTGTTGCCAAAGAAGAATCAGACGATATAAGTTTCGTTGTTTCTGGATTTGACGATTGCAAGGAACGTTCAGTGAAGATCAGAATGATGGAATAAAGAAGAGATAGGCCACTGAAGAACCACATGACGTGTTGGAAACCAATTTTCGGTATGATAATGCCTCCTAGACAGGGTCCTAAGACAAGACAAAGTTAGTTATACACCTGAACACACAAACTAATCATATATTGTAAGCTACGTTCTGTTTTGAATACGAGGCTATAGTCATTTGACCGAAAAAAATGGTTCAAGATTTTTCGAAAAGTTCTCATCTTGCTTAAGTTCAAAGACGTTAGAGTGTCTGTTTGCTGAATATCACGTTCTGCGATATAGTAGTTTGTTGTCGTTACCGATTAAAAGTGTTAACGCCGATCCTATCTCAGTGATAGCAAAGGCATTGCCATAATCTGATGTGTAACGTTGATCAACGAGATTGGCCACGGTAAGTAACATGATCGTCTCAACGATGCCTGATACTACACCAATTACTGCCATCGATCCTAAAATCTCCACGAAATAGGTCAAATATGGCATCTACACAAAAAATAAACGGTAATGTTAGATACAGTCTATGAAAATAGCTTTTACTTACGATAAACAAGGTGATGGATTGAACTAGTAAACAGCTAATTGTACAGTACCATACGCTAAGATTCGTGGCTAGCGATGCTAGTACGTTAGCACTTATTATGTACCCAATACCGTCGGGTAAAAAGACAGTACCTAGAAGTCATCCAACTCTCTCTAAAGCGAAAGCTCGAAGTGCTCGATCAAACCTTGAAGCCATATAGGTGCATCGATCGATTCTTCCAACCAAGTTGGTAGCGTTCCCTCGAGTACTGATGAACCGGAGTTGCCCACTATGAGAGCGCCTACGAATCAATCTGGTAACGAAAATAACCAGCAATTGAAGGGATCGGTTACCTGTTGCAATGACAATATATGGATCTTTCACCAATTGCAATAGAGACGGACCGTCGACTTTATTCTTTGATAAATTTAAAATCTTTTTGCTTCTTGTGTCGATCATCAACAAGTGTAGAACTAGTAATTAAATGCTATTGGATTTCGAAAAGTACGTAAAAGAGCATCTATTATTCAGAATGGGCTTTGCAAACAGACATCACATTTAACACCGAATGGCTGACTCCTCAACTTTGATTTGAGAATACGCGTAGAAAATACGTACTTATATTGATAGATGCAATAACTACAATGATGAGAAATGGTGTTGCTTGATTGAAAAAATCATATAACGTAGCAGTAAATGATTTTGCCACTACGTACAGTATCATTAGAATGAAAAGGCATTCGAACTAATTGACTTCTTACAAACACTGCCGAACATACTACAGGCTATTACTATACCTATTGCTCGACATCGTTCCACAGTATCATGATAGGTATCTGCGAGCAAACCAAAAGCTATCGAAACGAAATATGAATAAGAATATAGGTCGTCTGTCTATTGGGTAATGTACTATATTTCTTTACTCACCTGAAATGTTGATGTGAGCCCCAGCTACTCCCGTTAATGCAAGACCGACGAAAAACTCCCAGTAGATTGAACTGAATGCCAGTACTAGACAAAGTAGTTAAGTATACATCTTTTCCGTCACAGTGAATGATATTACTTAGAGCTGAGGCAATTAGCAGGAATAGACCAAAGCATAATGGAGTTCGATAACCGAATCTAATCAAGTATTCAAAAGTGATGCTGTCTCATTCTCAATTCAATGGAAAAAAGCTTACTTATCAATAATACGTGGTATAAAGAGATTGGCAATGATTTGAACTATAGCTTTAATGCCAAAGAAATAGCCAATAACCACATTATCCTGAAATAGAACAAAAACTGTACAACTCATCGGACAAAATAATCTACTTGTCTTTGACATCACCTGCTCTAAAATCATGTTTCGCCGATCCCTGGTGATCGAAGGCTCATGCGGACTTCTGTCATCGAATGGCGCATTTCCATTTGATAGATCAGATTGGTTCTGGCAGCATGGCTGTTTTGAAAGATGACTCTCAATGACTGATGAATTAGCTTCACTTTTAGTGGCCAATTGAAAAAGAATATCGGGAGCAATAGGAGCTAAAAGCAAGTCATATTTTAACTTTCGAACAAACTCAGCAGTCTAATCATCTCTCTGAAAGAATAACATACCAAGTGCACAATAGAGTATTTCATTGACAGTCACAGCAATGGCAACAACAATGAAAACAAGTGTTTTTGACGAACGAAACCGAAACAATTTGCTATTGTGTAAATCTTCATAACGATCCATTATTATGAACCTGTAAATAATGGAAAGCTCGTTAAAGTAAGTATAAGCAAACCTGTCACTGTCTCGAGTTCTATTCCAAATACCGCCTGACTCAATAAATACATTACTGTTTCTCTCGTCAATCCTATTGTCAACCCTCAATGGAGTCGATAATACTCGCAAATGGCTACTGCATCCTTGTTTAGCAGTCTACGTTTCAGAATGATGATTGAAAAAATCTTGGTTCTTATATTTGTTATTGTGTGGGTGTTTATTTTACGCGATTATTTTATCGCATTGATATGAGACAAATGTCACAGTGTCAGGCCAGAATACGTAACTGCTTGTTTAACATGGCTTTAGGATAAAAATAGTTATAATTAGCAACTGAAACTTCATTAATTGAATAACTCAGGATGTTTCGCAAATCATTTTATTTCCTCAATAACTTACCCTCTACGTATTTGTCATGTTGTTGGTTTTAAATAAAACGGTGACTAGTTTACGCGTATGGTCGCCGAGAATATAACTATTGTTTCGTCCCTATTTCTCAAAGTTGACTTTGCTCTTCTCTTTTCGAGTTCAATTGACGACGTTTCATTTTTATGCATTTAAGTGGGAGTGTATCAAAACAAGAAGCAAATTAATTTACATATTCGCCTATTTCTCTTGTAACTATAATGAGTAGAACTAACAAAACGGAAAGAAAGAAAAATCAAATTCTTCTCATCAATGCTATCGCCTCTTTAACCTTTCAAATAGAGAAAATATTGAATGTTACAAATTTTTGATATTTATATGTTACCTTTCGAGTGATATGAAGGCATTGACGTTCTTTGGATAATGAATAGAAACATCAAGAAGTGAAATATTTCATTGGATAACATGTTGAATAAGTGTGTGATGTGCTCCGATTGACTAAACTAGGCTTTGGTGTACGATTGTTTACCAAAGGAGAGTCGTGATATACGAACTGTTTTACTTGGCACTCGTTGACAGACCAAATGAATATCGAATACTGTTCACGATTGGCAACAAATAACTATATTTTGAAGTGAATTTAAGCTGATAAATATCACGAAAAAAAAATCTTTCTCCAAACGAACGTAAGAGTATAGTAGACGGATCTCCTAGAACTTTCAGAGCGTGGCCTATCTCGGTAATTTTCATTAGAATACCCGCGCATACGTCAAAGTTATTATGCAAGCTGTTTGGATTGTGTTTTATCTCATAATAGTCCTGAAAATATTGGCGTAGGAACAGAACGCTTGTTTTCGGGAACAAGCACACATATGCATGATTTTTCTATNTGGATGAATCACTCTATATAACAGTTAATGGAGAAGAAAGTGATGGATATTCCAGTACTGAAATCAAAACAGAAGATATTGTAGATTATATTAATTCTGCAAACGATAAGAAAGTAGCATTCATTGTCAACTATGATATCAAAGTAGGAGTTTTTTTTTCGTAGAGAAATTCTTTTAGGATTTGTTTTCTGTAGGGTAAAGAATCATGCGAAAAATGGCCGACACTTTTACCAAGAGATTTACCGATAGGCTGGCGTTGTAATCAGCATGGTGGAACGTCTTATGGAGAAGATTGTATTCAAGGTGCGTGGAGATTCGAAGGACCAGAAAAGGCAAAAGAGAAAGCTCATGCAGTTGCAGAGCGCTTCTACGATGGATTTAGCATTAATATAACTTGGGAAACGAATTCGAGTTAAGACTATATATTCGATTGACTTTTGTTTGACAATAAACATGACCTGATATATACGTATTGCACAACTTCGTCAAAGAACATGTCATTTTCCAAGCTATTCCCTGTTCTTTTATAAAAGCAAACAGATTGGTGGTAGAGAGTTATGAGAAACCGGATAAGACTCCGATGCACGCTCAACAATATAAAACTTTATTTTAATTAGCAAATCTTTTGACAAACAAACAGCAGTGTCAACATGTTGTATCATCGATCCCGATATTTGTTGTTATTTATTCTTGATTCAGCGAACCTTCCGTTGCCTGTAGTAGTATTACTGATTCTCTTGGTAACGACTGGCGTCGATGTCGCTCAGTTGCATTTGTTGCCAAAGAAGAATCAGATGGTATAAGTTTCGTTGTTTCTAGATTTGGCGATTGCAAAGAACGTTCAGTGAAGATTAGAATGACGGAATAAAGAAGAGATAGACCACTGAAAAACCACATGACGTGTTGGAAACCAATTTTCGGTATGATAATACCTCCTAGACATGGTCCTAAGAAAAGACACAGTTAGTTATACATCTGAACACACAAATTAATCGTATTGTAAACTACGTTCTGTTTTGAATCCGAGGCTATAGTCATTTGACTGGAAAAACTGTTTCAAGATTTTTCGAAAAGCTCGTATCTTGCTTAAGTTCAAAGATGTTAGAGTATCACGTTCTGTGATATAGTAGTTTGTTGTCATTACCGATTAAAAGTGTTAACGCCGATCCTATCTCAGTGATAGCAAAGGCATTGCCATAATCTGATGTGTAACGTTGATCAACAAGATTGGCCACGGTAAGTAACATGATCGTCTCAACGATGCCTGATACTACACCAATTACTGCCATCGATCCTAAAATCTCCACGAAATAGGTCAAATATGGCATCTACACAAAAAATAAACGGTCATGTTAGATACAGTCTATGAAAATCGCTTTTACTTACAAAAAACAAGGTGGTGGATTGAACTAGTAAACAGCTAATTGTACAGTACCATACGCTTAGATTCGTGGCTAGCGATGCTAGTACGTTAGCACTTATTATGTACCCAATGCCGTCGGGTAAAAAGACAGTACCTAGAAGTCATCGAACGCTCTCTAAAGCGAAAATTCGAAGTGTTCGATCAAACCTTGAAGCCATATAGGTGCATCGATTGATTCTTCCAACCAAGTTGGTAGTGTTCCCTCGAGTACTGATGAACCGGAGTTGCCCACTATGAGAGCGCCTACGAATCAGTCTGGTAAAGAAAATAACCAGTAATTGAAGGGATCGGTTACCTGTTGCAATGACAACATAAGGATCTTTCACCAGTTGCAATAGAGACGGACCATCGACTTTATTCTTTGATAAATTTAAAATCTTTTTGCTTCTTGTGTCGATCATCAACAAGTGTAGAACTATTAATTAAATGCTATTGGATTTCAAAAAGTATGTCAAAGAGCATCTATTATTCAGAATGGGTTTTGTAAACAGAAAATCGGATTTAACACCGAATGGCTGACTCCTCAACTTTGATTTGAGAATACGCGTCGAAAATACGTACTTATATTGATAGATGCAATAACTACGATAATGAGAAATGGTGTTGCTTGATTGAAAAAGTCATATAACGTAGCAGTAAATGATTTTGCCACTACATACAGTATCATTAGAATGAAAAGACATTCGAACTAATTGACTTCTTACAAACACTGCCGAACATACTACAGGCTATTACTATGCCTATTGCTCGACATCGTTCCACAGTATCATGATAGGTATCTGCAAGCAAACCAAAAGCTATCGAAACGAAATATAAATAAGAACATAAGTCGTCTGTCTATTGGATAAAGTACTATATTTCTTTACTCACCTGAAATGTTAATGTGAGCCCCAGCTACTCCCGTTAATGCAAGACCGACGAAGAACTCCCAATAGATTGAACTGAATGCCAGTACTAGACAAAGTAGTTAAGTATACATCTTTTCCGTCACTGTGAATGATATTACTTAGAGCTGAGATAATTAGCAGGAATAGACCAAAACATAATGGAGTTCGATAACCGAATCTAATTAAGTATACAAAAGTGATGCTGCCTCATTCTCAATTCAATGGAAAAAGAGCTTACTTATCAATAATACGTGGTATAAAGAGATTGGCAATGATTTGAACTATAGCTTTAATGCCAAAGAAATAGCCAATAACCACATTATCCTGAAATAGAACGAAAACTGTACAACTATCATCGGACAAAATAAACTACTTGTCTTTGATATTACCTGCTCTAAAATCATGTTTCGCCGATCCCTAGTGATCAAAGACTCATGTGGACTTCTGCCATCGAATGGCGCATTTCCATTTGATAGATCAGATTGGTTCTGACAGCATGGCTGTTTTGAAAGATGACTTTCGATGACTGATGAATTAGATTCACTTTTAGTTGCCAATTGAAAAAGAATATCGGGAGCAATAGGAGCTAAAAGCAAGTCATATTTTAACTTTCGAACAAACTCAGCAGTGTAATCATCTCTCTGAAAGAATAACATACCAAGTGCGCAATAGAGTATTTCATTGACAGTGACAGCAACAGCGACGACAATGAAAACAAGTGTTTTTGACGAACGAAACCGAAACAATTTGCTACTTTGTAAATCTTCATAACAATCCATTATTATGAACCTGTAAATAATGGAAAGCTCGTTAAAGTAAGTAAGCAAACCTGTCACTATCTCGAGTTCTATTCCAAATACTGCCTGACTCAATGCAGTCACTTCTGATGAAGCAACAATGAATACATTATTACTTCTCTCGTCAATCCTATTGTCAACTCTCAACGTAGCCGATGGTACTCACAAATGGCTACTGCGTCCTTGTTTAGCAGTCTACGTCTCGGAATGATGATTGAAAAAATCTTGGTATTTATATTTGTTATTGTGCGGGTGTTTATTTTATGCGATTATTTTATTGCATTGGTATGAGGCAAATGTCACGCAGTGTCAGGCCAGAATACATAACTGCTTGTTTAACACGGCTTTAGGATAAAAATAGTTATAATTAGCAGCTGAAACTTTGTTAATTGAACAACTCAGGATGTTTCGAGAATCATTTTTTTTTCTCAATAACGTACCCTCTATGTATTGTGTCACGTTGTTGGTTTTACATAAAACGGCGACTAGTTTACGTGTATGGTCGACGAGAATATAACTGTTGTTTCGTTCCTATTTCTCAAAGTTGACTTTGCTCTTCTCTTTTCGAGCTCAATTGACAATGTTTCATTTTTATGCATTTAAGTGGGAGTGTATCAAAACAAGAACCAAATTAATTTACATATTCGTCTATTTCCCATGTAGCTATAATGAGTAGAACTAACAAAACGGAAAGAAAGAAAAATCACATTCTTCTCATCAATGCTGTCGCCTCTGTAACCTTTCGAACAGAGGAAATATTGAATGGTATAAATTTGTGTGAAGCTCATCTGATGTTGTGGGGGATAACTTGATGAAAAGGATCAATTTGTCTATTAGTTGTCGATTAGTTGGAAAACCTAAATAGACAGACATTCTTTTGATATGAAGGCATATGTTCAGAGCTTTATTGACGTTCTTTAGATAATGAATAGAAATATCAAGAAGTGAAATGTTTTATTGAATAATATTTTGAATAAGTGTGTGATGTGTTCCGATTGTTCACCAGAAGAGAGTCGTGCCATACGAATTGTTTTACTTGGCACTCGTTGACAGACCAAATGAATATCGAATACTGTTCAAGATTGGCAACAAATAACTATATTTTGAAGTGAATTTAAGCTGATAAATATCACGAAAAAAAAACATCTTTCTCCAAACGAACGTAAGAGTATAGTAGACGGATCTCCTAGAACTTTCAGAGCGTGGCCTATCTCGGTAATTTTCATTAGAATACCCGCGCATACGTCAAAGTTATTATGCAAGCTGTTTGGATTGTGTTTTATCTCATAATAGTCCTGAAAATATTGGCGTAGGAACAGAACGCTTGTTTTCGGGAACAAGCACACATATGCATGATTTTTCTATTTGCAGAGGACTTTCCGTTAACAAAGTATTGATATACATGTTCCACTCTACCAAAATAGAGCATTTTACAACTATTCATGAGAATCTAGATATAAACACACTATGAATAAGAACATCTTCACTCAAACAACATGCGCATTTTACTCATTTTAATAATATATCGTTAACGTTAAACTAATTTTATTCGACGAAAACACACAGATCATCAGAGGCAGTTGTTTATGACAAATGCTCCTTTCTTATCATGGATGTGCAGAATTAATGTGAATTCAACGTATTTGAATAATCTAGTCAGATTTCATACATATCAATTTATGTTTGTATAGTTGCCAATCCATTGTTTGACATTCTTTGGTGCAATAACGTGCTTGTTTGCATCTACTACAAACATGCAATGCGTTTGCTTGCCCACAACATCGACACATGTTTACTACTCGTGCCGATTCTTCCTCCATGACGATTGATGCAAGGTCATCAACGCGAACTAATGGTTTCCAATCACCTGCTGCTAATCGCAAATAAGGATTTATAATATGTATTTTACTACCTATTGAATATAGGTTTCTCGTTAAATATCTGCCTTCTTCCTTTGGAAAACCGTATATAAACAATCGTTCGCAATCTAGGTTTTCATCTTCAACGACGAGATGTATCGATGGAATCCAGGTATATGCTTCTTCAATGATTCTCACGGAAAGAACATATCCTTCATAGACATGATCTTTCGTTGGGTTCATTTCGCTCAGAGATATCGATTTCAAACCAACTAACGATTGGGCTGCCGTCTGTTTCGTTCGTGGTAGGTAACTGAATGACAAAAAGCCATATGGATCACTCTGGAGTTGTAATGACGTAGATTCCCATTGACGATGCTCTGTAATAACTGCCACTCGATGTCGATCTGTGAGACGTATTCTGTGGTCAACATCAGTGGACGTATTTGTTTTCAATAGATTTTTTGCGTCAAATGCAGCTTTAAGCAATACTTTAGTATTGGAGTGGTAAGGTAAGAAGCACGGTAGTTGTAACCTTTCAGCTTCTTCACCTTTTTCATAAATTTCTTTAGTTTCTTTAATAGTTCCATTTAGACGTTCATCTATAGATTCCAGAGATGACCAAAGATTGGAACAGACCGATTGCAAGTTCATATTATTCATACCTAAATACAATTCATAAAAAAAAACAATTCTTTTGATCAAAATGCTTGTAACCCTTCAATTACAATTATCGAGTGATGAAAAAGTGATTAGCTTACCTGGTGACAAGTCCGACATATTACGTTCAAAATAACAACTAGCCATTGCATAATAAGACTCCGGCACCTTTCGATGATCCTTAGGAGCGATCGCCAGGAAAACTTTATATGCTTCGATCGCTTCGTTCATATCAGCACCCAGCAGACGTAATGCAACTGCTCTAGGATATATAAGCTTGTAACTATTAGGATCTATCCGTAGACCTTCATTAGCTTCGTATAGAGCATTTTCGTATTTATTCATCCAACCGTACACGTTCGCACTTAATTCGAAAAAGATAGCTGATCCGGGATATTTCTCTTTACAGCATTGAAGAAAAGCAAGAACTGATTCATGAGAATCCATATGTAATACGGCATAGCATATCCGAGCACCTTCATCAAGTTGAGATTTAATATATATTTGTGGATTACAACGGCCAAGCACNTCATTAGCTTCGTATAGAGCATTTTCGTATTTATTCATCCAACCGTACACGTTCGCACTTAATTCGAAAAAGATAGCTGATCCGGGATATTTCTCTTTACAGCATTGAAGAAAAGCAAGAACTGATTCACGAGAATCCATATGTAATACGGCATAGCATATCCGAGCACCTTCATCAAGTTCAGATTTAACATATATTTGTGGATTACAACGGCCAAGCACACTGTCAACAATAGCAATCACTTTTTCCTTTATTTGCATGTTTGGATATTGTGCAACAATATGTTCAAGGCGAAAACATTTGGAAAGCTCATATACAACTTGATTTTCTTGTTCTTCTGTTAACATTTCAAAATCCATAACTATATTTAACACCTCTGCAAAATGATCAATAGCATTACACAATATCTTGGCTGTTATTGAACCACGATTTGCATACTCATTCAATGTATCATATTGATAAATATAGGGATACTTATTGTCAGATAATTTAAATACACTTCCTTGTGGTTTCACAGAGTTAATTAAATGCTTGATCTGTGCAACTCTGTTTAGCACGTCAGGCGGTGTGTGATCCATGAATTCTATTGCTCTATCCAAAGATCGCTCAAATACCTCACGATTTGCTTGAGCAACAATATTGCCGGCTTCGCATGCTCGAGCATACCAAATCTTTGCCATTTTTAAATCACCTTTGTCTACCAGTAATTCGGCTAAAGTCAACATAGCATTTGGATCACCTCCTCTCGATGAGAACTGCAATAATTCTTCGGCTTTCTTTAAATCTCTCTCAACACCAACACCTTTCTGATACATTAATGCCAAGTTATTGGCTGATCGAGCGCTGCCATGCTCTACGGCACGCTGATACCAGTACGCAGCAATAGCTAGATCTTTATGAACACCAACGCCATCAGCATATTTGAGTCCCAAAGCATGCTCAGATTCAACTACACCGAGATTTGGGATAACTTTGTATATGGGATGCTTCGGCGGTTGTGTGGCTGCTTGTTTATACCATTTCAGAGCTACATCGTGATCTTCTTTCACTCCTAAACCACGCTCAGTCAATCGAGCTATGTTATACATTCCCTCAGCATTTCCCTGTTCTGCTGCTCTAGCAAAGTACTTGGCAGCTTGCTGATAATCTTGTTTAATGCCAATATCCCCGTGTTCATATTTATGTCCTCTGACGACGTCCGCCATCGCTTGATCATACTTTTCACTGAAAGCGTGCCCTAATCGCACTTGCTGAGGATCGCCACCGAATTTTTCTTGTATTTCATTTAACTGTTCAACCATGGTTTTCGGCTGTAGTCTTGGGTCTAGATGTTCCTCTCGTAATTGTCGATAAACTGTCTGTCGACTTCCAGCTAAAGCATTTTGTATTTGACTGTTTGTTGGATCAAGAGCTAATGCGCGTTCGTACGAAGTAATGGCTTTTTCGTGGGCGTTCAGAGCTGCGTGTGCTTTTCCAACACGAAAATGCCCTTTCCACCATATTGGCGAAAGCTTTCGAGCTTCTTTGGCTTCTTGTAAAGCTCGATATCGTTCATCTGTTAAATCATTCGTTTCCGACTTGTTTGAGCTGTCGGACTTTTGTTCATGCAATGCTAAACGACTAGCAGATATGTTCGAGTAGAAAATCGCACGATTATCAGCTGAAACATCCGGTAACGCGATCGCTTCGGTAAATAATGCAATAGCATTAGAGAACTTCACATTCTTGTGAGCTTGAGTCGCTAATGAATTTAATCGTAGTGCTTCCTTCACGTTCTCCTCATTTATCGGCTCGGGGCTTTTGCTGAATACATTATCATCCTTTAATTTACTGAATTCGCTTGGAACATCACCGAATGCTACCAATATATTCGATAACTTGGACCAGAGTTCATTGAACTCTGCATCAGTGATCGATTTCGACGCAATATGAGCTAGCTCATTCCGGATAGTTCGCAAGCTCGCCAGTAGGGAATCTTCACTGTCAAGTTGTTGCACCTGAGTAATACTGAGTGTTGTTGGACGATCAATATTTAATAGCAGTGCTGCCAACATTGAAAAATCCCATATATTGGAATCTCCAGCGGTAATCGCTGCCTCCTGCAGTGCTGTAAAAGTGAACTTTTTATTATTTTTGATGGTATTGATCAAGTAGTTCTTTCCACAAACAGCCGAATCATCCCATTCATTGCCGTTGTTGAACATGGCATAGCGATTTCTAAATAATTGACGAAGTAGAGGGCATGAACGCGCAACTAAGAGTTCTATTTTGAAATAATTTCGAANCCATATATTGGAATCTCCAGCGGTAATCGCTGCCTCCTGCAGTGCTGTAAAAGTGAACTTTTTATTATTTTTGATGGTATTGATCAAGTAGTTCTTTCCACAAACAGCCGAATCATCCCATACATTACCATTGTTGGACATAGCATAGCGATTTCTAAATAATTGACGAAGTAGGGGGCATGAACGCGCGACTAAGAGTTCTATTTTGAAATAATTACGAACGTTTGCTGAAATGTTGGTCATTTGACGAAGTAGTTATATCTTCGATACGTGTGTAGATTTTTATAATTCTGAAAACTTTACACTTGATGTGTATTATTTACGCAACAATATTTCGTGATGTATATGTGGCAGTCGGTTAGAGAATTTAGTTGAGATTGGAATGTACATAAATATCAAAATAATATCTAAATCTATACTTTTTTACGTTTGAAAGAGAAATAAATAGAATCTATAATTGTGTACGAAAATATTTTCAATTAAAAGATCGTTGATAATTCTATAAAACGGTACAGAAAAGTTTTAACGATTGATCACATGTTGTTGTTTCGATGAAAGACTGAAAATGATAAAGAAAATTTTGATTTATTTAGATAGCTTGTGCTGACTCTGTTTTCTTTCCAGAGCGGCGATATACGGGACATTGAAAATCTATACAGAGACGAAAAAAATTGATAAATTTTCTTTAATTCAATAAATTTATTCGAGCAGCGGGACGTGCGGGACATTGAAAAATTAGAAAAAAAAGACGATTTTATTCTTCAATCGAAAGAATTTTGATGCGGGACATGGGGATATAGAAACTGTAGAGAGAGAAAAAAAAACAAGTAATTTTACTTTTGTTAAACAAATAAATTTTTTTCGAGCAGCGGGACGTGCGGGACATTGAAAAATTAGAAAAAAAGACGATTTTATTCTTCAATCGAAAGAATTTTGATGCGGGACATGGGGATATAGAAACTGTAGAGCAGAAAAAATTGATAATTTTTTTTCTATTCTATTTTCTTTTCTGTTTTTTTTTCGTGCATTCCAAACTCAACTAGATTCTCATGTCAACTGTGGCATATATATTCTTCTTGAGATAACTGTTATAACGATATCGCTTTGTCTACTAAATGGCCAATCAACATCCATACATTTTACGATCGGAGAAATCGATACTGATGTTTTCTCTTTGACGCCGTTTTAGGCTTTTTCTGGAGTCCTATGATGTCATACAAAAAAATTAATCGAGAATGTGTCTGTAGCACATGGTCGACAGAGGTCGCTCTTTCAAACAATTTCGTATAGTATTAGTTTTACTTTACACAAAGCATTTATCGTCACAAATGTTTCATGAGAACGAGAACGAATATAGTTTTTTGTCTGGAGGCATCTATTTACGAGGTTGAAAAATGTATTGATTCAAATAACTTCTTTCTGTTTTATATCATATTTAACACCTCGTAGACTTCATCTTTGCTTTGTCAAAAAGATCGATCGAGGTGGCAAAGAAAAAGTATATACAGACACTGATTATCACCGCGAGACATTAACCATCGTTTTCTTTTTTATCGTTCGCTTCGGTTCAATTAACACGGTTGTTTTTCGTTGAAAACATTTGTTAACCCATAAGACTACTTACTCTCGAAGATTTCTTCATCATGGAAGATATTCTTTCTCAACATCAAGTTTCGAATCGTACAATTAGTTTATCATCCATCGAGCTTTCTGAATGTATTTCTTCTTATAATGAAAACACAGGCAATAATGTTGGTGATGCACAGACGAAGATCAAGCTGAAGGAAAGACAAGCTTTGATACACAAACTTGACCTACGTTTATTGCCGATTCTCTCGTATGTTTTTTGACAGGTACAGAAAAGAAAAACAAACTTTATTCTCTTTAGAATCATCTACCTTCTGTCTTATTTGGATCGATCAAATATTGCCAATGCGAAAATAGGTGGTCTTGAACATGATATTCATTTAACTTCAATTCAATATCAATGGTCCTTGTCAATATTCTTTTTCGGGTATGTACTTTTTGAAATTCCATCCAACATCATCCTGCGACGATGGCGACCGTCTCGGTGGATCGCCTTGATAATGTTCAGTTGGGGTTCGTAGTTTCTCTCATCTCATTCCTTGATGACCAATCGATTTTAAAGGAACGATCGCAGTTTGTATGGCTGCTGTTTCGAACTTTATTGGTCTTCTCGTGTGTCGATTCTTACTCGGCGCTTTCGAAGCGGGTCTTTTTCCCGGTGTCATCTATTTCATGAGCCTTTGGTATCCGAGAAAAATGCAAGCTATTCGACTTGGCTTCTTTTGGTCGTTTTCCGCTTTAGCAGGCGCATTCGGTGGTTTAATAGCGTATGGCATCGGTCAAATCAAATCATCAAAAATTGCACATTGGCAATTGATTTTCATTGTAATTTGCTTCAAAAAGTTTTTTAGTCGTTTTATGAGCTGATATTTAGATAGAAGGTTTTCCTACTATTCTCATGTCGATCTGCTGTTACTTTTTCTTACCTGATTCCCCTGAACGCGCACGATTTCTGACTGTTGAACAACGTCAACTTGAAATAGAAATCTTAGCTGAAGATTCAGGAGCATCACATAGTCATTCATTTTCATGGTCGCAAGTCAAATCTGTCTATACCGATTGGAAAACGTACGTATACGCAATTATTTACATTACAGGAACGACGGCACTACAAGGTGTCACGCTTTTTCTGCCTTCAATTATTGTCGGACTTGGAAAATGGACACCAGTTCAATCTCAACTAATGACTCTACCACCTTATGCAGTTGCGTTTGTTGTTACGCTTTCACTTTCCCGCAGTTCAGATTAGTAAATAATCTCTATTGGTTTTTCTTTCTATTTCTCAGATGATTTTTATTGTAGTTTTGTTGAACGTTCATTTCATCTTGTTTTTACGAATCTTCTATCCATAGGTGGTTTTCTAATTCTTATGTTTGTTGAACGCAATCGATACAGCATGCTCTATTTTGGTGTCATTCTCCTAACAGCAGGTGTCTATGCAAATGTTAGTTTGAAGATTGCGTGGTTCAATAATAATTTGTAAGTTTTTCAACGTTTTCCTATTCCTATAAGCATCAATCTCGTGATAGCGCTTCTTTGACACGACGTGCTGTTGCTTCTGCTACTATCGTCTCTATTGGCACAATCGGCGGTGCTGTTGCCGGTCAAATTTATCAAGAAAAGCAGAAGCCACAGTATTTCTTAGGGAATTCGATTTCCTTAGGTTGTATTGTCGTACAAACGATTCTTGTCTTGTCACTTCGATTTATTTTCATTTATGAAAATCGACGTCGAGGAAGATTTACAAAAGAGCAAATTGAACGGCAAATCCAACGATACGGTGGAAATGACTTGATCGGAGATCGTCATCCAGATTTTCGATATACTTTATAACTGTATAGACTTATAATAATCTCAGCTCATCATACTAAAATCAGCTTGAAAACGTTTCTTTTGTAAATTTTCATTTATGTACTCTAACTGGACCCATTTCACATAGACTACCTATTATATCGAGAGCGCAAGGTGTCATGAATTCTTGATTAAAAAGAAAGAAAACGCACAATGCCATTGTTCATAGAAAACAAAAGATCAATGGTTGACTGCAAATGTCTTTCAATTACCAGCTTTCGCTGGACCTCCGAATCGTTTCTTAACATATTTTCTTATTGGACATTTAATCGATAGAAATCCATCTTCACATTGGAAATCTGCTTGATTACCATCAATATCATCCTTAACAGAAACTAATAATTCAAATGAGCCAATTGGATATTGTTCTTGATCAGCAACTGATTGACAACATGCGTCTGGGGGTTCTGAACGCTCACCTCGAATAATGGCAACATCTCTTTCCATTTCAACAGTTAAATTATCTTGATTAAATCCTGCTAACACAACTATGATGTTCAGATGATCATTAGTCTTGTACAGGCGATAACGAGGCTGCCATTTTTCAGTACCAGCTGATACTATTCCGACCAAATAACCACGTTGGTCATATAGTAACCGGGGTACAACAGAGAAAGATGGGGTATGTTCTTTACGTTCTTCGAATGATTTTTCCCGCAGCTCGGAAAGTACAATATATGATTCAGTTAGATGCTTCACAGCTTGTATTTTTGATGGATCGGCATCCAAGCCATTGCTAGACGAAAGCAACAGTGGGAGTCTTTTATTGATGTGAACTAAGACTTCGTCGAAAATACAGACGTTTCGTCTTTTCGGTAAATCTGCTTGTAAAATAGCCATTAAACTGTCCAGTGTTTGTTCATTCCACTTGTCTGCAGCAGTAGACTCATCCTTCGCCATGATAAAATGACGTATCGTTATTTGATTGAATGTAGAGCAATACATTCTAAGTTCTTTGTCATCCGAATCAGTTCGTTGATGTATAGTGGTGAATTTGGCTCCCAAAATACCTTCGATTTCTTTGTGTATAACAGTATCNCCATATATTGGAATCTCCAGCGGTAATCGCTGCCTCCTGCAGTGCTGTAAAAGTGAACTTTTTATTATTTTTGATGGTATTGATCAAGTAGTTCTTTCCACAAACAGCCGAATCATCCCATTCATTGCCGTTGTTGAACATGGCATAGCGATTTCTAAATAATTGACGAAGTAGAGGGCATGAACGCGCAACTAAGAGTTCTATTTTGAAATAATTTCGAACGTTTGCGGGAATGTTGGTCATTTGACGAAGTACTTATATCTTCGATACGCGTGTAGCTCTTTATAATTCTGAAAACTTTACACTTGATTATTTACGCAAGAATATTTCGTTATCTATATATTCTTCTTGAGATAACTGTTATAACGATATCGCTTTGTCTACATATAGACGGCCAATCAACATCGATACATTTTACGATCGCAAAAACCGATACTTGTGTTTTCTCTTTGGCCGCGTTCTAGGCTTTTTCTGGAGTCATATGATGTCATACAGAAAAATTAATCGAGAACGTGTCTGTAAAGCACATGATCGACAGAGGTCGCTCTTCCAAATAACTTTGTATAGAATTAGTTTTACTTTACACAAAGCATTTATCGTCACAAATGTTTCATGAGAGAGAGAGAGAACGAATATAGGTTTTTTTTCTGGAGGCTTCTATTTACGAGGTTGAAAAATGTATTGATTCAAATAACTTATTTCTCTTTTATATCATATTTAACACCTCGTAGACTTCATCTTTGCTTTGAAAAAAAGATCGATCGAGGTGACAAAGAAAAAGCATATACAGACACTGATTATCACCTCGAGACATTAAACATCTTTTTTCTTTTTTTCGTTCGCTTCGGTTCAATTAACACGGTTGTTTTTCGTTGAAAACACTTGCTAACCTACGATTACTTACTCTCAAAGATTTCTTCATCATGGAAGATATTCTTTCTCAACGTCAAAGTTCGAGTCGTGCAATTAATTTATCATCCATCGAGCTTTCTGAATGTGTTTCTTCTTATAATGAAGACACGGGTAGTAATGTTAGTGGCGCACAGACGAAGATCAAGCTGATGGCAAGACAAGCTTTGATACACAAACTTGACCTACGTTTATTGCCGATTCTCTCGTACGTTGCTTGACAGTTTAAAATAGAGAAAGATGAACATCTATTTTTTAGAATCATCTACCTGCTATCTTACTTGGATCGATCAAATATTGCCAATGCGAAAATAGGTGGCCTTGAACATGATATTCATTTAACTTCAGTCCAATATCAATGGTCTTTATCGATATTCTTTTTCGGATATGTGCTCTTTGAAATTCCGTCCAACATCATCTTGCGACGATGGCGACCGTCCCGATGGATCGCCTTGATCATGTTCAGTTGGGGTTCGTAGTTTGTCTCATCTTATTCATTGATTATCAATCGATTTTAAAGGAACGATCGCAGTTTGTATGGCTGCTGTTTCGAACTTCATTGGTCTTCTCGTGTGTCGATTCTTACTCGGCGCTTTCGAAGCGGGTCTTTTTCCCGGTGTCATCTATTTCATGAGCCTTTGGTATCCGAGAAAGATGCAAGCCATTCGACTTGGCTTCTTTTGGTCGTTTTCCGCTTTAGCAGGCGCATTCGGTGGTTTAATAGCGTATGGCATCGGTCAAATCAAATCATCAAAAATTGCACATTGGCAATTGATTTTCATTGTAATTTGCTTCAAAAAGTTTTTTAGTCGTTTTATGAGCTGATATTTAGATAGAAGGTTTTCCTACTATTCTCATGTCGATCTGCTGTTACTTTTTCTTACCTGATTCCCCTGAACGCGCACGATTTCTGACTGTTGAACAACGTCAACTTGAAATAGAAATCTTAGCTGAAGATTCAGGAGCATCACATAGTCATTCATTTTCATGGTCGCAAGTCAAATCTGTCTATACCGATTGGAAAACGTACGTATACGCAATTATTTACATTACAGGAACGACGGCACTACAAGGTGTCACGCTTTTTCTGCCTTCAATTATTGTCGGACTTGGAAAATGGACACCAGTTCAATCTCAACTAATGACTCTACCACCTTATGCAGTTGCGTTTGTTGTTACGCTTTCACTTTCCCGCAGTTCAGATTAGTAAATAATCTCTATTGGTTTTTCTTTCTATTTCTCAGATGATTTTTATTGTAGTTTTGTTGAACGTTCATTTCATCTTGTTTTTACGAATCTTCTATCCATAGGTGGTTTTCTAATTCTTATGTTTGTTGAACGCAATCGATACAGCATGCTCTATTTTGGTGTCATTCTCCTAACAGCAGGTGTCTATGCAAATGTTAGTTTGAAGATTGCGTGGTTCAATAATAATTTGTAAGTTCTTTCACTATTCTCCTATTCTTATCAACATCAATCTCATGATAGCGCTTCTCTAACGCGACGTGCTGTTGCTTCTGCTACTATCGTCTCTATTGGTACAATTGGCGGTGCTGTTGCCGGGCAAATTTATCAAGATAAGCAGAAGCCACAGTATTTCTTAGGGAATTCGATTTCCTTAGGTTGTATCGTCGTACAAACGATTCTTGTCTTGTCACTTCGATTTATCTTCATTTATGAAAATCGACGTCGAGGAAGATTTACAAAAGAGCAAATTGAACGACAAATCGAACGATATGGTGGCAATGACTTGGTTGGAGATCGTCATCCAGATTTTCGATATACTTTATAACTGTATAGACTTACAAAAATCTCAGCTCATCATATTAAAAAAACAGTTTGAAATCGTTTCTTTTGTAAATTTTCATTTATATACTCTAGCTGGACCCATTTCACATAGACTACCTATATATCGAGAGCGGAAGTTGTCATAAATTCTAGATTAAAAAGAACGAAAGCGCGTAATGTCATTGTTCGTAGAAAACAAAAGATCAGTGTTTGACTGCAAATGTCTTTCAATTATCGGCTTTCGCTGGACCTCCAAATCGTTTCTTAACATATTTCCTTATTGGACATTTAATCGATAGAAATCCATCTACACATTGGAAATCTGCTTGATTACCATCAATGTCATCTTTAACAGAAACTAATAATTCAAATGAGCCAATTGGATATTGTTCTTGATCAGCAACTGATTGACAACATGCGTCTGGGGGTTATGAGCGCTCACCTCGAATAATGGCAACATCTCTTTCCATTTCAACAGTTAAATTGGTTTGATTAAATCCTGCTAACTCAACTATGATGATCATTAGTCTTGTACAGGCGATAGCGTGGCTGCCATTTTTCAGTACCAGCTGATACTATTCCAACCAAATAACCACGTTGGTCATACAGTAACCGGGGTACAACAGAGATAGATGGCGTATGTTGTTTACGTTCTCCAATGATTTTTCCCGCAGTTCCGAAAGTACAATATATGATTCAGTTAAATGTTTCACAGCTTGTATTTTTGATGGATCGGCATCTACACTATTGCTAGACGAAAGTAATAGTGGAAGTCTTTTGTTGATGTGAAATAAGACTTCGTCGCAAATACAAACGTCTCGTCTTCTTGGCAAATCTGCTTGTAAAATAGCCATTAAACTGTCCAGTGTTTGTTCATTCCACTTGTCTGCAGCAGTAGACTCATCCTTCGCCATGATAAAATGACGTATCGTTATTTGATTGAATGTAGAGCAATACATTCTAAGTTCTTTGTCATCCGAATCAGTTCGTTGATGTATAGTGGTGAATTTGGCTCCCAAAATACCTTCGATTTCTTTGTGTATAACAGTGTCNGAAATCCCTTGAATCTTCGATAGTTCGTATGACTAGTCATTAGGGCTGTACCCCACTGGAAAACATTTTTGGAAATCCTGTATATGCGCCGTCGGAACTCAAAGGTTTAACACACTCAGCAACACCGAACGTTACTGAAATTGAATGCATCAATCCAAAGTATTCATATGAGGCAATGGATATTGAAACGAATCATGTAGCTGAACAAGTGAATGAAAACGATGATACAACATTAGCTAATTCACCTAACGCGCCCATTCGCTAGCGAGCAACAGCATCTTATCTATCAAATGCTAATAAATGAATCAAAGTACATAGTGAGTACCTACAAGATCTATCTTCGAACTAGCCCATTAGTTAAATTACCAATTGTATCTGAGAAAATGGCTGCTTTGAAAATCAACAAATTGAATGAAGTTTCGATAATTACTGTATCAAAACTTTGTTCGTAGCGCTGCAAATGGAGTAACCTGCGCATGCAAACCTGAATGTAAAACCAAGCAATGTGCTTGTAAAAAGAACAATGTATTTTGCTCGACAAAACGTCACAAGGATGGTTCTCGTTGTGTAAATCAAGAAAAGTAAAAACTAATTATTGCAAGATTTACATGCATATCTTTCGTTCTGAAATTCATTACAATTCTCTTTTTATTTCCTTGACTGAATACTCTATATTGTAGGAATCAAAATTTCATTTATTGCATTACCTATGGTTTCATTCTATAGAGACAAATATCTGTATCTTACATTGGCCTAGATCCGAGATTGCCCACGAAAAAATTTTAAGACATATACCGCTAGTCTCCGCGGTTTTTTCATAATGGTTGCGGTTATATCGTTGAACGTCGCGGTGTTGAAAAGAAACCGCGGTTAACAACGGTGTGGTGCACCGCAGCATAAATATATCGCGGTATGTTCAAAACAAACCTCAACGTGATCACTGTTCAAGACCGCCGTTTCGAACATGCGCGATGAAAAGTAGGTTAGCAGTGGTATTTGAGAGGCACCATCTTCCACAAGTTTATATTCTGCGAGCTTCTCATTGTGAACCGCGAAAATAGTTAAAAATATTGATCGGATTTCAGTAAAAGACAACCACTTATCATAATCTAATGATATAGTTGAAACTCAGACGTAGACCTTCACTACAAAAAATCTGTGGTGAGAATAAACCCATCAAAAGGATTTATCAAACTGATCAATTCTTTGAGATACGTTTTTTCCCTTTATTAGCATCATAAATCTTTTGATGTGCTCTTAAACGTTTATTAGATTGCAACATATAAAATACCTTTTCGAGTAGATCACGAGAGCAGGTATATCAAAAGGTTTATGACACTAATAAAGGGAAAAACATATCTTAAAGAATCGACCAATTTGATAAATCGTTGTGGAAGGTTTATTATTCACCACAGATTTTTTTTAGTATTGAACAAATCTTTTTTGATGAATACATTTGAGATACGTGTAATAAATACAATATGGGTTGTTTTCTCAAAATATAGATTTACAGATGTAATAAATTATGATCTTTCAGATCGTTAGACCATTTAATAACCCGCAGTATCACGATCAATCAACTAAACGATTCTAATAAATGAATGTTTTTCTTCTAAGTGTAATATTCATAAAGGTAGATTATTTATTTAAACATCACTGACCATAAGTATAGGCGATAAGTAGAAGTCTTCCAGCTAGATAGTACATAGTTTATCGTCGATGCCAGTATCTCGAGAAGTTTGAAAAATTGTGAAGTTATTAGACGCCTCTAGTATTCGTGAAACTCATATAAATCCACCAGTAAATGAAACGTATCGATCGAAATCAGAAAGTTTCTTGATACAGATAAGATAGATCATCTCATTCAATCTTAGTATGAATATCATCAGATGGTTCAATGGAATTAGTGGACTACAGTCATAAGGTAAGCCGCTCGAATCTAACTAAAGGAATAAGAACAAAAAATAGGAAGTGGTATCTAATCAGCTGACCGAGGTGTGATATGATCGTATAGAGATAGTAGATGATAATGAGATCCATGGCAAATATGATATACCACCATGATGGTGAATTACGTTTTTTTCGAAAAACCATTAATAACCGCGGTAGTATCAAACCGCGGTTTCGGCGGGTGCGAGAAAACCTAATAAAAGGTCTGACTTTCGCGGTTCAATAAAACCGCTGACACCAACGTCCTGGCGCACCGTGATATATCGCGGTTTCCATCGAAGAATTTTTTCGTGGGTGGACGCTGACATATATATACATTTAATCAATTGAAAATGTCTCAACGGACTGTGTTTGGCATACCGATTGCATTATGTCTCATTTGGATTGAAGTATTTTATTGTTTTGATGGAAATATTGATGGTATTGTTCGCGCACCAAAATCCCAACTTTGTAATACATATAATAATAACGCCCCATAGCCTTTTAAATCCGTTGGAGTCGGTCGCGTTATCATTACCATTTATTCCCACATGGAGCCGGGTTTTATACTATTTTCCCATCATTATTCATGCTTTTATTGGGTTTAAGGGCGATTAGAAATGTTCATCATCGACTAATAACGTGTGTAGCTAATGTAAAAGATTGTCAGCTAACTCTAATGCTTATTGCTCAAGTTTTATTATGTGAAATCTTATCATTACCAATAGCAATTCAAAGAATTTATTCATATGCTATGTTACTATTGGTGAAACTAAAAGTTTACGACGTACTTAAATCGAAAGCTTTATTCTTGATGTTGGTAATTATGTAGCATATACAATACAATAACATCATTTTAGATGTTCACATCAACAGGTTCATTATTTCTGAGTGCTTTTTCTGTTGAATGAAAATCTAGTAAAACGAAAAGTTTAGATTATTTTGAATAAATTTTGCTTGTGAGAAAGTCACATGAAAGTTATATCAAGAAAGTAAAAAGGCGTACACTTGAATCTTTTTTTCAAGTTTTTCAAAGACGAATAAAAGAACTTAGTTATGTTGGTTCGGTGTAATAAATACAGATACTTTTGAAATTCATCCAAATCCCTCTTATTTACATGGCATTTTCTTTATTATCAAATATTATTTTCCTTTCAAAAGTTGTCTGCAATGATTTTCTATCAACTATCATGTTAATTCATGAATATTCGTACATCTAAAAGTAGATGGGAAAAGTGAGCGACATACTAATTGTGAGTCACAATTTGAGACACGTGGAAATTAAAGTTACTATTGATGTGAATATGTGCTAATAAATGTTCGACCGACCGAACGAACGAAATATGTGTGCTCTGTCATCCGTGGCAATCTTTCTCTTCTTGTCTTGCATCAAGCAAAAAGAAAACATATTCATGATGATCACATCAAGTTTTAGTTACCTAACATCATCCGTTTTGTCGACATAAGCGTAACGATATTTTCGAGAATTAGACTGGAGACATCTCAGTATTAATCCACCTATTCAAAATGGAATATACACAACACACGACAAATCGATTTGTTGATATCAAGTTTTATGAAGAAAAACTTTCACCTGTATGTGGTTATTGGAATGAGAAACTCATACCACTCGAAGAGGCCCTGAAGTTCCTTAGGTCTCGTATGAACGAACTACAGAAAAATATTGAAACGGCCAAAAACGATTGTCATTTTCCATCAGAGCATGGCCTTACTCATGATGAATCAGCAGCTCTGTTTTTATACGCAACGGAAGAAAACGTCAATAGTTTGAACAGAATGTTGAATCAAACATTGCGATCGAGCGATCGTTCTAGTGTGAAACCTTGGTTTCCTTACCTTAAACTGCTTGATACGGCTGTCGCTAAATTACCTTCCGTTAGAAAAAATGTTTGGCGAGCAGTAATTAACGATGTCGATCGAGATTTCAAGAAAGGTGAAGAGTTTACATGGTGGACTGTGACATCATGCTCATTATCAATGGATACTGTTGCAAACCATTTATCTTCTGAATCAAAAATAACTCTGATCTTGATTGAAGCTATACATGGAAAATATATTTCTGGCTATACAAAACATCCTGATGAAAGTGAAGTGTTACTAATGCCTGGTACTGAATTACGTGTCGTATCGGATTCATTGGATTATTCAGACAGTATCAAGATTATACATTTAATGGAAATAAGTGAAGATAATGATGAACAGCTGCCATCAGCTATGGCTATTATGAAAGCATCATCGCAAACTGAGGGTAAAATATACATATGAGAAGATATTTGCAATAAAGTTTCTTCCTAAATATCTCTATCTTTCTTTCAGGATCTCAAGAGCAACAACGGCAATCACATAAATCGGGACTTATTTGCGGAGGTCGCCCTTTGACCTATTCCATTTGTACATGATCAGCGACCAGTTTACTATCTCGAGACTCTTTCTTTGCAGACAACAGAATAGTGCAATAGAATTCTTGTTCGATTTGTTAGATGCATTCATTTACCAGATCATTTTCCATCGATTAATCAAGACGAAGTCGCCCGTTGCAGGTGAGAAGTGTATGTGATTAGAACTGTGAGAAATGTCGTCACGAGCATTCGATTTTGAAATGGTCTTGATTTAACGAACTGAACCGAGTCTTACGTGCGAAAATATGGGAAATAGATGAACAGAACCTTGATTGGCAAGTAGTTGTTCATGTACTGCAATACCGTATGTTACTGAATTAACTTTAACTTGTCTTTTTGACGAAACTACAGTATTGCGTACAGAGTTATTATTGTTATCGTTTATTAACAAGATGATTTGTAATTAACTTTACTAACGGAAATCTTTTGATCAAAATATACTACATAGATGAACAAAATGGTAATGGTATTCGTGATCATTCATTCATGATGATCGTCTATTATAGCTTAGTAAAATTGGGTGTTAAGTTTCAAGCGAAGCGAGTAAGAGAACAAAAGTATTTGAAATTATCTATTCTTTTTCCATACGATTTTCGTTTAGTTCATAAATTCACAAGTGTTATCTTGGAATATGCGACACAAATAAACACAGATGCGATCAGAGATTTTTATATACCGTGTGGTTGTTGTTCATCTCATAAAATTCAAATTTTTGTTTCAAAGTAATAAGCAAAGACGAATGTATCAGTGAAATCGAACATAATACATACAATAAAAGTCATTCATTGGTCCATATCACTTGAAATTACATTATCGAATCATAGCTTTTACTTTGTAACGAGTCAACTAGTCAAATGAAGCGATCGAAACATGAAGTTTCATTTACTGCGCTAACTTTTATCTATTATTTGTTTGACTAAATGGAATTCAAAGTACGTGAAATAAATGAACAAACTGGGAATGATGATTATTCATTTGGTATGTAATCATCAATACACTTTTCATCTAAAGATCTTTCTCTTAAATTGAATTCAGTAGAAAAATCTTGTGATTGGCAACGTCTTGAAGGTTATATGAATTCATCCATTATGTGTTCTTTTATCACCTGATCAACTGAACACCACTACTTATTCATGCGCAAGATAGATGATCACTACTCTGCAACATGTTGTTATCATTATCATATTTGTCGATTTGGTGATCAATTTTTTGCACATCGTTTTCGCAATTTTCGTAATCGTGATCATCAGCATTTCTGTCGTTGTTATGAAAACAAATAAATTTATATAAAGATGCGAGTGCGATAAATTATACTCAGGACACTTTAGAGCTAAAAGTTATTCAAAAGAAGTTTTATAGTATTTTCTGTATGATGATATTTGGGTTGGCTGATGTATTTTNCCGAACCTACACGAAAATGGTTCTTCACATGGTTCCAGTAGAGTAACGAACCATTCCCTGGTTTATGGCGATTATCAAGATGTTTTGTGAGTTGATCTTGACGGACAGTTTTAAGTTTGGATCGTGCGAGACTTCGAAGACGTCGAGCCTCTTCTCGGAGATAAATGCATCCTTTTCGGTAGCTGCTATGAACGTCTTTTTTAAAATGTCCTTGAGAAAAGATCCCCGAGTTCTTGTCCTGGAAAAAATGTCCGTCACTATGAATGTCCTTTTAAAATAGTCCTTTTGAATGAAGTCCTATGAAAAAGTGTCCTTCATTATAAAAATGTCCTTTTAGGAGATCATAAGCTAAACTGATGGTAAGACAATACACATATTTGACTTTTTTCTAATAGATTGAAATTTTATTTCTGGTTAGCGACATAAAAAGAAAGACCACGTAAAAGATTTCTCACTGTAATTTCATTTTGATTAAATCGAGTATACAGTTCGGTCATACGTTGCTGAGCAGTTCTAGTTTGAGATCTTTTTGTTCGAGGCGGCATTCCACTGTGTATTTGTTTGGCAAATGCGTATGGTTAACCTTCTTTCCAGAAAAACATCTAAATTCATCATTCAGATGGGTGTGTAAAAGTACGCCGCAATCTCGCTTTGCACAACGCCAAAATTTGATAGTTTTATTTTTATGGAAATCTTTGAATTGATATTGATATCCTTCGATACATAACATCAATTTTCGTTTATTTGATGTTGTTTTTGTAATTGAGGGCTTTAGGTGATGTAGATGAAGACGAAGTAGATAAAGAAGAAGACGAAGATGTTCGTAAGAGTGATGGTGAAGTAGATGAAGATGAAGATGAAGATGAAGAAGATCTTCGTAAAAACGATGGCGAAGACGACGACGTATCATCAATGAATATCGAGTCGATGGTTTCCATTTATAAAGACCAACTGTGTCTATTCTGGAATCTGATCACGATCACAATGGATTCAATTATGATATAACAATTTTCTCGTTCTCTATCCTTCATACCATTCTTGTCCGATCCTCTATATAATGAGATCGTTACCGGTATTTTCTTACCATAACGTCATCTATCTTTCCACCAATTTCGCTTCGTGCGTTGCCATAACAGTAAAGGACATTTTTTTATATACGNTCTCTATCCTTCATACCATTCTTGTCCGATCCTCTATATAATGAGATCGTTACCGGTATTTTCTTACCATAACGTCATCTATCTTTCCACCAATTTCGCTTCGTGCGTTGCCATAAAAGTAAAGGACATTTTTTTATATACGCGACCTTTTTTCGAAAGACATTTTGTGGAAGACGTTACTTTCAAAGACACCTTTTAAATAACAAAATTCCGGAAGACATTTTTCTGAAGGAAAAAAACCCGAGGACATTTTTGAAAAGACGTCTTTTAAAGGATATTCACTGACGTATTCTCCTTTTCGACTTGCTTTACACGCCAGATCTCGGCATTGCATCAGCATTTCTTGAATATCCTTCGGGATTGATAATCTGGCTTTTTTCTTCAGTATAGACTTCGAACATTGCGCCTTCACCGCAACTAACCATTGAATAAACGCATCATAAGTATCATTCATATCGTTCGTGGACCAGTGGAGTTCCCATAGTCCATATGCGTAAGATAGAAACATATCGAAAGCCTTCCATGACGTTTTTGAAGCATATTCTGTTTCGTTGTATTCACAGGATATGAAGCCAATCACTGGTTTGTGGTCACTTCTTGTTGAACCTTCGTATGTGTCCACTGTCACTTGTATACCCGATGAAAAAGCGTAGTCGATTTTGCGCTTTGAACGACGGGATGTACAAGCATCGGTAACATAAGGAGCCAGTCCAACTTGATCTGCCCACTTGAGGAGGTGGCCGGCTTTATTTTTATCTTGGTCAAAGTCGACGTTGAAGTCTCCGAAAATGACTGATCTCGGTGTAATTTGAGGTGTAAGATCATCCCAGTCCCAAGTCTTACTGCCCATGTAAAAAAAAAGGATAAATAATCAGATTAAAATTGATTAAATAATTGATTAAGAATCGCTTTAAATCATACACCTTTAATCGGTTTTTTCCCAGTTATCAATCGATTAAAATCATGCATAGTTGATTTCAATCACAAAATGCTGATTATTTTTAGTTTTTAATCAATACACGCTATCCTGGCTTCGGATTGACTGTTTTTTGAAAAATAGGAACTCGCATAGGATTTGACTTCCCAAAAATAAAGGATTTTGATGAAAATATAGGATTTTCAAATACATTAATTTCATCCACGAAAACAGTCTGTATAGCACCACTATTCGTGATTTTTTTGTATAAAGAAAACAAAGATAACAAACTTGATATTAAGTAGCACATGTAACCTATTTGTCTCTGTCAAAACATGTTATTAAAAGGTATAGTTACTAAGTTCATGAAATATTTATCCATAATTTCATCAATAGCTAAGTAAGATAAATTATAAAACTTTACAAATAAGCAAAATATAATCATAAAAAACAACTAATAAATGCTCATAATAATATCGTAGGAATAAACATAATGTTTCAATAAATCTATAAGAGAAAACAAAATGAACATTATATTTTGTATATAATAACTAATGAATTGTTTGATAATTACTAGATTTTCTTCAACTTTTTATTCATTGATTGTTCATGAGTTAAACTATCTTTTCTTTTTAGTCGAAGTTTGTCAAGTTCATTTGTTACTTGTCGTTGTTTTTCATTAATAGTCGTTAGTTTCTCGTGACCACCAGAAACTAAAAGTTTAGCAGCATATATTTCTGACATTGAACCATTTTTTAAACCATCTTCCAGTCGATTAGTTCCTTCTTTAATTAATAGTTCAGCTTCTTTCATTTCTTTATCAAGACCTTTCTGTTTTTCTAACAACTTCTTTTCTTCTTCAATTTGATGTTGGCGTTCAATTGAAATTAATTGTTTATCGTTATTGTTCGCTGTATTACGAACATTATTTGCTGTTTTAGCTAATAATTCTTCTCGATAACTACTAGATGACTTTTTAACTGCATCGATCATATCTGATGTAATAACTACCTAGAAATCAAATTCGAATACATGAAATTTACATCAACCATAAATAATGTTACTTTATGTGCTGAACCACATCCAAAATATTTCACTCCATCGTAAACCAATCTCAAACCATTAATTGATGTTTCTGATAATAATGTTCGATTATCTGTAATAATATTTGAGTTTATACTGAATCCTCTTTCTACATCAGCATTGCCATGAGCAATAATTAAGACATTTCGTATAAGTTTAGCTAATGTTTGATATTTTGGTGTACCATTATTTGTTAATATTGAAAAAACTTTGCTCCAGTAATAATCAATAGAATGATATTTAATATGATCAAGTCCATTAGCATCAATATACTTATCTTTGATAATCCATGACTCATCAATTAATTCAAAACAATATAAAATCCATTCGTTCGTTAAACTATCGATTTCTCTATCATTGAATAAATTTGGAATAGCTCGAGCTACTCGAAGAATTTGATCATTACTTGTTGGATCAGATTTTGATGAATAATTTAAAACTTGTAAGTCCCGTAAAAGAATATTATCTAAAGGAAGATTTTTTTTAAGATAATTTCCAATTGCTTCATAAATCTTTCTAACATCCTGATAAAAAGACTTTTTCTCGTCAAAATTCAATGATGATATTAATTTAGTTGTTTGTTCACCTACAGATTAAATAATATTAAAAAATGAGGAAAAATTTTTATATTATTTACCTATTCTTAATTCTTTTTCAGAACGCCATAGATTAACTTGATCCAAAGTAATAATTAATAATTCTTGACCAGATTTATGTTGAACAACATCTGTTTTAATAAATGATGAAAGAACATCACGAAATAATTCAGTCATTTCATGATACAACACATGAATTAATGGTTCTTCTGATTGAAAATAGGTTAAGAAACGATCAAAAAATATTTTCACATAAATATAAAATAAAATTTAATTTGACCTTTGATAAATTCGAGGATAAAACCACTTTGATACTTTCATACCGTTTATTCTCTTTAATTTGAGAAGGTTGTTTTTGTGGTAGAAAACAAAGAAAGTACTCACACAGTACATCCCATTGATCTAAAGAACAAAAGTAGTAGAATAAAAAGAAAAAAAATGTAATTACTTAGAATTCGTTTCACAACTTTTCCCATCAAAACCCATCTAGTAATAGAAAAATATAAAATTGTTTTTTCTAATAGATAATCAATTTCTTCTAAAACATTTTTAAAGTCTTCTTGTCGTGCAGGTGAACATTTAAACCATGAATAAAGATCAAGACAAAAATTTTCGACATGCCATTTTGAAACTAACAAACCACTTTTGAATGCATTATGAACGATATGAATGCTACAGCTACCAAGCTTTAGCAAAGAACTACCGTGTTTTTGCATTTCTGAATCAATCATTTTTTCAATAGCAATATTAACATTTGGATTGTCTCTTGATAACATAAGTAGTTTTTTCAAATCCAATCCATCAGTAGCAAAAGATTCAATAATAACATCACGAATTGTTTTTGCATATGCATGTCCTAATGTAATTGTTTTGTAAAATCGATTAACAACTAATTGTTTTTCATTGCACCAATATCTAAACCACATATCAAGTTGTTTTTTATTTTGATTATTGGTTTGTTCATCAAATATAAGAACGAATTTATCTGTTTTCTTTATATCATCAATTAATTTCTTCTTGAAATATGAACCTAAACCATGAGATATCACATAAGACATTTTATTTGATTGGATAGAAAATTTTGTAGCGATGTTCGAATCAGGAAACATCAATGGGAACAATTCGTTTAATTCGTTGCATGAGTTGTAACTAAATCCTCGTTGAGCAATATTTAGTGCCCAAAGAGTTTCGGCTTTGATAACTTGGTCCTCGAAATTTAAAGCTTTGTGTTTGTTATTGTTCATTTCTAATGTTATAATCGAAGAAGTAGATGATAAAGAAGAAGATGAAGATGGAATACACGATGAAGAAAAAGAAGAAGCAGATGATGATGAATTAGATGATGGAGATGAAACAACAAATTTAACATTTTCTTTCCATTGCTGCAAAATCTGTTTATGTTTAACGTTCTTCATGTGTTGCTCAACGGCCTTCCATCCTTGATTTCCACAATCGAGTTCGTTTGTTTGACATAATGTACATTTAAATGTTGATGATGATGGACCAGCTTTCAACCATATTTTTACAGGAATTTTACTATCATCAAACCGAGAAAGCCAATTTATGTTAAATTTTGTTTGGTTCTTTGGCATTAGTTTTCTAGAAGATTATATCGAATAGCTTTAGTGAAATTTACGATATCTACAAAAATTTCAAGATTAAAATCAACTCAAGTCTGGTATATAATAGGGCAGCATATTAATATGAATATTACTAATATTTTATTAATCCACATATACGTTATACATGTGTATAGATATGTGAAAAAATATTTAGAAGTTGAGAGAGTGCATGTTTAAAACATAAACCTTTTAATTGTTCTCCTTTCTCTTACGTATTACTATATGAAGGAATTTTCAGTCAATTGATATAATAAGTGAGAAAAACTCTTTATTTACAATAGATGTCGTCATAATACATTTATTTTATTCTTTAAAAATATTTAACTATACGTTGATGCATCAAATAAACGGTAAATACTTGTACAGAACCTGTTTAATTTATATCATTTCAATTTTTTTTCTTTTTTCGTATAAAATAGGAAAAAAAGGAAAAAATGTAGTTATATAGGACAAAATACAGGATTTTCCAAAAAAATAGGTTTTATAGGAAATATAGGTCGAATCCGATGCCAGACGCTATCGAATCCAATCGACGAAATGTGTATGATTTGAATTAGTTTTCAATCACGTAAAAATCACTTTTGAATTGATTAAAAGATATTATAATCACCTAAAATCAATCCATTTCTCCCTATCATTCTTACTTCTTGAACATGACCATCATTATTTGTTTGATTCACCATGGAAGCTATGTAGGACGTAAAAGATGGAGATCTTCGCAAGATTTTATATTCGATGTATTTTACTCCTGAACATACTTCTTGATTCATAATTGGCGCTACGATAAGACTCGATGTTTGAAAAGGATCAAATGCTTGCCAATTCCGACCAACAATGAAATTGATCTACAACAAAATAACAAATATCCAAGTGAAAAATTGCTTACCTTACGTTTTGACGTTGCAATCGTTCTAAAATAAAAACAAACTTTCATTTTTAATGTCTTACCGTTTATTCCAGTGTGCAGGCGAACTTAAAATTGAAACCAAAACAATTGTTCAATCGAATGATTACCAACAACGTTTTTATCGATGTTAAGAATATTTTGAAATAAAGAAAAACACTTATTTGTAAATGAAGAATTGCTTATTGTTCATTAAAATACTAAAGTCATATCGATGGTATTACGAATCTAAAAAAAATAAGCACAGATTATTTATGTATATAATAATTATTATTTACTGTTTATTGCCATGTTCATTTTGACCTAAAACTGAAAGAAAACAATCTATTTATAAATAAATCAATAATTCTTCATTTCAATATTGAGCGTCTTATGCGAAAAAAACTGTAAATAATTTTGTACGTATTGAATCAGATTGTGAAAAGCCTATCTCATTCAAAGCTCTCATAGAAATTATCGGGGAAAATTGTCGTTAAAAAGAACATAGATCTCTGATAATCTCTTTTCTGCAAAGAGAAAAGAATAGCAACCGTAGTTATGCGGCAAAAATAAACGGATTTGTTCTTTATTAATAAAGGAAAAATGGATAAACTAGATGAATCTTTACTGTGGAGAAATTTATTTTTAAAGCACACAAAGCATATTTGATTATCATTTACTATTGCCATCTATAGTTTAAATTTAATCTCACGGTCATTTTCATATTGGATTATCTATCCTGTTAGTCCGATATATTTTCTTTCTATATATTTTCTATAGACATATCCACACGTCGATGTGTTGTGCTCTGATTCGATATTTTAGTGATTGACTTTATAACTATGTTTCTTTGTATTCGATCTTCTTATATAGAATTTGTTAAAGTAAATGGTGAATAGTTATTACTTCTTGTGAAGACACTATGATACGTGTGTGGCTGATGTTTACTTCGATTCGTGATACAAACAAATTCAGATATTATTTTTTTGCAAAGTAACTTTTCATTTTTTTAGATATCTATTCTTGTTTATACAGAAATATTCTGTGATATTTACAAAATGGTGAAACGAACTCAGAATACAAAGTCAGCTGTATCTAATAAAAAAGCAAATGAAAAAGAAAACTTGGAGCTGTTCGTACTGGTTCGTGATGTTGTCACTGGTACACATCATGTAGTGCAACGAAGTCAAGTGACAACGTCGAAAAAGCTACAAAAGCTTGAACCTGGCGATGAAATAACCGTTGGACAACGGTCATCTCGTGTTCGTGGAGTGATTTTAATGATAGGTGTGATTCATTGTGTTTCATAATGAATTAGAATTTTTTTTCCTTTCCAGGGACAGAGAATCAATGTAAACAATCGTTGGTGGTTATTGAAAAAGCGAACTCAAAAGCTCAAACCAGTAAAGAAAAGAAAAAGGTCATCGAGGAAGTTGAAAGTGAAATTGAATCTATAGATGATGACAATGAGAAAAATGATGATGAATCATTAGATGACGAGGGTGAAGATACACCACAAGGTGTTACTAGAGATGTTGATGATGATAATGAAAATCAACCTCTGCATTTTGACGAAGCAACACCATTGAAAGATATCACTACATCAAGGTCTTCCAATCGTTCTCAATCTTCTGTTTCAAGTAAGTATATCATATACCGTTTAACGTGATTGTTTGGTTTTTTATTTTTAGAAAGTACAGACTCAACTGCTGGTTCACAAAAACGAAAGACAACAGACGACGGTGAAAATGATCCACCATCGAAATGCAGTAAAATTGTATACAATAGAAGTGCATCAACAAAAGCTCAAGAGATACTGCAACGTAAAATTGATTCTATCGAGGCTCAAATTCTCGAATATCAGACGACATGGATGCGTAAGTAAAAGTCTAAGCATCTATTGAATACTCAATAAATATGGATGTACTTCGATTGATATGTTTTGCTAAGTCAAATTGAAAATTTTCTTTAACTAGTGGAAAGGTTTATAAAATCTCAAGAAAAAAACTGAAAGTAAACGAATAGCTCAATTCAATGAAATAAGATTTATTTCATTAAGTTTACATTCATCAATCGAAATATTCATCTTTACTTTTTTACGTAATATGAAATTGTGTTATATTTCTAGCTCGTCCAACTGATCAAGCAACAGTTCGGTATATGATCGATATTGGTCGAGTACTTAGTGGTGAAGAACATGTAGATGCTGATGAAAAAAGCGAGATTTTACCAGGAGCTGCATCCAAATTAGATGTAACTGAAAGTCAACTTGAGGCATGTAAAGGAAATAATATTCGAATTACGGTTCGTCAAATTATGAGACTGAAGTTTCCAGAGCCATCATTAGGCTTTAAATTTGCTGATGTCAATCCTGACTATGTAACCCCAGCTCGTGGTAAAAAGAACTTTTTATCATTTTATAAGTATAGATGTTTTTTTTTATTAAGAATATGCTCGTCTAGCCCATCCATATGAAGAAAAATTATATACAAAAGGTGATCTTAACCATTCGATGGGCAATTATTTTGCTGCAAAAACACAGACACAATTCATAATACTGTAACAATACACATATTGAAAATCCGACAAAATATTTTGACATTTTTTGTAACTAACAAATAGAAAATGACATGTCAATGATATCTTTTTTTATGTGGATAAAACCTTCATTTTAATTATTAATAAACATGAAAAATTAATTTATATAATTCCATCTTTTTTCTCTTGCTACTGCAGACATGTATACGAAGAAAAAGAATCGTATGAAAAATTGGAGGCAACAACGACTTCAAGATCGAGCAATCCAAATTGGTAAAATCCTATATGTATAAACGGGTAGATAAATGTGTATTTCTATGTATATGCTCAGGTCAGGCACTACATCAAGGTGATGCTGACCAAGTCAATATCAATGCAACATTTGATAGCAACATGGATATCAACTCTCCCAACGATGGAAACACATTTTACAATCCTTTGATATCTGATATGAGCACCAATGCGTCGACATTCTTGAATGATGCTATGTATAATTTATATTACATCACGTCCGAGTTTTACTTTATTTGTTTTCCTTGCTTTGTAGAAATAAGGTCGAAGAATTATCGTTTGAATCAAAAGCTCCAATTACAGAAAAGGATATATCATGCGCTTTAATACTTATAAAAAAAAGACATCGTCTTTCTGTACGTTGCATTGATGATATTATATCTCTTCTTCGAAAATTGAGTGTTTCAAATGTACCCTCAAGTTGGTATTATGTGAAAAAACTTCTCACATCAGCACGGCCTACTGCTTCTCAAACATTTGTTTGTCCTCAGTGTTGTAGAGGATCATCAAGCAATACTGTATGTTCTCTATGCAAAAGTAATTTCGATAGAACAAACAAACCTAATTCCTTTCTCTCATTCTCGATTCACAATCAAATTGAACAAATTTTGAATTACAACAGAGATGTTTTTTCTCTGCATCGTACTCAAACGATGTGCATGAGAGATATTTGTGACGGTGCAATATGTCAAAAGTTACAAGACGATATTCAAGAATTCTTCTTAACCTTGACTTTGAATGTCGATGGTATTGCACCGAATAAAGGCAGCCAACAAAATATATGGCCAATCTTGTTGGTCATCAATGAACTTCCATTGAAACAGCGTTTTGCGATACAAAACATAATTCTGGCAGGAGTGTGGCCTGGTCCAAGAAAACCATCACGTTCAGAAATGAGTCTATTCTTCCGTACTCTTGTTGATGAACTTGTTGCACTGGAAAAAGGTGTTACATTTCGGGTATATGATGACAATGATAATTTAATCTTTACACGAATTTTTTTGATTGGTGCTTGCTGTGATAAACCTGCGCAAGCACTCCTGCAACACTTACCAGAGCCCATAGCCGCGTTTGGCTGCGGACGCTGTGAAGTTCAAGGTGCGTAATTACTTTTCATTTAGTGAAAATGATATAGAATGAATATTTTAAGGTTTTATGGTTCGAACAGAGAATGATGGAAATGTAAGAAGTTTTGCAATGACTCTAAATGCTATGGAAGAAACGCATCTACGGTCAAACTCACGATATGACGACTTACTAAATTTAAAGCTATTGCATGAACAGATACGACAATCATTTCCACAAAAAAAAAGAAAATCATTGATAAAGCAGCATCAAGAAGCAGAGAAGGGTATACTTGGACCGTGTATCTTGAGAGAATTATCGTTTTTCGATGTTGGACGTGGTTTTATGGCTGACACGCTTCATAATGTCTACATAGGCGCATTCGTTAGTAGTTAATATTTATATTTTGACGAAATTTCTGTTTTTCTTATCATCTCAGAAGCGATTAATACGTCTTTGCCTTGATTCTGATTATCGCTTGGAAGATTGGACTATCAATGATCGTTTACATGACCTTCAATTAGCTTTGCGGGGTCTTCATCTTCCATCAAACACATCTCGACTGCCACGCTGTCTTATTTTATATTCAAAATTTAAAGCAAATGAAATGAGAATTCTCTTACTGTATGGATATATCATATTCAAGGGTGTACTAAAAACAAAATACTACAATCATCTTTTAAAACTTGTTTTAATGATGCATTTGTCAGAAAATCGACAGATATATCCTTCATATATAGATGTTATCGGTAGTTTAGGCAAGACCTTTGTGGCAAGTTTTGCAAAACTGTATGGTAAGAGACATTGTGTACAAGTTGTTCACTCTTTGATGCATATATCTGGAACTATTCATGACTTTGGACCGGCTCATACCTTCACAACGTTCCAATTCGAAAATCAACTTGGTAAAATTCCAAAAAGTATTTTATCTCGATAATAAAAGCTTTTTTTATATAGGTCTTCTCACACGTGTCACTAAAAGTACCCGAAGACATGCACAAGAGTTGATAAGTAATCTTCATCTCATGCAAGAAGCACATTGTCATTTGAACGATCTAGTCGTTACAAATAAAAATTTTGCTGAGTATCTTTCAGATCGATTCACTAACCGTCAAACTGTTATTCGCTCGCAAAATTACCGATTGGGACATGCAATTAAAATGGAAGATCCATTAGTTAAACTTTTATTCTCACAAACAAAAGTCAATTTTTATCAAACCGTTCATGTTGGTCAAGTTCGTTTATGTACACGCACTTATGCGGAAGGGAAAGCTGCTGACGATTCGAATATAATATTTGTTCTTGATCATACCCATTATCCGGGTAAAATCCGATCAATCTTTACTATTAATAATGGTGAACCGCATCTTCTTGTTGCCTACATGCCAAATCTGAGTTCATTTTCCTGTGAAGTCGATGATACAGAAGACTTTGTATATCAAAATATTCTTTCCTCAACAAGTTCAACATGGAAATACATTCCTGTAAAAATTGACGCTTTTGTTGAAAGAAGTATCTTCTTTAGAAGTTCAAGAGGTGTGTCGTATTTTTTACGACAACCAACCCTTGAACATTCTTCGTAGAACATATAACACTTTCTATACACATCTGATTGTTGTTTGTATGCAGAGAAATTCGTGAAGAATAAATAAAGAAAAAGCAGAAACAATAGTAAATATTGGACTGATCAGAAGTCTTGAAAAAGGATTATTTATATTATAACTTCAAACATGTTACTAATCTGTATAATTCTAGCAGGCAATAATCAATATTAGCGGATTATAGATGATTTCTTGAGAAAACGGTAGGTTATTCCCTCGACTGAAAGGAGGGTCATGTCGAAAAAAAAGTGGTCAAAAAACTGAAATTCGTTTGTGCGTATGTATGTCTGTCGGGGTCAAGGGTCAAAGGTCAAAAAAACATTTTTTCCAAATCGCTCAAAACTTCATACAACATGGTTTCTGAGGGTGCTGAGGGTTGATGGTGACTGGAGGGGATGGGTGGAGGGTCGGGGTCAAGGGTCAAAGGTCAAAAAAACATTTTTTCAAAATCGCTTAAAACTTCATAAAACATGGTTTGGGATGGGTGTTGAGGGTGGATGGTGACTGGAGGGGGGTGGACCAAGGGTCATGCTCGCCGGGAATAGCGAAGGCGGCCGCAGGCCGTCTGAGCGCTTCAGGCAAACCAAGAAAAACTTCCCCACACTACTCACCATCCCGCAGTTCCGCCTTAAAGGAAATCCATGTCCGCATCCCAGACTTTAATTTTAACAGAAATGTGGAAAAGATTCACCCGCTGCTTTCATCCATCGATCCGCATAAAATCTAAAAAAAAAAGCCGTTTCAACCGTCCGAACACGCATCTTGCTCGCAAACCGTTCCTCGATTTTATGGAAAAACCATGGATTCGAATATCAGGGATCGGAATATGAGTCGACCGCGAAATCGAAATTTTCATTTCATGTGTACGTATACACATGTGAGATGATGGAAGTGACCACTTCTCACCCTGAGAATGTGATTTCGACCAGCTGAACAGTGATTCTAGTTCAGAATTCCATGCTCTAATTCATGGATAAATGATCGATACGATATCTGGGATCGAACCATGAGTCGACCCCGAAATTGAAATTTTCATTTCATGTGTACATACACACATGTGAGATGATGGAAATGACCACTTCTCACCAGAGGTAGGATGCAAGTACATGTACTTGTACTTTTTGTACTTTTCAAGTACAACGTAGAAATACTTGTACTTAGCTCAGAGTACTTGTACTTGTACTTGTACTTCTAGTAGAGTACTTTATACCTGTATTTCAACCTCCGAAGTAGGGGTGGACCATTTCCGTTAATTTGAAATTAACGTCAACGGCAACCCGTTAACCGTTAATATCGCACAACCGGAGTAAAATATTGCCTCCTTGAAAGGAAATAAACAACCAATGCAGATATCTGGAGGTCAAAAAAACGTCCTTCTATAAGGCGTCCCTAGTCGATTTCCAGCGAAAATAAGTTTTTGAAAGAAAATAGCGGTCACCGCTGATTGGCGAAAATTGACCAATCAGAATTCGAGGTCAAAAAAACGTCCTTCTATAAGGCGTCCCTAGTCGATTTCCAGCGAAAATAAGTTTTTGAAAGAAAATAGCGGTCATCGCTGATTGGCCGAAATCGACCAATCCGAGCATAGACAGTGGTTTCTCGCCTATTTTCAAGGGAAAACCCATGGTTACCTATACTAGAATG